TAACAGAGAGAGGAATTTCCATGGAATAAACTATTTCTGTTTCTAACATTAGTATGTTTAATTTTGTATACATCATCCGGGGAGGCAATTCATCTCTCCCTCAAAGAAGTGTACAAAGGAATTGTACTTTCTGATCTACAAGAGACTAATCTAACAAATAAATCTTCTTTCATGACTCATTCAAACGAGAGATGAGATCAATGAATGTATCATCACTGCAGGGAATAGTGAGGCCTCCCATAGGATGATTATAACCATATTCTTCTTCAGCCTGACTTAGCAAGTCTCTGAAAATGGGCTCATTCAAGTAAGCAACTGGAATCACAAACCGCTTCTTTTGGCTTTCCCCTACATAGACTGCACAATAACCTCTGCGGACTCCTGAAGATCCATGGTTTGTTGTTAGAGAAGAAAGTTTAAGACTTTGCACAGCATTTACAATTCTCCCCAAGCGAAAGCCCATGGTTTTATTTTTCACAAGAAATTTTTGAACTGAAGAATCTTGAAGTTGCACAATAGCAATTGAGAGAGTGAGAAAACTTGGGAGTTTGAGATTTGAGTTGCTTGAGACTTAAAACAAGTGTGTATATATAGATCAAAAAGGGTGATGTGGCCAATATCTTGCTCTAAGAGATGAGTGGTGAGACATCTTTGAATGGGGCCATCTAAGAGGCATGTGCTTGTGAAGTCTACTGTATCACATGGTATTGTCTTCTATATAATAATCTTCAGCTACTTGAGAAATAATATCGGGAAAACAAAGTCACCTAACCTTTTGGTAAAACCAATCGAGGACCCATTTGAACTGAAAATTGTGGCTAGAGTGATAGCTCGTTAGTTATGTTAAGCACATAACATAAGCATAGCTAATTACTTTTGTTAGAGACATGCCTGAGACATCAAAACCATTCCCCTCATTCTTTGCCATGCCAACGTATAACAGGGAAAACACTAATTCAATGGCATATATTGTTTCTGTCTAGATGGAATGAAGACCTATCGAATTACATAATCTAAACCAACTGGCTGAAGATATGGACAAAACCTAATTTGGTAGCTAAGCTTTTGTGACGTATCAGCACAGCTATTGAAGTCTCACAAACCAAATTGATAAGCCTAGAAGTTTCCTGATGCAGATTGTGGGATCCTGCCTTTTCCCTTTTTCCTTTTTCCACACAAGCCTATGTGAAGTTCACATTAAGACTGACCTACAACGTTCTCGCACAATGAACGGATATCTGATTTCTGAACATTTAATGAGATATTTATGAGAAAATAAGCATCTATGTAGGGATCAAGCATCTGTTATTCAATAAATAATTAAAGTACAGATTATCCATTTCCATGACTAATCCTTATCAAAAGGTTATCATTCTTAAATTTTGGACTAACTGAACAATGTGAAAACATCATACATGGTGCAAGCTTACTCCAATAACTCTTGAGGACGAGGACAGTGTTTGTAAATAAAGATATAAATTGTTGCTTAGAGTAGACAATTCATGTGAAAAACACAATTTCCTGTTTCGTGAAGCATTAATGGATACAAACCAGAAAAGTTGTTATAATATTGCTAATGAAAGAGTTAATGAGGAGAACTGGAACGCGGCATATATGAGAGCCAAGACAATTTTTTGTACATGTGAGTACCTTATGTACAAACTGAAGTGTACCTTCTGGTGATCTAAGTTCTTAGCTACTATTGCATTGAGCAAATGATGCGGCAACTTGTGATTGAAAGTTTCTCATCACATGGATTTTTTTTTTGGTCTATATATTTTCTTGGTCATAGCATTTGGTTTTCAGTTGTTCTTGACCACTTGTTTTCTAATCTAATATCTTTCCATTGAAACAATTGGTTGTGTGCCATCATAAGTTGGGCCAATTGAGAAAACGAGTATGTCTCAACCACTTTGGCAATCCCATGTGAACCTTTGATGCAGTAGGTCCCTCAGACACCTAATTTGATATTCTTTTGTTCACACCTCCTCTTTCTCACTTTATATATATACATTCAAACAAAATTCTCAACCATTCTTCAAACTCAAACTTCAGAGAGATTCTCATCCAAATATTGGATATTTCTACTTCAAGATAAATATCAAGGACGGACACAATTACCTACAGTTGCTTCTTCTTCTTTCACTTCAAGGAAATTTAGAGATGGGAATCCGTTTGCCTTCAATTCTTCTCAACGCCAAGCAAATTCTCAAAATGCAGGCTGCTTCCTCCAAAAATAAGTTTGATATTCCCAAAGGTCATATTGCAGTCTATGTGGGGGAAATCCAAACAAAGAGATTTGTGGTTCCAATTTCTTATTTGAACCATCCTTCATTTTTAAACCTGCTAAAAAGAGCTGAGGAGGAGTTTGGATTCAACCATCCAATGGGTGGTCTGACAATTCCCTGCAGAGAAGAAGCTTTCATTGATCTCACTTCAAGGTTGCATACATCATGAGAGATGGGGAAAAAAGAGCAGCCATCCACTCAGTTTTGCCAACTTCGTTTTTGTTTTGCAGTATCTCTTAGTCATAGTATAATATTAATGTATAGGAATGATGCAAGAATGACTGTAAAGAAAGGGTGGAAAACTGATCTTCCCACTTGAAATAGCAACACGACATACAAACTTTAATTGCACAGAGCAGTAAAGTGACATTTTTTCTAAGAGAAAACTCTGCCCCCTCAACTCATGAATTTCGCTAAATATATGTCACTTTTCTCTCTGAATTTTATCAAAGTTTTCATATTCTTTCTTGGATGCAATATTTACATGGATGAATCTTGGGTAGGAATCCCAGGTTGAATTACTGAAACAAGATATTGTCAGAATAAACGAGGAAGATGCTGCCCTCCAGTATTCAAGAGGGATACCCTTTATCTATCCAAGTTAGAGAGAGAAATTTAAATGATCCCGCCTAGAAACCAAAGCTTATTGACTCAAACTTTCATCTTGAAACAATTAACTCTCTTTATGTGCTGACATTGTATCTAATTCACTATCCTGACTTAACCAAATAGAACTTTCCCATTTTACACTGAAAATGTAAAAATCTTGCATACGTTTTTGTGAGGGAAATCAATTTTGATCTCCATCATAAAGGTGCTTAGCAGTGCTGTCAATGAAGGGGGAGAATAACTCTCTTTTTCTACAAGGGTTCAAACTTCAAAGGAAATGGCTTCTACTATTTTTACACTTCCATCCAACTCATTTCTCTAAATAATGCATTGCAGGCTCCAGCCATATCAACTGGCATGGCAGGTGTTCAAAATAGATTTATTACAATTACAAAGAAATATAAAAATAACCAGATATAATCATTTTAAGATATAACTTATAATCATTTTAATATATAACTTACAATACTTATACAATGTACTTGATGTTGGTAATTTGAGGAATTATGAAACTGAAGTTTCTCTATCAAAAGCCACAAAAGGATTAATAGCAAAAGAAAAAGTTATATGCAAGAGAATAATACAAGATTGACATGGGTTCGCCCAAAATTGATCTATGTTCTATTTTATGTAGATTGTATGTATCCTAATTTCTATAATGAAGTAATTCCACCGGTACTTTGAAACTATTTATTTGTCAATGAAGTTCATGCAAAGAATGACATTGGTATGTACCTACTTTTATGCTAATGGAAAAGTGACGCATAGGAGTTTTATCTGAAAGAAGAAAAAACTTATAAAGAGAACTTGAATGGAATATCTTCATTCTCTAACATTTGTATGTTTAACTCAGTATACATCTCTCGGGGAGGCATTTCATCTCTCCCTCAAAAAAGTATATATAAAAAATGGTACTATCTAATCTACAAGTCTGTGTCTATAAAAATCACTTAATTCACAACTCATTCAAACGAGAGACGAGATCAATGAATGTATCATCATTGCATGGAATGGTGAGGCCTCCCATAGGGTGATCGTATCCAAATTCTTCTTCAGCTTGACTGAGCAAGTCCTTGAAATACGGCCGATGCAAGTAAGCTATTGGAATCACAAACCGATTCCTTCGGCTCTCTCCAACATAAATTGCATAATTACCTTTACGGATTGTTGAAGATCCATGCTTTTTTGTTAGAGAAGAAAGTCCAAGATTTTGTACCGCATTTACAATTTTCGCCAAACGAAAACCCATGGTTTTGTTCTTCACAAGTAGTCAAAGAGTTTTGAATTGAAGAAACCTTATTGCACAACCGCAGTTAAGAGAGTGAGAAGCTTGGTGGGCAGTTGAAAGTTTGGGACCTGATTTGCTTTGGAATTCAAAAGTACGTATGTATAGAAGAAGAAGGGCAATGCACGGCAATAGCTCGCTTTAAGAAATGAGTCTGTGAGACATCTTTGAATGGGCCCAACTAGGAGGCAAGTGCTTGTGAAGTCTTCTGTATCATGTGGTCCTGTCTTCCAGGTAATAATCTTCAGCTACTCGAGAAATAATATTGGGAAAACAAATCCACCAAAATTTTTAGGAAAACCAGCCAGTGGAGGACCCATTTGGGCGCAAAAATGTGGCTTAGTGATAGCTCGTTGGTTATGTTGAGCACATAACATAAGCAATAGCTAATCACTTTTGTTAAAGACATGCCTGAGACATCTGAACCATTCCCCTCATTTTGTGTTATGCCAACGTACAACAGGGAGCACACTCATTAAATGGCATAGATTTTTCTGTCTAAATGAATTGAAGATCTATCTAATTAAAAATTCTAAACCATCTGGCTGAAGAAATGAACAAAATCAAACTTGGAAGGTAAACCCTTGTCGCAACATGGAGTCCCACAAAACAAATTTCATGAACCTAAACTGCAGAGATTCAAGAATGGATTATAGTCATAAGTGGAGAAAAATCTACCCGATGCAGATTGTGAAATTGTGCCTTTTTATCTTTATTTTTTTATTATTATCATTATTCTTTTCTTTTTTTCTTTTTTTTGTTCGTAACAAGCCTATGTGAAGTTCACATGAAAGCTGACCTACAATGTTTTCTCAAAATGAGTGGACATCAGTACATTAAACGAGATCTTTAAAGAACAATAAGCATCTATATAGGAATCAAGCATCTTTTCTTCAACAGTTAATTGAGATGCGAATGCCATTATCATGACTAATGATTTTGAAAGATTACCATTCTCAAGTTCTGGATTAACTTGCAATATGAAAACATCAAACATGGTGCAAGCTTGCTCCAGTAATTCTTCAGGTTGAGTGCAGTTTTTGTAAGTAAAGATATCAATTGTTGCTTTATGGTAGATATTTGTGTAGAATACACAAATTCCTGTTTGGTAGAGCATTGATGGATACAAACTAGTAAAGCTGTGATAATATTGGTAAAGAAAGAATCAATGAGGAAGGATTTGAAGCGACTATATGACTGCCTGGACAATGTAATAATTTATTATACATAGTCGAGTACCTTATGTACAAACCGAAATGTAGTGACCTAAATTTTTAGCTATTGCATTGGGCCAATGATGCAGAACTAGTTATCAAAGTTTTCTTATCGAGTAGATTTCTTTTTAGGTATATTTATTTTCTAGGTCACAGCATTTGGTTTTCAGTTTTCCTTGACCACTTGTTTTCTACTCTAATATCTTCCGTTCAAACAAGTGGGTCTTTGCTACCAGAAATCAGGCCAAATGAGAAGACGAGTGTGTTTCAACCAATTTGACACTCCATCTGATCCTTGGATAAAGTAGGTGTCCTCAAACTCCTATTTTGATATTCTTACGTTCTCACCTTCTCTTTCTCACTCTATAAATACATTCAGACCAACTTAACAACCATCCTTCCAACTCAAGTCACAGAGAAACTCTCATCCAAGCATTGAAGTTTTCAACTTCAAATCAATATCAAGCAAAAAACTACCTAGAGTTGCATTTTTTTTTTCAATTCAAGAAAATTTTGAGATGGGAATCCGTTTGCCTTCAATTCTTCTTAGCACCAAACGAATTCTCAAAGTGCAGGGTGCTTCTTCCCGAAATAAGTCTGACATTCCCAAAGGTCACATTGCAGTCTATGTGGGAGAAATCCAAACAAAGAGATTTGTGGTTCCAGTTACTTACTTGAACCATCCTTCATTTGTAAACTTGCTAAAGAGGGCTGAGGAAGAGTTTGGATTCAACCAACCAATGGGTGGTCTGACAATTCCCTGCAGAGAAGATGTCTTCATTGATCTCACTTCTAGGTTGCATACATCATGAGAAATGAAGAGAAAAGATCAACCATCCATACAGTTTTTCCAACTATGGTTTTTCTTTTCTACTTTCTAGAAATCAGAGTAGAATATCAATGTATAGGAAGTATATGTAAATGGCTGTACACAAAGGTGGAGAAATGTCTTCCCACCTCAAATGGAAACACGTACAAATTGTAGTAGGAGAGAAATAAAGTAACATTTTTCCTAGAGAAAACCTTGCCCATTCGACAAAATATATATCTTTCGTTTTTTCCCTTCACTGTGAATCCTATTGAAATTCTTGCCTTTGTTTTGTTTAGGGGCAATTTGGCATGAACAAGTCGTGGTCCCTGAGCAGAAAACTCAAACTTTGAGGCTTTCATAGACAATAATATTGTTTTTGGTTTTTTATTTTTAAAAATCAAGCTTATAATATCTCCTTTATAGCTCCTTTATAGCTCCCAAGAGGCAGCCTAGTTGGCAAAGGTTGGGGTCTCTCGGTCATATTGGCTTAGAGGTCTCAAGTTCAAACTGTCTGGTGAGTTTAATACCAAAAATCTTTGATGTCTCTTGGGTCTGACCTTAAGGCGAGCGTGGGTGCCCGGAGCAAAGCTCAGACTCCCAGTTCTCAAAAAAAAAAAAAAAAAAAATCTCCTTTATAGTTTATTCCTTTATTTTCTTTGTTTGGTTTTTTACTTTTAAAAACTCATTTGAAATCTTTCAAAACAAAAGCATGGGTTTTTGAAACATTGTTTTTGGTTTTTCAAAAACAAATTTGTAAGTAGCTTAGAAAACCAAAAAGGTTAGTAAATAGACATAATTTTCAAAAAAAAAAACACTATCAAACTAACTCTTAATGATTGTAACAAGGGAGTTTTGATTCTAGGATGCTCAAGAGGGGGGGAGAGCTAAAATTTGTATTAGCTAAGTTAGAGAGATAAAACCTCAACGACCCACATCAGAAATGATGCAGGGTGTATTTAGATGAATGGTGTTAACAGCCATGAACAATCATCAAGAAATACATCACAACACAGGAGTAACCTCTCCAAGTTAAGAAAATACCATTCTAATAATCCTAACTATTACAATAATATCCAAAAAGCTATCTCCTACAATTCAAAGAGGCTATTTATAGTCTTACGAGAAAATAGCTAATTAGTTCTACGATACTAATGAACAAATTAATAAAACCTAGTTAACCCAAAACTAGCAACATGGCTGATAGTAACTAAATCAACGTAAACTAATGTGTTATTCTTCTTTTCCCCATCAACAAACTATGGTTCATCCACTGAACTTGCCGTCTTCAAACAATTAACCCTCTTTGTGTGTGCCTACATTCTATCTAATCAGTTGCCAACCAAACAAGTCCCGCACACGTTTATGTAGAGGAAATCAATTCCATCTGCATCATTATAGAATTTTCCGTTGTTGTGAGTTTTGACGGACAAAATTCTCTTCTTCTACAATGGTACAAAGGAAATAGATTTCATCATTATCACATTTCAACCTTAAGAATGAACAAACCACCACTCAACCCAAAAGCTTAACGCAGGGGTTCGAACATAGGACCTCCCGCTCTGATACCATCTTAAGAATGAATAAACCACCACTCAACCCAAAAAGCTTAAGCTGATGGATTGGGTAAATATAATTCATTTATATGGATTCTAACAACCTAACTCATTTCCCCCAAGCCATACTATCTAGCATGGCACCTACCCTAAGCAGATTCAACTACATCCAAGCAATAAACATAAACATAGCCATGCGCAACCATTTTGTGCATTACAAATTAGCAATACTTAATCAATGTACCTCACAAGAATAAAGTACCTTCCCATCTCTTGCTCCTGATATTGATCCCTCGATGTATCGGTACAGAAAACTGAGATGTTAAATTGTAATGCAATATGGCATTCGTGTATTTTGGTAATGAGGAATCAATTTTAGGTATCATTAATTTCAGTTGCTGTACAAACTTCTGCGTACCTTTGCTGCAGAAAGCTCCTTTCGACTCTAAGAAATGATGCAGGCCGTTATGGTAGATTAATGTCATGTCGCTTCCTAAAGAGAAAGGGAGTTGTGGAGAGCCTCGACGTACAAAATGGTGATAAATTTGAACTGTAGAAGAACAGATTCTACCATGTGAGCTTGTTGCAGAGTAATGGCATCTTCAATTGAATCAAATTTGAACAGAAACTGAGTGTGATCTTGCCATGTAATGGATGGAGTTTTAGCTGTTTTTGAATTGGATAATACGATAATTTGTATAATGCATATTGGATAATGTTATGTGTAGTGTAATGTATGCGCCACGTGGTAAAGATGAGAGGGCTACTGTAAATCATATATTTTCGACAAGGTTCTCCGCCTTCATATATTAACATCGAGGCACCACGTGTGAAAATCAAAGTCACATGGTTGTAGTATAACGAATTGCAGCTAAAGTCAAGAAAGACCGAACTCAAGGCGAGACGCAACCGAACAGAAGTCCACTAGAAAGGCCCAAATACAAGTTTAAAGAGTGTAATAAGAGGACTGAACACGAGCCGGCAACAATATTGTGTTATTGAAACTTGCTTGGATATTAATGGATGCTTTTAATATTCTAAGTTCACTTTTACATGAGTCTAATTCTATATCATCTCATACATCAAGTCAGGGATATATAGATAAATTTATTTCGTATCAAAACGAATCATATATTTATTTTATTTTTATGTGTATATCGTGAGTGGCCTTTAGGACTTTGGAGTCTTTTTTTTCTATATAAAAATTTGTTTTATGTCTCTTACAGAACAAATGAAGATAGTTGATATTATTTTTTTATAAAGTTAACCTTTTGGCATTTGTCACAAATTTTCTAAATTGAGGTCCTTATTATCATATTAGTCATTATTTACCTTAATTTCGAATCTACTAGACTGTGGCCCTCCTTATGTTGCAAGTGAAGACTAAGGATGATGGTTAACTCGGTTGGTCCCACTAGCCATAGGCAAACTGACTGGCCGGTGGAATGTGCGAACAAACCAATAAAAACTCATTGCATCCATAGTCATAAATGATTGAACGTTTTTGCCATATGAGTTATGCAACTCATCCTAACTAAGTTTGTTTTCTCTCATCCATTTATTAATTTAGGCATCAGAGTGTCGTAGGCTTAGTACCACACCAGTACTGGATTTCCATTATCGCAAGTTATCTAAGAATAAACGGTGATATCCTCAAACAACAAACGATAACCTACGTTTAAAATCTTGTGTAAACATATAATTTTATAAATTAGAACACACTTTTTTTTTTAATAATATCATGTAATGCTCCTGCAATAATTTTATCAATTTCATTCTAGATATAGAAATTATCAATTCGAGTATAACTATCACCCTTCAAAAAAGTTAATGGTTCGATTCTCCACTGCTACAATTGTTGAACCTAGTTACTATACTCAATTTAGTAACGATTATTGAACAAGACCTATATTATTGAACGATGCCTATATTATTGAAATTGATGTTTACAAACTGACATTGATGTTTAGCTAGGTGGATGTGGAAGTAATATTTTTAATTTCTTTTTATTACAATAAATATAGGGACAAGAAGATTTAAATATTTAATCTAAAAAGATTTCATTTACTACTAAAGTATACTTTAATAATATTTATAAGATAGAAAAATTAAAATAAAATAATTATTAAAAGATGCTTATATTATTAAAATTGAGTCAATGGAGTTCAAAGTTCAAAGTATCTCATGATTGTAACGTAATATTCTGAAAGAAAATGTTGAATAAACAAAAGACTTTTGAACATTAACTATCCAACTTGATTTTTAATAACTTCTTTTTTTATTATAGTACGGAGGAATTCCAAATTATGACATAAAGGGCTCTATATTTAGCAATATTTTTATATAATATCAAATAATGGCTTAACGAGAGATACTTAAATAAATAACATAAAATAAATATATAATTCTAAATCTATTTTAAAATTTTGAATATTACATAAATAACATAATTCAAATCAAACTCAATTGACATATTTAAAAAATAGTATATTTGTACAATATTTATAACCTATTTTAAAATAGTTATTAATTAAAATTACGCTCTGATTTTTTTTCTTTAATATCACATAATCATTACATTATTTAATTTCAATATTATGGACTAAATTAGAAAATGGTGAGCTTCACTAACCAAATTATATGTTTAATCTTTCATATCCAAATCAATGAAGTTTTCTTCCTTTTTTTTTCCTAATAATATACCAAATCAATGAAGTTGGAGTGACCTGATTCATTCAAATTCATGTATATGCTATACTCTACATTTTCTAATAGCACATTGTGATCAATACTTTGTCAGTTTTAAAATATTCCTAAAAATCATACATTATTATCATAGCATGTTCTAATATACGTATCACAATTTTTTATCATTAAAAATCAGATTTTTTTAATTAAAAAGACATCACATTTACAGACTAAGAATCAGATGAGAGCTTATCAACATACCATGTGCAATAATTTACCCTTACAACTCTTCTAACATCTTCTTCAAATATTAACCATATAAAATAGTAGATAAAAATAATAATTTCTAGTTACTTATATTTTAGGTTTAAATATTACTTTGGTTCTGATTCAGCGCCTTATATTTTTAAATTTATAAAAGAGTAGATAAAAACAATAATTTATAGTTACTTATATTTTAGTTCCTATACTTTCAGATTTGATTAATCTGGGTCTGTMTTTATATTTTCAAATTTTCAAATTGTTCATTTTGGTTTTGTATTTTTAACTTTTGTTTATTTTATACTTTCAAAAATAATCTWTTTTGATTTTTATACTACTAAAAAGTGATCATTTTAGTATTTATTTACAAAATTTTAACATAAAATTCTCTACACAATAGAACTCTTTAATACAAAGCTATTACTATATTTCAAGAAACTTATTGAATATATTATCGTATTGAAATCGCGATTCAAAAAAAAAAAATAAATAAAAGACTCGTTTCGAAAGTATGAAACCAAAATAGACCAAAGCTAAAAGTATAAGACCAAACGTATGTTTTGGAAGTAGATGAACAAAAATAAAGAGACTACATTGACCAAAATAAATAGTTTTTATTTTAAAGTTATAAAGTACATTGTACTATAATATAAAACACAATAAACCTAACTGGAGTTCTTAGACCTAACTTTGGGTTCATAAATGATCCAAAATTATTCGAATAAATTAGCAGCCAAGTCTAACAAGATGTGTCGTGTCAAACTTTATAATCGCTTTATAATAAAGTCTATAGTACACAAATCAATTAATATAATATTAACTACACACCCATCAACTTCCAATAATTTCTCAATTTGATTTATTGAAATAATAATAATAATAATAATATTAATATAAAGGGGCCCTCCAATGGCCAACCACCAGTCTACAACAGTCAATTCCCCAGCTGAGAAAGGCCCTATAAATTCAAACCCTAAATCCTTCAAAATACCAAATCAAAACTTTCAATTTCACATTCATCTTCTTCGCTTTCTCTTCGATCAATCGAAGCCAGATTCGATATTTTTTCACCTCAAGCGGCTTATTAGCAATGGGGTTTCGTCTTCCATCGTCTCTGGCCAAGCAATTGCTGAGGAGGAGTTCGGGAAATACATCCGCCGTGCCGAAAGGTCATGTCGCCGTCTACGTCGGAGAGTTCCAGAGGAAGCGATTTGTGATTCCGATTTCGTATTTGAATCATCTTTCGTTCCAGCAGCTTCTCAGTCGAGCGGAGGAAGAGTTCGGATTCGATCATCCGGAGGGCGGTTTGACGATTCCTTGTGGAGAAGAGGCGTTTATCGATCTCACTTCTAGATTGCAATTGCAAGTCTCTTAAAAGCATGAAGAGCTAGGGCTGGATCTCGATTTTTGCCTTTGGCTTTTCCTTTTTTTTTTTCCTTCTTTTTTCCTTCTCTCTGAAATCCTTCAGCCATGGCTGATTTTTGCATTCTGACTGATGTTAGAATGTTTATGGAACCCAATTACGTTGCCTTCGGGTCTGTAATGAGTGGTGTTGGAACTTGGAATGGTGAATTTTCCACCAAATGGTATAATACATGTAGAACTTTTCTGCATCATTTTCTTGTTTATCCTCGGTTGAATTAGCATTATAACCTACCATTAGATCCAAAAGTAAAACTGAAATTCAAAGTTTTTCTTGTTGAAAAAGTTACTATTCTATTGAGATGAACATAAAAGTTGCATACTTTCGGAAAAGATATTTGAGCTCCCAGATTTTTGTTGATCTCTGTTCATGATTTAGACAGGTCAGAAGACCATTTTTTTCTAATGCAGTAACTGTGGAATAAAGTTGATGTAGTTAGTAGGTTATGTTGGTTAGTTAGTTAAACTGTTAGTCCTTGGTTGCTGTTATTTTAGTTATTGTGTAGTTGTTATCCCAGCAGCCCCTATAAATAGCTTCTGGATTTCAGTGTTTAATGAATATAAATCTCTTCAAGATTTCTATTTCTACCTAGATTGTGTACATCAAATTGGTATCAGAGCATCCCGATTTTCTAGATTATTATGGCGGGAAAGAAGTCAATCAATATTGGAGATTCTTCCCTCGCCAACAAAGAAATGGAGCAAGCCTCCATTCTCTCAAAACAAATTCAAAACAAATTGTTTAAACAAGGTTACTGCAGACTATATGATTAAGAAATTGTTTAGGATATAATTTTCAAAACAAATTCTAGCTTTTATCTTCAAAATATTTCAAAAAATTATGATCAAGTGGCCAGACAAAATTTTTATGCATATGAAGTCACAATTTTTGTGGATAAAAATAAGTGAACTCAATCAATAGTATGTGGGTAATCCTCCATCGAAGAAGAAAACTAGGAGAAAAAAGAGCCGGAAAACATAGGTTTAGTTTGACAATAATTCACATATGTCTCTAATCAAAAGGTTATGAATAATTGACATCTAACTCTATTAAAAGGTCAGAAGTTCAAATCTCTCATTCCATTTGTTATAATAAAAAAATTCTCAACCATTTGAATAGTCATAAAATCAACTCTTTTCCATGCATGACAGTGAAGTAGAATTTTATTTGGAGGGAAAAAAATTTCAAACTGTTAAGTCTATAAGAGCATAAGTGCCTTATTAAGAGTATATATATGTATAGAACAATATTTAGGTTGACTGGTCAGTACCTATCTCTATGCCGATTACTATTAAAAGAATTAACATGACATTATTTAAAAGATATATATATATATTTACATTTATCTCTTCCACGTGTCAAAAATGTAATCGTTTCATAAGATAGGTGTGGATGATATATATATATATATATATATATATATATATATATATATATATATATATATATATGAAAAGAAAAAGAAAGTATGTCCATTTTTGTTCACAGTTGAAAGCTATGGTACAGTGTGAAGTACAGTAGCCTACTTTTAGGCCTATTTTCAATTTTCAGTACCAGAAGTCCATTTTTGAGCCATTGGGTCCACTGATACAGAAATCTATTAGATGATCAGAAAGCTTCTCACATGTAGATGTTTCTCTTTGTTTGAACCAGAATCTAGTTACTTTTAAAAGCTCGAAACCACAGAAATATCACTGATCAATTCCCATAAAAACTTTTCTATCTCGAGCTCATAATCACAAGTAATTTTAGTTGTTTTCTCTGCATTCTAATTTTAACAGGTGTTGGTGAATTCCAAGGTACGTTTCTTAGTAAGTTGTCGAAAGGTACTATGTAGCCCTTTCCTTTGTTTAAATCGAATTGAAGACGAATCTTCTACGCACTTTCTTGAACCATATGCAGCTTTATCTGTTCATGGAGTAACATAACCAAATGAAACTCGACACGTTGCGGTCTTTAGAATCCCGCAACCCACAATGATGATAAGATTCAATCCATCTCAGAGTTGAGATACGAAAATCCAGCTATGCCAGCTGCTGAAAGTAGATGCAACTACTTAACTCGGTTCGACAGTGAAAAGCATAACTCATCCTTGTTCCATTGCCTGTCTGCCTTTACTACTCAACCAGCTGGTCTTTATGAGGGAGGACTATTTCGTACCGATAATGAATACCGAAAAGTGATCGTAACTTCTGATTTGATGCGTACATTATCCATCTCGTACCGTTTCGACCTGAAAATTAGGTCCAATGATGCAGCCATGAGCACTTTCCCAGAAAGTCACTCACATGGATATGCATTTTCCATGTACAGTCTCTGTTATGAATTTCTGTGAGAGAGAGAGAGAATTATTCTAAGTTGATCAAAGCCATGTGAAGGGGTCTTCCCAACGACAGTCTTGAATGCCCCACAAACAGCTCCTTTTTCCCAAAAGAAAAAAAAGCTCTATATATAACAAATTCCAAATGAGCCTTCAAACACCAAATTAGACTTCATAATATATTCATCAGTTAACTCCCTTGGCTTCCCCAGCTTGTTCTATAAGCAACCGTCCAAGAACGACCGGTCTCGTGGTGGTACATTTAACGTCACCGTCTTTGTCTACGACGATAGCAATGGGAATCCGTTTGCCATCATCTCTGATTCATCATGCCAAGCAAATTCTAAAGATGCAGTTGGGTTTCCACAGAAATCAGTTGAATGTTCCAAGAGGCCATATTGCAGTTTATGTGGGCGAGATCGATATCCAGAGGAAACGTTTTGTCGTTCCGATATCTCTCCTAAACCATCCTTCATTTAAACAACTTCTCAGCCACGTCGAGGAAGAGTTCGGATTCCATCATCCCCACGGGGGCCTAACTATTCCTTGCAAAGAAGATGCCTTCATAGATCTTACTTCTAGATTTCAACACTCTTGAAGGAAGGGAGAACAGAGGCTATCCACCATTTTTTTTCTTTTTACAACATTTTTTTCACCCTTTGTTGGTGTTCTGATTCATTCAAATGTTGTATCAAAGACAATTATAACCTGCTGCTCCTTGTGTAGTGCCATTTTCATGGTAAATTTCCCACAAAGTCAAAATACAAACAAACCAATTCAGCATCAGTTGTTGTTCTAACCTCTCGTTTACTTTTTTGGCTAAATATATGGTTCAGTCTCTCTAATATTTGGGTGTTTTTTTTCAATTTTGTCTTGTGTGTTAACATTTTTCAATTATGAACTAACCGTTTAGCAAATGTTAAAATTAGTTGATGATAAATGTATATGTCATAATACTTAGTGTGTTTACTAAAAATTTACAAGAGTAATTAGCCCACCTAAGCAATGAAAGTTCTAATTCTGTCCTCTAAATTTCTTAGAACTTCGTAGAAATTTCAATTTTTCTCTTCTTAAGTGGTCTAATTTATCTTCTAAATTTCTACCTACTCACTAAACATCCACCAATAGAAAAAGGTATAATTGAAAATTGTTAAAATATAAGGGACTAAATTGAAAAATTACATACAATAGGGACTGATTTGAAAAGCAACCAATCATTAAAGACTAAAACATATATTATCCTGTACTTTTCAATAGTCTATCTGTGACCTGCATTTTTTGGGGACAAAGAAATCATATGTGATCGAATCAAACATTATATTACAATAATTATCTAATGAATATACCAGGAAGCAAAGTTTGCTCTCTGATGCTCGCTTTGAAGGCTGTGGATTATAAACAAAGATTAAGAATAAAAATTTCAGCCAAGTGCATCAATAAACCACAACTTATAGTTAAAGTTATATTTCTTAAATGTATTAAATGACTTTGTATTCTATGTACATGGTTAGATTAAGGGCTGGTTCCAATGGAAATGAGATCATGGTGAAGGAAAAAGGAAGAGTCACTTCTTTTCTTATCAGTTTCCATTGGTCAGAAGATTTAGGCATGTTCGGGAGTGATTTTGGTCGGACCAAAATCACTAAAACGTTACTACTTTAAATAGAAGTAATCTTTTTTTTTATATCCGTGTGTCCGGACCAGCTTACGTACACCTCGACTATTCACGGGCCAACCGCCTAACCCTACTACATTTGGTTGACAAGGAAACTCGTAGGATATTAAATCTTAGGTAGATGGCCACCAGGGTTTGAACCCATTCCCTCTAAGTCCTTTTCTATTTACATTGGCCCTCATTGACCACTTGGGTCATCCCATGATGGTTAAATAGAAGTAATCTTAGTCACGTCGAAATCACTTAAACCTGCCCTAACGTTTTACAACGATATACAAGTGATTTTAGAAAATGACATACGCCAAAATCACTCCCAAACAAGTAGCTTATCAAATTCCAGGTTGAAAATGATTCCAAAAAAATTAAACTCAGAAGAAAGAGAGTGTCTTTTAACAGAATCGTTGAGAAAATTCAGAAGTTTTTTTTGGTAGTTGATAAGATATATAAATGGGGAAGTTGCAAATAAAGAGTACTGAGTCAAAACATCAGAGCAAAATGATGTGGCTTTGACATCAGTATGGTATAGCTGATGAACTTGACATAACAGGGACTAAAAGAAAAACAAGGGACATTAAAGACGAATCCTAATTTCAAAGATTGGATAAAGTAATATGGGGATATAAGGCTATCTTATTCTACTTTCAAACTGTTGAAGGGGCGTCCTCCCCTTCTCAGAAAAATTTACATAAGGTAACATCTAATCTACAAGATCCCGCTTTACAAAAACTCGTGAAATATTTTTCTATATTCAAATATGTGCAACTAGCTCTAATTATATAAGAGAGACCCATTACAATATAAGAAAAAAATGACAACAATAAATACCAAATATTAACCAGTGATATTTACACATAAATCTTTGTAAATAAAAAACACAAGTGACATCTCTCATGACCAATTAGAACACGATGAGATCAATAGATATAGTATCACTATAGGGAATTTTGAGTTGCTTAATATACAATATCCCATAGGGTTGTTTCAGATCATGAATGGAGCCAAGCCACCCATAGGATGTGTGTAACCAAATTCTTCTTCCACTTGACCTAGCAAGTCTCAAAAGTTTCCAATTCAAGTAACTTATTGAAACCTCAAAACTTTGGCTCCTGATAGTAACGTCCTTCCCTTGGGATAATTAGGAATATTGGTAGATCACCAGGAGTCGAAGCTTTGCTCTCCTATACCCGGGAGCACCCGCACCCACCCCAAAGCCTGGACCTAGGCAACATCAAGAGTTTTTTGGTATTAAACTTACCCAAAGATTCAAACTTGAGACCTTTAAGCCGGCATGACTAAGAGACCTCAAGCCCTTATCAATGAGGCTACTTCCTTGGGGGCTAGTTATTAGCCAAGTTATTGGTTATAAATAGAGGGAGTGGGACGAGACGAAGGTAGACAATTGTTTAGCGTGGTTTAGGCTTGAGCGATCTCAAGAGAGGGAGAATCCAAGTACCTCCAATTACTTAGTGATTATCAGTTTGTATTTCTTTTATAGTTCAATATATTTAAGTACCTGGTTCATATCAGCTCCTTCCTACATAAACTACATAGCAGCCCTTGTAAATTGTTGAAGAACTTGAAGATGCACAATGAGTTTTGAGAGATAATTTGGAATAAGAAAAAGTCTCAGAGTTTTGAGAGATAATTTGGAATAAGAAAAAGTCTCACTATATAGTAGAAAAGATCAAGTGGGTAGTGGTATGCAATGAGAAATGAGTGGTGAGTAATCTTTGGATAAAGCCTAATATGAGGCTGTGATGTATCACATATCCCTATCTTTCCAATAAGAACCAATTTCTGAGTTCCTTTAGATAGTGACTTTGTTGGTTGCTGCTGTTCTGTAATACGTTATAGTTTGGAAAGTTTTCTTTAAGTGTTTCGTTGCGCTGAGCGACTTGTATTCGGGGTAGTTTTTGAAGATTTACTTGTATTTCTGTTGTGTGTTTTACAAGTCTGTCATTTCATGGAAACTTATGTAACTTTTATGTTGGAAGTTGTGTTGGAAGACAGAGTCACCTGATTTTTCAGGGCAACAAGCCAACAGAGGACCATTTGAGCTGAAGATGTGTTTCCTGTTGAAGGATGGTTCAACAGTTATTAGTTTAAGCACTCTATACAACAATCGCATTCTCTTGTGAGAGATGAAAATGAAATATCTGAATCATGTCATTCGCTTGCTAAGTATACATTGAACAACTAAAATTATTTTAGGGTTCGTTTGATGACTATTTTGTTTTTTTTTATGTTTTTTAAACTAAGTTTATACACTACTTCCACCTATGTCAAAACATTTTCAGAATCTAAACCAAGTTTTGAAGACTATTAAACGTAGCTTTTAAAAAACTGTTTTTATTTTTAAAATTCGGGTAAGAAGTCACGTGCATTTTTAAGAAAGGTGAAAAATGTGTTAAAAGTAGACAAAATATTACCCAAAAGGACTTTGACGATGCAAATTCTATAACCATGAAAAATTATGAGAATCTTTTGCTTGATACACCAAAATTAAATAAATAAATAAGGCTCGTTTGATATGATAACTATTTTATTTTTGGCTTTTCGTTTTGAAAATTAAACTAGTAAACATACTTTCACCTATGTATTTCTTTGTTTTGCTATATACTTTTAAAAAATGTTCTTTGGTCTAAAACAAAAATCGAGAACTAAGAAAAGGACTTTTCAAAAACTGTCTTTGTTTTTTAGATTTTGCAAAGAATCCAAATGTGTTTGTAAGAAAGATGAAAACATATCAAATAAATTGGGAGCAGACAAGCATAAATTTTAAAAACTCAATACTAAAAACGAAATGGTTATAAAATAGCCTAAATAACAACAAGATCAAGGAGGTTTAGTTATAGGAAAGGGCAGAGACAGATATATATGGTTATGCTGCAGAATGTTCTCACTTTTTATAAGCCTATGTGAGGTTCACATGAGAACAGGACCTACAACTTATCATCACAAGGGCATACTAGGAAAATAGTTGAGATTCATTTATGTACTCATTGTAAAGAAAACAAAAACCTATACATGGAAATCGATTACTGCATAACTGAGAAATTAAACCATAAAACATTAGCCATTAATACCCTTTCTTCATTTTATTAAACAAAGTCATCTCCACCAAAAAAGACCAGTCAAGCTATGTAGCATCAGCAGAAGAATAAGGCTACTTTGACACATCTCTTTCACAGTGAATTTAACCTTTTACTCCATATTTGAACTTTGGATTTTTTGCCCTCGTTCCCATATGCAATATTTCTTAAGAAGCAAGAAGCTTAATTCTGTTTGTATGAAATAAACTTCCACTCATTTAACAGAGCAAATTTAAAAAGGGGCGAATCATGAGTTTAAAAGTAACTTACGACTGCGGTTCTGTTTCAGTTGGCCTCGAATCTAAATACTCTGAGATATGTTAACCGTCATTTCCATTGCTCTGACTCAATGAGATTGAGATGCTACCCACTTGACGATCTTATGCTCGACTTAGCGATTCTCGGAGTGAAGACTGTTTATGTCTGCTAGTGGATTCATAAACTTCCTTTTCTGGTTCTTCCAACATAGACTGCAAAGTAGGCCTTTGCTTTGGTATTTCTACAGCCTTGATAAGGTGCTTCCTTTTCATCAAATAGGCATTGGCAAAGATCCTTGCTCGATGTTAAGAACTCAAGTATCGAATCTTATAACTCCTTTTGCAATTGGGACGTTAAGAACTGAAAGAGAAGTAGTATACCAACCAGATAGTGAAGAGGGCCAGGGCTGTACCTATAAGGTCATGATGTGTTTCCTTAATCAACATAGAAAAGTCAAGGAAATAAGTCACAAGATCGTGTCGATTTATAACTCTATCTTAGATATAAAACTCTTTGAATGTCTAAGTCTTCAAATATAAACATCATCAGACAACATCTACCCATATGCTGATGAAATTACAACATCTTTTATGACTTGCACGCTGACGAGCTGTGGAGCTGTCTCATTTTTCGACTCAAATTCGGGCCTAGCTTCACTATTTGCTAGTCTATTCTCATCCATTGCATTGGCCCCATTGAAACAGTAACTTGTTGATAATTTGGAAAGCTTGTCAAATGGATCTGCCAAGAAAGTTTTTAAATTTTCTTGGCCACTTGTTTGGACTTTCTTTTCTGGTGCAAGAGGGGTCTACCCACCAAAATATGGGGCATATAGAAGTAAAGTTGGTCCATATAGACAAGAGGGTGCTTCAACCAATAGAGCAATCCCATGTGAGCATTTGATGAAAATGGGTCCCCTCTGACACCCATCTCCTACTCTTTTGTGCTCATATCCTCTCTATTTTCATTCTATAAATCCACACCAGATATCAACAAATTCTCATTCAAGTTCCGGAACTTCTCACTAAACTCGCTCGTTCTTCCATCGCCTAAATCAAGTTCAAACATGGGAGTTCGTCTGCCTTCGATTCTCCTTAACACCAAGAAAATTCTCACAATGCAATCTATTTCATCAAGATGTCGGTCCAACGTTCCCAAAGGCCACATGCAGTCTATGTGGGAGAGTTACAAAGGAAGCGATTCGTGGTGCCAATATCGTTCTTGAACCATCCTTCATTTGTAAGATTACTCAACAGAGCTGAAGAAGAGTTTGGATTCAAACATCCAACTGGGGGTTTGACAATCCCCTGCAGGGAAGATGCGTTCATTGATCTCACTTCAAGGTTGCATTCCTCATGAAAGAAAGAACAAAAACTACAATGCCACAAAACCAAAAGATAGTCGAAAATTTTCACCGACTTCTCTTTTCATTTTTGTTAGAAGAGAATCGAAGTAGAATAGAACATCATTGCATATCGATTTTCTGTAAACATATTAGAGCAATACCAACCAAACATTCTCTTAGAAAAACTTCGCATGCTCCAAGATGATTTTATGTTCTTTCTTTTCTCTGTGTCCAAACTTGCCCTTCTAAGTTAAAATCTTTCACACAATGTGGCTATGAACGAATCTCAAGTTGGAATTTGATGACTTTAAATTGGGAATCACTAAATCATATGCCATAACAGTAAAATAAGCCCTCCAGCCATTACCTCGAGGAAAACTTGACATTCTTTCAAAACAACCATATGACCTAACAGCATTTGGTCAGAATATCATGAAGAAGAAGACAACCGAACCGACAATGTTACGGCATTAAGCAAGTAAAAAATGGTCCAAGCCACCGTCATGGTTCCAAAACTGACAGGGTCCATGAACAGGCAAGGGCCGATGGTATTCACCGACTGAGACATTTGGGGTCCAGGGATGCAGGAATTGGCTCTTTCATTATGAGCAGATTCACATGGAGGTTTTATTTTCTTCAGTTTCCCTGTGATGCAGTGTGTCTCAGTGCAACAGCTTGGGCTACTATGACTTGAATGGAACTTGACCAATGGGCATGGGGTGAAAGAAGTGTACTCAAACACCAAACTAACAGTCCCCAAAGCCCCCACTTACCAATCCCTGCCCCAAATACTCTCTTTTTTTCTTTTTTCTTTTTTTTACAACGGGAGTCGAATCTTTACTCTCCTATACACAAGGGCACCGCACTCGGACCCAAATACTCTTTAAAATTAACCATCAGACAGACAAGTCTTCAAACCACGAAGTAAACTCAAATGTTTTTTTACTATTGATTCCTCCTCTAGTTGATTCTACCACAACCAGGTCAGGAATTCAGAGATCTTGTCTTGCTTTAAAATCCCTCTTTTAAATAAAAGATGGATAAGAAATAAAACCTTATACATGAAGGAATGTTTTCTTTTCTATGAAAAAGATTTTTACGATGTTACATCGAACTTGTTCCCCTGAAATCTTGGGTTTGGTTTATATTTCACTTACAGTCTTCATAGATCTCTTGTATATAAAATCCACACTAAATCGCATCATTTATTTGTCACCAAGTCTTCTGAAATTTTAGTGTCATTACCTCTACAAATTGGCATTTTGCTTAAGTTTTCGTTATGATTTGAGCAAGGCAGCCTTACTAGTTCTTCAGCGACAGCAAACCAAGTTAAATAAAGTAGGACTGATATTGTCACACAATATTAAAAACAAATCAATGAAGTATTCTCTCTCTCCTTGAATTTTTTTAGTACATGAAGGTATGAAAATTTGAATCTCATACGTTTAGGAAAAGAGCGAGTACCAACTAGCCCAGTAAAAATGATGCATTCTCCCTCAACTTGAAATTAACTGCTGTAAAAAGTTCAATTGATCTCACCACCATCAACTAATACAAAAGGTTAGTTTGAAAGTTTCCACATCAATAAATTTGTCCATAAATTATTGAATTTCTATTATAAGAGATTGTAGTATGCCGAGGATGAATTTAAAATGTTTGAAATGAAAAACTCTTAGTAAAAAAAACAATTATTTCAGATAATTAAAGACTGAAATACTTTTAATAGGCTAAAAACACTCTTTGCCCTCTCTAAAGTTGGCTAACCCCAAGTATAAATCAACACGTTTAATTTTTCCATTAAATATGATCTCGGCATTTGAAACTCATTCAAGTCTAGAAGTTATCCACACAGAAGTCAGAACAATGATCCAGGATGATCACCTAGTGTGTTTTATGATTAAAAAAAAAAAAACCACGAGACTGTTGCATTAATCTCCAAAGAGAATGAAAAGAGGTAAACCATAATAACTCAGCATAAGGAGATGTTAAAATTCAATTCCCTCTTACCCTTGGCAAGGAGACTCTTGATGAATAAATTGTTCTGTTTGCCAGAAATCTTTCCAATAAATAAACAAAGAAAAACATTGTAGGGTAAACGTGTTCAGCAGAGCAACAGGGAACCAACCTAAACAAAACTAAAGATCAAAAACTTTCTTAGTGAGACCAACAAACACGATTGAGATAATCAACTTGAACTAACATGCTTCTGGACAATGTGAAGTGCCTCGTGATCCTCCCCAAAGTCCTGGGAATAACACATTCAAAATTAAAGTAAACAAAAACGACATTTTGCAAACAAAAAAGGAATAGAACATTTTCTCTCGAAGTGATCATAAGCGTACCTTAACTACAACACAAGAACACCCAACAACCTTCCTAGCCTTTCCTTCAGAATCAATCTTGCATAGCTGCATTATACCGAATACAAAGAAAATTACTTAACTTTGAACTCCATATGAGCAATCTTTTGCAAGTAATATTGTTATATGTATATTAATCACACCTTGTTATCGAACTCAACAGATGGTGTAGAATGCAAATATTAGAGGCAATAACAAACTTTCACAATGGTATTGATAGCAAGACATGTTAGGAGGAAAATGAAGATTTCTATGCATTTTACATGCTCGAGAACATCTTTATATGATCTCGAGCATGTAAAACACTAACTAAACGTCAAAAGTCATAGGTTCAATCATGGTAGAATAACTATGGTATATTTATATAGTGATGCCAGAGATGATGGGAAAAAAGCAAAAGATAAGATAAACCATTTAATCTCAATAAACATGCTTAAAATTTACATTGGAGTTAGTTTGCTATCTACAATGGTATTTGTATTAATTGGGATGTTTTTATATCTCTAGTCCAGCCTAGCTTTACTATGCTTTCCGTTTTTTTCCTCTTTTTACTCCTCCCGGAGTTCATATCTTTTAAACATTTTTGTTTATTATCATTTATCAATGAAAAGCTCTATATCTTGTTAAAAAAATCACTTACACCGGCCCACTCGCCAAGAGTCTTTGCACTTGGAACTGTCATCAAGCTGACGTGATGCTCCCCACAAAGTGCCTTCACTAATTTTACATAATCTGGCTGGTTGCAGTCTTCTCCCAAGACGCATAGCTGAGCAGCATGCTTCTCAATTGCTTTAGCGCTCTCATGTAGGCCTCTAACAAGTCCACCATGGGCTAATGATTTCCTAAGAACAAGTTGCAAAGCCGTCTCGATGTCCATAGGCTCACCAAGAGCTGGGGCGGGAGCCTCAGCCACAACTGCACCTTCATCACTGCAAACGAAATAAGGTTGAGAGGGAATATAATATTACTCTATGGCATAATTCTTTGAAGCAATTGAAGAAAATTATATAAACATTGCAGCAAATATTAAGCCACTAACAGAAGAAGCCTCAATAGCTTTTCACTTCTAGGATGTTACAAATCACACAGGGATCTTGGCTGCTCAGTAACTATTTTTCAATCCCCAATGAAATGATGTTACGAATCACATATTGAACTTCAAAGTTCAATATTATATATGACCCAAAAGCCCAAAGCATATAATTTTCATCTCAAGGGAAAAAGATTTATTGTTTCGTCACCTTCGTCAATGAAGTTTCCACTTACAACTTCTTACTTATCCACACTCTAGAACAGTGAGCACTCGAATAGTTGATTACAAGCTGCAGATTCAACTTTAAAATAAAACAAAAAACCAGGGCATCGTCGATAACTAAATACTGAAAAGGAAGCAAACAAAAACGAAAGAAGAGGCAACTGTTCAATAACTCAGAAAATATAAACAACCACTTCGATAATTTTCACAAAAGAAATGGGAATTATCAGGGAAGTTGAAAGCTTGTTCAATATACAAAATTTCACTTACCCTGACATTTTTCTTCTTGATTTGAAGTTCTTTTTTCCTTCCTGTTGCAAAAAACAGCAAAAGAATAATTAGACAAAAGGGACATACAATTTGAACAAAGAAATACAAGAAGAAGAAGAAGGGAAGAGGCATAGAGGTAGGAGACGACTTGCGAACAGCGTAGAAACCGATCGAGATATTAACGGGCGCAGGGAATTAGGTCAGGAAGAAGTGAGGTTTTTTATGTAGCAGAGATTTGATTTTATGCACTGATGGAAAAACCCTAATTTCTAGTGAGAACTCCGGTTTGGTTCGGTTTTTTACCATAATCTATGTCGAACCATAATATCAGTTTAGCAAATAATTGGCTGGGGTTAATTTTTATGGTTGAACCGATTCCCTTTAGCTCGAGGAAAAAAACCCTACGATCAAGATTAACAACACAACATTTATTTTATGAGGGTCAAAATGGTAAATTGAGAGAATATATGTATGTAGAGGAGTATATTTTTTTCTTTGTTTTTTTTTTTAATTACATTGTATATTGTAAAAAATTCATAGAAATAGAAACTAAAGCTACCCCGTAGGGTTTTATGAAGGGGGAATTTTAAGCATAGATCCGAAAACCCTAATATCTGATGAGCACCCAGTTTGGTTCAGGTTTTTCCATAATTAAGAATCGAACCATAATACTTCTAGTAAACAATTGGCTTAGATTAATTTTTATGGTTGAACCGATTTCCCTTTAGTTTAAGGAAAAAAACATATGATAAAGATAAACAACGCATAGAATAAAATAATATATTACTGATCAAAATGGTAAATTGAGAGAGTATATGTATGTACAGGAGTGTTGTCTCAGTGGTGCCCGTCCTGATTCTTTTTTTTTTAAATTACATTGTATAGCGTAAAAAATGCTTAGTAAATAGAAATTTAAGCTATCATATAGGGTAAATATGTCATATTGAAATGAAAGAAAGAAATCAGAACAACAAATAAATATAAGTATTAAATTTAGAATTAAGAAAATAAAATACACCCCTGCCAAAGCGAGCATAGCTCAGCGGTAATTATCATATACGTATTCAAAATGCACATTCCAAACCAATTTGAAGTGATTTTGAGATTTTTTTAAAATAAATTTTCTAATTTACCAGACATGATTAATGAAAGGGAGGTGATTTTGAGAATGATATGTTATTTCGGATCCTCCCGATCAAGCTTGTGCAGGTAGATGTTGCCTTCCTTCCTCCCTTTCTTTCCCTATTTCCAAGATCGATATAGCCCTCTCGAAACCCAGCTGTTAGAGTCGCATTTCCGCAATGTCTTGTGCAACGCAACGATAATTGAGCCTCTATCATCTTCGAGAGATAGACTTAGTAAAAAGGCCCCGATGGATTTCCAGAATACGAGTTCGCTGCAGAGATGGTTTACTCTGAACTTGAGATTGCTGGGAGATTTTGCTCTTCCATCGAAAGGTATAGCCATAACCATAGCCAGCATGGATATTTTATACTTCCATTTTCAGTGTAATACATTCTATCTTGAACCAATTAATCTGTGTAACAACAAGCATGCTTGGACAATGGGTTGACAAAACAGAGATTTGTGATACAAACAAATTCAAACCACAGAATATTGTGTAAAGTTGGATCAGCTTTTATTAGTTAGGCAAAGCCATGTGGAAGGGTCTGCTCAAATCCCCAACCACCAGACTCCAATGCCCCACTTAGCTACTGGATAAGCACTTCTCACCTCAATGCCCATTTCTTCATACTCTATAAGCATAAACATGATATGAGCCTTCAAACACCAAATTCAGCTCTGACTCTCTTCTAGTTGGCTCTGTACAAATCTGATAAAAACTTCAGATCTTTCCACAGTCTTTCATCTCAAACAATGGGGATTAGATTGCTATCTTTGGTTCCTCATGCCAAGCAAGTGCTGAAGATGCAGTCAGGTCTTACCAAGAACCAGTTGGATGTTCCAAAAGGTCATGTGGCAGTTCATGTGGGAGAGATTCAAAGGAAACGGTTCGTGGTTCCGATATCTTACTTAAACCATCCGTCGTTCCAGCAACTGCTCGGCTACGCAGAGGAAGAGTTTGGCTTCCATCATCCGCAGGGGGGCCTAACAATTCCTTGAAAATAAGATACATTTACTGAACTCACTTCTAGACTGCAAGTATCTTGAAGGATGAAGAATAGAGGGCAATCAGCCATTTTTGACATATCTTTTTCTGGCCTTTTTCCAGATTCACTTGCTTTTTGACTTGCAAGAGAATGTATTGGAATGAAGCGCTGTCCTGCCTGTAAATGAGTGGCATTGTAAAGAAGCATTTACAAACAGAACTAGATAAAAACATATATACAGAAACAATTCAGTATCAACTTCTATGTTGCTTATTCTGTAGTCTATAGATCCTCAAAATTTTACTTTCACCATTCAATACCTCTGTCTTGCTCGTTCTATCTCCGCTCCGTATCCTTCTGTCTTCGTGTCTGAGAAAAATAATTGATGTGAAAAATACTGTAACGAGAATGAGGCTGGTCCTTACAGTCTAACAGCTGAAATCAAGTTGAAGTTCCATTAATAACTCTACAGCTTACCAAAAGCAATAGAAGGCACAGGCAAATTTACAACTCAGAATCTAATAACATGATCTGTCGCATTCCCAGAGTGAGAATGATTACATCCATGGTAACGAATAATATTCTTTCTTATCTAAATTGCAAAATGGTTTGCAGACTTTGTGTATGCGAACAATTAATAGAGAATGAAAAGATACTTGATATCTTTTTAACTGCCTTCTAAGCTGCACAAGTAGAAATCTTTCAGGGATCATTTAGGCTTCATATAGAACAGAAAGACAAAACCGTGACAAAGAATAAGTTTTTTAGTTCACTAAAGTGGCTAAGAACATAGCATTCTCGAAGAAGAACTCTTAATAGGCAGAGTTGGTAATCGCCTAAACCTAAACCTAAACATGGATATGGCTTATTCGTCACGGGTGTTGGGTTCATGTTCTTTCTGATTCTGTTGATGCCTTCTGAGACTTCATTCCAATGACAATGAGCAGTAGCTCTTTGATGGCTCTTGATCCAAATGAGGATTGAGATGTTATGATAAACAAATCGTTATTGCAAAACAAGTAAATAGTTCGTTGGGAAATGGAATTTTGGTAAAAGAAGCTTTTAGCATTGCTTGCCTATTGCTATTTCCAGGTTGTCTAATGGTCTTCAGTCGTTATTCCAGATCTTCAATCCTCGATCGTTCCTTGGGCTAATTTCACATGTTCTTGCTAGTTTATTTTCCAGATATGTGGCAAACAAGAAAAACATATTCGCCATAATTACGATATCCTTTGCTGAGGCTGCTAGTACTACCTAGCTCAGGCAATAAGTTGCCACCCGATGGCGGGAAACATATATTAGAACCACCTTAATGACAAGTCTCTGAGATTATGAACGTCCACGAGACATTTATGTCCATTTCTGCTGATAATGTTGCAATATCCACCACGATATATACCACATATTTTTTTAGAGGTCCAATATTTCAACTTGATTCTAGTTCTATAGTCCTTTTCTCAATACCTACTTATATTTTCAGCCAGATGAATATGTTTGAATATGACTTCATTTTATTGGGACAAGTGGGTCCAGAGTACCAGAAGTTGGATAAAATTTGAAAGTGACTGTATTTCAAGTCTTCAACCACTTGAGCAACCCATGTGAATATTTGCTGAAGCAGGTTGTCTCAGACACCTATCCTCTGTTCTGTTGTTCTTATCTCCTCTCCTTTCTCCTATATATACATATCAAATAAACAGCCCGTCTCCAACACAAATCTTCTCACATATTCTCATTCACCATTGCCAGATCCACATCAAGAGCTCAACAATTCAAAAAGTCCATTGTTTTCTTTCTTTAATCGAATTTAGACATGGGAATTCGTCTACATTCTGTTCTCTTTAGTGCCAAGCAAATTCTCAGAACACAATCTGTTTCTGCGAGATGTCGGTCCAATGTTCCCAAAGGTCATGTTGCAGTGTACATCGGAGAAATTCAGAGGAAGCGGTTTTTGGTTCCAGTTTCTTACTTGAACCATCCTTTATTTGTAGACTTGCTCGGTAGGGCTGAAGAAGAGTTTGGATTCAACCATCCTACAGGAGGTTTGACCATTCCCTGCAAAGAAGAAGCCTTCGTTGATGTCACTCCTGGACTGCATACTCCATAGAAAGAACAAAGTGCAATCCTGCTTACAGTTTGACAACATTTTTTCCAATTTTTTTGTCCATGGGAGATAGAGTTGAATGTCACAATAAAGGAAGTTTTATATGTAGATGATTAGATTAGAAAGGGTGGAGAATTACAAAGCCACTTGAACATCAATGACAAATATCAGTTGCAATTAAAGTAACAGTTTTTCATCTTGCAAAACAAAACCTCATTGATGATTTTAATGAACTGAAACTTTTGATCTGTAAACAATGGTGTCTCTTTATATGTACTCATCCTCAATGTGTCACTAATGTGAAATTATGTACAAGTTTTTTCTTAGTCTGACAAAGTAGGCTTTTTGCTATTTTCAGAACCAAATTCCATGCATTTAGGAGGCAGATCCATTTCCATCATTTGAAGAGAGAGAACAGAATAGGAACCAATTTTACAACATGGGCATTTTTTGTTATTGAAAACTAGATGATGGATAAATAGAGATAAAAGCTAAGTGCCATCAGAATTCCCTTCTAGACTGAAGGATAATCAACTTTATTCAAATATGGCAAAATCTTCTTCTTTAATTAAATTTTTTCGCGCGAAACCAATGAAGCATCGAGACAAAATTTAGAGGAAACTCACTGGGAATTCCTTTAAGCACAGTTGAACTACGTGGGGTAGAACTTCAGTGTAACAATGATCAAAGCATTTTAAATTCTGAAGACTTTATGTGAAAGGGAAATAATTAAAGAATTCACTTCATTACTAGAGAATGATGAAGTACTTGATATCCTTTCCATTGCCTTCCAAGCTGCAAGAGTTGCAATCTTGCAGTGATCACTTAGGCTCATTACAGAACAGAGAGAAAAAATCTAGAGTTATTTTTTAGCCTGTAACATTCTCAAAAAAAGAACTTCTAAACGAAGTTTGCAATCTTCCAAAATCGGCCATGGCACCGAGTTTATGTTCTGTCATGTATCATATTTTCTTTTTTTTTATGCCTTCTGAGACTTCGTTCAAATGAGCGAAAGCGAAAGCGGTTAGTTGGGAAATGGATTGTTGTATGTTGAGAACCACTCTGCTTAGTATCACACAGGAGGAAACATATATTAGGGCCACCTTAATGACAAGCCTCTAAGATTACAAACATCCATGAGACATTTATGTCCTTATCTGCTGATGATGTTGGAATATCCACCATCATATACAGCACATATTTTGAAGTGTCCAAATTTTCAACTAGATTCTAGTTCTTTTCTCAAATTTTCAGCCAGATGTATTTTTTTGGAATATGGCTTCATTTGTTGGTACAAGTGGGACCTGAGTACCAGAAGTTGGATCAAATTTGAAAATGAGTGTACTTCATTCATTTGAGCAACCCATGTGAGTATTTGATGAAGCAGGTTGGCTTGGACACCCATCTGCTATTCTTTTGTTCTTATCTCCTTTCCTTTCTCCCCTCCTATATATACACACCAAGTAAACATATAGTCTCCAACTCAAATCTCTCACATATTCTCATTCAAGTAGTTCACTTTACCATTTCCAGGTCAATATCAAGAGCTCAGTCAATCAAAGCTCTTCTTTGTTCTCACTTCAATCAAATTTCAACATTGGAATTCGTCTGCCTTCCGCTCTCCTCACTGCCAAGCAAATTCTAAAGACGCAGTTCGTTTCATCAAGATGTCAGTCCAATATTCCCAAAGGCCATATTGCGGTGTACGTGGGAGAAAACCAGAGAAAGAGGTTTTTGGTTCCGATTTCCTACTTGAATCACCCTTCATTTGTAAAGTTGCTCAGTAGAGCTGAAGAAGAGTTTGGATTCAACCATCCAGCAGGAGGTTTAACCATTCCCTGCAAAGAAGAAGCCTTCATTGATGTCACTTCTAGACTGCATATCTCATGAAAGATCAAGAACGAAGAGGAAGTCCTCTTCACAGTTTTGACAACTTCTGGTTTCATTTTTGTCTATAGGAGACGGAGTTGAATATCACTGTAAAGTGACACATATGAGCTGCAATTTAATTAAATTTTTCATCCACCAAAACTTGTGTTTCATCTGCCTAGTGATTTTCAAATAACCTAATCGGCAAGGTTTCCACTTTTTTCTTTGCCGTGTGGACCAATCTTCATATGTTCAATAATTACCATTGAAATTACAAGATTTAGCTAATTGGAAGAATCCTGATAAACTTGTAGATAGGGAAAAGAAGAAAACAGTAGCAATGACAAATATCTGTTGCAACGGAAGTAAAATTTTCTTGCAAAAAAGAACCTTACTGATGAAGTATCATATCAACTTCCTCTAATAATGAAGAGAGACTTAACAATGTAATTACACAAATTAGAGATTTAAAACCTTCTGCTGCCTTCATAAGCAACCGAGAGTTATAACCAACTGAAACTTTTGATCTGTAAGAAATTGAGTATCTTTACATGCATACATCCTATATGTGCCACTAATCAGAATTTGTTTTTTCTCAATTCATTTGTTGTGCTGTCAGCTTGGATAGAAAACAATGGCAGTAAGAGAGGAAAAAAAAGAAAAGAAACCAAGTACTAGATTTAGAGACTGCCAGTTAACATTATGCGGAGAATTCGTGAGGCAGTTTATGAATTAGACTTACGGTCTTCGATATTTTACAAATTTGATAATAATTTTTCGATGAAGTGACATAAGAATTCCCTCCTAGAATGAAGGATGATGGACATAGGGAAAAAAACCATCAATCAACTTTCGTTAAATATGGCACAATTTTCAGCTCACTTAAAACTTTTTGCATGAAACCAATGAGGCACCGAGTCAAAACTTAAGGAAACTCACTGGAAGTTCACTTAAGCATGGTTGAACTCACACGTGAGGGAGGAACTTCAGTTGAACAATAATTAAAGCATTTTAATTTCTGAAGACTTCATGTGAAAAGGGAAATGATTAAAGACTTTAATTCATTATTAGAGAATGATGAGGTACTTGATCTCTTTTCCATTGCCTTCCAAGCTGCAAAAGTGGCAATCTTGCAGCGATCATTAGGCTCAACGACAGAAAGACAGAATCGTTACAAAGAGAAGTTTTTCAGTCCACTTAGGTGAATATAAACCATAGAATCCTCAGTTTGCAATCTTCCAAACCCAAACAAGAACCAATGGCTTATGGGTGAATGGTGCCGAGTTTATGTTCAGGCATACATCATTTCTCATGTTCTTTCTGGTTCTTTTGATGCCTTCTGGAACTTCGTTCTAATGAGAGATATGGCTTATTTATGGCTCTACATACAAGTGAATGTACCAAATAGCATTATCTTAGCAGAATTTTTATAGGTAGTTGGCAATCTCCTAAAGCCAAAGATGGACCAATTGTTTATGAGTCAATGGTGTTGAGTTTATGTTCCGGTAAGATATCATTTTTCCACGTTCTTTCTGCCTCTTTTTATGCCTTCTGAGACTTCGTTCAAATGGGAAATGGATCTCTATATATAAATGAGAATTGAGATCGTATGATAGTTGGGGAATGGATTTTTGTATGTAGAGAATCACTTTGCCCACTAATATACTCAGCAGGAAACAGATACTAGAACCACATTAATGACAAGCCTCTAAGATTATAAACATCCATGAGACATGTATGTCCTTATCTGCTGATGATGCTGGAATATCCACCATGATATACACCACATATTTTGAAGTAGTCTAAAATTTCAACTTGACTCAAGTCATTTTCTCAAAATTTCAGCCAGATGTATTTGTTTGAATATGAGTTCATTTACTAGGACAAGTGGGTCCCGAGTAGCAGAAGTTGGATCAAGTTTGAAAATGAGTGTACTTCAACCACTAAAGCAGCCCATGTGAATATTTGACGAAGCAGGTTGGCTTTACACCTATCTGCCACTCTTTTGTTCTTATCTCCTCCCCTTCCTCCTCCTATATATACACACCAAATAAACAACTGATCCTCAACTCAAATCTGTCACATATTCTCATTCAAGTAGTTTCAATTTACCATTTCCAGATCCATATCAAGAGCTCAGTCAATCAAAGCTCTTCTTTGTTCTCAATTCGATTCCATTTCGACATGGGAATTCGTCTGCCTTCCGTTCTCCTCACTGCCAAGCAAATTCTAAAGATGCAGTTCGTTTCATCAAGATGTCAGTCCAATATTCCCAAAGGCCATATTGCGGTGTACGTGGGAGAAAACCAGAGAAAGCGGTTTTTGGTTCCAATTTCCTACTTGAATCACCCTTCATTTGTAAAGTTGCTCAGTAGAGCTGAAGAAGAATTTGGATTCAACCATCCAGCAGGAGGTTTGACCATTCCCTGCAAAGAAGAAGCCTTCATTGATGTCACTTCTAGATTAGTAGACGATGCTTGACTCGTTGAGCTACGCTTGGATGGAACTGAACAAAATTTGGCGACTGCATATCTCATGAAAGATGGAGAACAAAGAGGAAATCCCTCTTCACAGTTTTGACAACTTCTCTTTTCATTTCTGTCGATACGATACACAATTGATTATCACTGTAAAGGAAACTTTTTACATGTAAAGTGACAAATATGAGTTGCAATTGCAACTGAGTTAAAATTTTCATCGACAAAAACTTGTGTTTCCACTTTTTTCTTGCAATGTGGGGGACAAATCTTCATATGTTCAGTAATGAACCAGTAAAACTGCAAGATTTAGCTAAGTGAAACCATCCTTATAAAACTGCAAGATTTAGCCAACTGAAATTAGACAAATGAGTAGAGTTTCAGCTGTCAGCAAATCCCCAAGAACTAAACAAAAAAGAGTTATAATGAACTGAAACTTTTGATTTGTTAGTGGTACTGGAAACAAGGTCCGCACCAGCAGCAACCCAAATGACGGAACATAGCTCTGATTTTTCCGACGACGCAATTTTCCCGATTACTGGGCATCAGTTGAACGGAAAAAACTATCTGCAATGGTTCCAATCAGTGAAGATGTTCATTTGTGGTGAGGGAAAAGATGATTAGATCACCGGTGTGGCTACTCAACCTCAGGCCACGGATCCTAAAGTCAAAATTTGAACAGTATGGTAATGTGCTGGCTTGTAAACTCCATGAATAACGAAATAGGAAAAAAATTTCTCCTTTATCATACAGCAAAAGATATCTGGAAGGCTGCAAAAGAGACTTTTTCAGACCTAGAGAACATGGCTGAATTTTTCAAAATTGAAAGAATTCTCCATGACTTTCGCCAAGGTGATCAACTTGTCGCTGAATACTTGAGTCCATTGGTTCGATATTGGCAACAGTTAGACCTATATGAAACAAAGGAATGGAAATGCCCAACTGATGCTGCCATGTATCAGAAGATTATTGAAAAGAAGCAGATTTTCAAATTCTTGCTTGGCCTAAACAAAGATCTAGATGAGGTAAGAAGAAGAATTCTTGCTACTAACACTATGCGTAATATTAGAGAAGTGTTTGCTGAAGTACGCAGAGAAGAAAGCACAATACAACTGAAAATCAACGAAGGAAAGGAAGACCATGGTGCCAGCATTGCGAGAAAGTTGGGCACACCAAGGATACTTGTTAGGAGATTCATGGAAAAGCAAAGGGAAAGCATATCAAACCACAGCCATTCCCACCGAGGATCGTTCCAATACTGAAAAAAGGGTTTCAGGATGAAGTTTCACCAGAAAATTTTCAATAAGGCAATGAATCTCCATGGATGATAGTTTCAGAAGCCATGACAGGTAACCTCTATATATTAACAAACTATAAACCTTGTCATGAAAATTGCACTAAAAGAATAGCTGATAGCTCTTTATCAAAAGTAGTAAGGGTTGGGTGAGTTCTTATCTCTAGTACCTCAATTCTCTAGTATGTCTCGTATGTTCCTAACTTGGATTGTAACCTTATGCCTATACCTAAACTTTCTCAAGATAAAAAAAGTGTGTTGCAAAATTCTATCCTAATGAACGTCCTTTCAGGATTTGGATTTGGGGAAGATGATTGCCAATGCTGAACTTATCTCTGGCCTCTACATCCTTAAAGCATCACTTCATCAAGAGTGATTGAATTCAACTAAAGAAGTATGCTACACATCTAAAATAGATCACAATAATCAATTTTTTATTACATTATCTTCTTGGACATCTGAATTTTATGTATTTGAAAAGGTTTATGCCTGATTTATTCAATAAAAGGTTATGACATTAACATCAGTAAGCAATGGGGTCTCCTTTATGTATACATCATATATATGTCACGAATGTGAAACTGAATACAAGTTTCTTAATTCCTTTTGTGTTGTGATGTCCTTCAAATAGAAGGTATTAGGAAGGGGGGAAAAAAGAAAGAAACTAGGACTGATTCAGAAATTGTCAGCTAATATTAAGCAGATAATTCTGGAGATGATTCTTAAATTAAAGTTACAATCTTCTTACATATATGATAATCATTTTTTAGTGCTGAAAAAGTATGCTAAGGACCAATCTCATACGTTAAAGAAAGAGATCACCTGATTACAGACAGTTCAGAATTTGGACAGGACAGAGGAGAAAGCATCGTATGAGCGTAAAGATTTTAAGGTAAGATTGCAAATCTTACATACTTTCCAAGTAGAAAAAATGATATTGGTTTTTATTGCTGAGGTGCTCAGTATTCTGACTGCTGTGCCTGTGCCAGAGTTTTTGCAATGTCTTATTAAAAAGAAGGTGATTTCATTGTCATAGCTTATCCATCATTGTCATTCTACTAAAAGTTCATGTCCTAGCTACATCAGCAGGACGTCGAGTTCATTAAATTAGAAATTGGCTGTTCCATAGAAAGGCAATCACAAGGATATTTTATTCTTCCATTTTCAATGTGATTCACTTTATCTTAGTATGTTGAATCATTTAATTCAGTGAAACAACTAACGTGCTTCAACAGTGGCTTGTGATGAAGGGACCAACTTTGCCAGCAAAACAGAAGCTTGTGAATACAAACAAATACAGACCACAGAATATGTGTGGAGGCTGAGGAGAGAATTGGATGAGTTTTTCTGAATTAAGCAAAGCCATGTGAGAGGGGCCACTCAAATACCCAACCACCAGACTCCAATTCCCTACTTAGCCATTGGAGAAGTACCACTCATCAGTAACAGCTTTGTCTTCAGAAACTCTATAAATATAAACCTCTCATAAGCCTCCAAGAACCAAATACAACTCAAAACTATTCAACTGCGACTTCCTCTTCTATCTGGTTCTTTACCAATCTGATCAAAACTTCAGACCATCTCAAACAAATGGGGATTAGATTGCTATCTTTGGTTCCTCATGCCAAGCAACTCCTGAAGATACAGTCAGGTTTTACCAAAAGCCAGTTGGATGTTCCAAAAGGTCATGTGGCAGTTTACGTGGGAGAAATTCAAAGGAAGCGGTTTGTGGTTCCGATATCTTACTTAAACCATCCATCATTCCAGCAACTGCTCAGCCACGCAGAGGAAGAGTTCGGCTTCCATCATCCACAGGGAGGCCTAACAATTCCTTGCAAAGAAGATGCCTTTATTGTTCTCACTTCTAGATTGCAAGTTTCTTGAAGGATGAAGACAAGAGGACCATGTGCCATTTTTGACGGAAAAAACTTTCTGCTTTTTTCCTAACTTGCCTTTTGGTTTACTCTAGGATGTAGTAGAATGAGCACCTTCCTTCTTTCCTGTAAGTGAGTGGCATAGTAGAGGTGCATTTACTAACAAACTGAATCAAAACAATAGACGAATTCAGCGTCAATTTCTAGCTTATTCTTTTCTTCTCCATCTGTTACAACTATTCTGGGCTCTGGGGAACATATAAAATTTGTTGCTAAATAATCATATATCAACAAATCATCTGAATATTATATCGAAACTTAAAAGTATCAAATTTATCCAAAAGAATGGGATGGGTAAATGCAAAGTTATGAACTGCCCAGTAATCGAGTGTGTTGATTGTGAATGTTGGCGCTCATGTAAATTCACTTTGTTCAAGTTACCCTCTTTCCCCAATCTTTTTGTTGTACAAATTGTACAGGGTCATATCCACCAAGTCATGGACTTGTTATGATGATAAAAATCACAAATTTCAATGCATGATCTTGGTTTTAGGGTCAATTAACGGATCTAAGCGAGAAGGATTAAGAGTAAACACACTCACTCAGGGAAAAATCTTAGGATAAATTAGTTTTAGTTTTGCTGAAGTTTGGAGAATCAAGATGGTGGGTCTTGAGGATCGAAAAGTTCCCAACCTGAAGAGTTTTGATTTGTTGTGGCTGTTTTTTCGTTTGCCTCTTCTCTTTCTATTTGAAACCGAAGACGCTTCCTTTTCCTTCTTCGACTCTCTCCTTCAAACCCTACCCCACATCTTATTGCCTCTTCCGCCGATTCTGGACCTTTCAATCTCGCAACTTTAGTAGTTAATTGCACAAAGAAAGACTCCTGCCGCCATTTTTTCTGATTTTGTTCTATTGTTTTTCGTTTTCATGGGACTCTTCTTTCACTTCTCGCCTTTGATAGCTGAAAATACCCTCTTATGCGCGAGACGATCACGATGAAGCCTTTTTTTTTTTGTTTTTTCTTTCCCTCGTAACTTTATTTTTACCTCGTGCATGCAGGAATCAGGATAGTGGCTTGAAGAAGCTCTCGGCTAAGCTTGTAAACTGCTGCTCGATAACGCCCTCCTTCCGCTTTTCTCTCGTGCGCGCTCTGTGAGTATCTCTCGCCCTCTGTTTTCTTGCGAAGACCAGCGTCCCTCTTACATCGCTTAATGAAAGAAAGAGGAACACTGGAATTGTTAAAAATGTATGCTATCTCTAGGCTTACTAAAGAGTCTGCTGCCACCGTCTCTGATGCTGCAGCACCTGTTATAGCATCTACATAGCCTCATTCGCAAGCCCATTCGGTAGAAATCTTCTTTTCTAAAACAAGATTCGAACTTTTCGTTGATAGATGATTCAAACAAAATTATTAATCAAACTTCGAATCGAAAGGAGTGAAAAGGGAAAGAAAAAGAAAACAAAGAAAAGAGACAAAAGAACCGAAAACTATAGAGGAGTTATAAAAGCCTCCCAATTCATACAAATTAAACTAGGTGAATAATTAGCAAAAAGATCGAAAAGAGCACACTATTGCGAAGTTTTAGATTTAGCGGCATTGAGGCGCTCCACATTAGGTTGTTGGGATTTGTTTGATCCAGGTTTGAAGATGCAGTCAAAACATTTGGTTGTTGTAGATTATGCTCTAGGTGAATTATATGGAGCCAAAAATATTTTGGTCACTGGCTTCTTAAACTAAAGTTCTCTTTTTATCATGTATTTAAGAAGGGAAACGTCATTTTGATTGCTTATACAACTTTAATTCTTGATATAATTTAAAATGTATCTTAGGAAGTTCAAATTTTCTTCTGAAAATTCATTTATACTTTTATTGGAAAATTTGTGCAAAAAATATATTATGATAACACACAATACTTTTAAAACTTTTTATTACCTCCTATGCATGTGAATTTTCTCTCCTAAATTGAAGGGTACTACAAAGAGAGGGAAAATAAAAGGTAAGTGCGGAGGAATTGATGCTTTATCCCCAAAATGATGATCCTGCAACTGAAAGAAGAAATAGAAAATCATATCATACCTATGCTAAGTTACGAAACCTTTTGAAAAAAAAAGCAAGCTGTTGTCTCCATATGAATTTCTGCAAATATGCATTCTATTGCCAAAAGCTGTATTTGATGAACTTGACAACAGTCTCCAGGAATCAAAACTTGGGTTCATAGTTGCTGTATCTAATGATCTCATTTCAAGACTGCAGAGTTCTTGAAATTTGACCAAGTATCCTTTTTCTTTTTAATTTAGTCAAAGTAGAATACTAGTGTTAAATCACCACTAAAATCCAAAATCTTAGGCTGACATGTTATGGAAAATTTAATTTTTTATTGATTCTTTAACATTTCCTTGACTCATGGGCTTGGAAATTATCATAAGACCACCAAGTGATTATCAATATTAAAGGAAGAGAAAATGACATTACAGAGTTTGATCTTCGATTTGATACTATGTTAAATCATCACTAAACTCATAACTTCAAGCCAGTGGATCCTGATAAATTTAATCTTTTAGAAATACTTTAACAACTAAATAGTCCGTTCATGTAAATGAGAGATAGAAAAGGATGTCAATCGTTTATCTTCTCGTACATTTTAGTTTGCATGAGTTGTATTGACAAAGCTACCGAGTAGTAGAAGCAACAGTTTTGAGATAAGTTCCTTGTGTTTTATCATCATGTTAGGAAATAAGATATCTGAAAATACTTGAGCAGAAAGCTTTGCTCATTGAAGTGTAAGAAGTGAGGCGCCCATTTTACCTAATACTCAGGTAGGAGAAACTTTTGGAAATAACCAAGTAAAAAAAAAAAGTACATATATATATATATATATAACTTCTAATTTCAATTGCCGACAACTGTGACCGTGTCAGAAAAAGCTAGAAAATAGGATTTTGACACGTCAAGGTGTTTAGGAAAAGGGAAGTTCCAATATCATCATTTTATCCAACTTCCTTTGCATTGGTTGACAGCTGGTTCCAGCTACAGAAGCTGTTTAAAGTTGATTCAACCACTAAATTTCACAAAGAAAAACATGATTACACCCTTATTCAAATAGTTCTTCTTGGCATCTCAGTGAGGCTCCACGATTCTTTGGTTATAATTCAATGCACTTGGTACCATCCTTGTCCCAATCCAACCAGGGCACTGCGTCAGTGAAACAGTTTCTCTTGCAGTGAGAGCAAATCTCACTGATACCATGTTCTTTCTTTTCCCATGTAGATAATTCTTTGTTCAAGGATCCAGTTCTGTTAACCAAGATTGGTTGTTGGATAAGATAATGACTTCAATCAAACAACTGGGATGGCAGAACGCACAACCAAGAAAGAGAGGTGTAAAATCTTTTCCCAGTTGTGGCAAATCCTGAGTAGTGCTGTCAGATCCCCAAGTGCACTGGAAAAGCACCTGCCACCTGCAAAACTATTTTCTTCAAGGCTATAAATATGGACATTAAGTTAGTTTTCAAACACCAAACTGAACTCAAAGACATTCATTTGCTACATTCTCTTTGGTTCTTCACCAATCAACTTCAAACATTTAACAAGCAAGGTTAATAATGGGCATTTATTTGCCATTCTGGTTTCTTCATGTCAAGAAACTTCTAGAAGTTCATTCAGGTTTCCCCAGAAATCAGTTATATGTTCCAAAAGGTCATGTAGCAGTTTATGTGGGAGAGATGCAAAGAAAACGGTTTGTGATTCCCATATCATATTTGAATCATCCTGCATTCCAACAGCTGCTTAAACACGCTGAGGAAGAGTTTGGATTTCATCATCCTCAAGGTGGTCTAACAATTCCTTGCAAAGAGGATGTATTTCTTGATCTCACTTCTAGATTGCAAGTCTCTTAATATGAAGAGGAAGGAAAATTCACCAAGTTTAGATGACTTTTCTTTTTCTGTTTATTGAATCATATCTGAACTTGTACTAAAATGTTGTAGGAAATCCTAGAACAATTCCTTCCAGAATGTTAATGAATGGCACTGAGATTCTGAAACTTTAACTAATATATGATCAAAAGAAATGCGGCTATTTCTTTTATAATATGTTTTTGTGGCGTATTTAAATACTATACAGACCCCTCCTTTCAGGGACAGATAAATTCTATGTCATGTCTCCCAAACATTTTCTTGCCATTGACATCTGACCGAATAAGCAGAGAGCATAGAATAGTTGCATGATTTAGTGTTGCACTGAAACAGTCGTTATTAATTGAAACAGTAAAACTATGAATATCAAATGGATGCCTACGGTAAGGGGCTTTTGGTTTCAATTAAGATTTGGTTTTCACATAAGTGGGATTCAGGAAAGATTAAAAAAGATGAAATTTTATACAAAACTCTAGATCCCTTTACATCTCTAATGAGCATCATTGCTCATTAGAGGACAATGAAAGCATTGAGAATTTTCACGATCATTCATTTATCCAAGAAAAAGTTTTGAGCTCAGATATATCTAGTAACATTGCATGAAAAAGGAAAGGAAAACACAAGGAATTTAGGTGAATCAAAATTCATGAATGGGCACGGTGTTCGTATAAGAAAATGTGACTGTCTATTTCCATTTTTATGTTTACAGCTTTATGTATCTCCTTTCCACTACTTATCATCCACATGTAGATCTGACTATACATTGATATTCTACTCCTAACTACGGGAGAAAATTGGAGGGAATCTGGCAAAACTGTGTGGAGGATTGATTTTTTTCTCTCTTTCAGGAAGTTTGTAGCTTGGATGTGAGATTGATGAAGACATCTTCTCTGCAAGGGATTGTCAGACCTCCAGTTGGATGTTTGAATCCAAATTCTTCTTCAGAACTCTTGAGCAAAGCAGAAAAAGAAGGATGGTTCAAGTATGATATTGGAACTACAAAGCGTTTTCTTTCCATATCTCCCACATAGACTGCAATATGGCCTTTGGGAACACCACATTGGTTTCTTGAAGAAACGGTATGCATCTTGACAACTTGCTTGGCATTGAGGAGAAGTGAAGGTAGTCTGATTCCCATGTCTAAATTTGGAAGGGTTTCTGCTTGCTTTGCAGATCTAAAATTTGGGAAGAGTAGAACTTGAATGACGCTCTGTTTGAAATTTGAGTTGTGGAGATTGGAGTTTATTTGATCTGTATTTATGGACTCAGAATGGAGAAGTGTGAGAAGAAAATAGTATCAAGTAGGTTTCCAAGAGGGCCTACTTCATCAATGCTCACATGGGTTGCTTATTCGGTATGAATAGACGCACTTCATCATGTGCCCTAACTACTGGTGAGCAGCCCCACTCGTTTCAGTGAGGTGTAGTTATAGTCCAAAATAAGGGGTCAAGAAAGCTTGAAAACCATATGCAATGTCCTGGGAGATCAACTAATGACAGGCCCATATGACCAAGCTTTCATCATCGATCATATACTAGAGGGTACCAAAACAAGAATAAATTTTCATTGATAATAGACTAATCAAAAAATAAATGAGATGCCAGTCCACTTGTAAATTTTCTTTCGGGAACAAGAATAATACTTGTCTCAAGCATGCTATGATCTTAGAGGTTTTTTATCATTTAGGATTGTCTAATACATGTTTGCTTGTGTGTAATAGAGATGCGTATAATATTTCTCCATAGTTCTGACTTATCTATTATAAGGAGTCAAATTCATGTCCTCGCTCTTCAACTATCTTTGTTGAAATTGGTCTATCCATGTACCTTTTCTCCACTTGTTTCGCTTTCCTGGTATATTTTGTTAGTAGCATCTCATGATGATGCTGGTACTATATAACGAGCCAATAAGATTGTATTCACAAGCTGCATATTTTCTGTTCTGTTTCTCGTGTCCTGGGAAATTCTTTTTATTTTTACGTTTTTTCCACCTTATGGGGTACCAAAAGATCAGGTGGCCTTCTCAAGTTTATGTTACTTCGAAGTCTATGGAAGAAGCCAAGAGTTATTGTTGGGGAAAACCAGAGAGGTAGTTCATGATTCAAGTTTCACTCTTAAACCAGCTGCTCGTTTAGTATTTTGTTGCTCAAGTAGGGATTCGGTCAAGACATGGAATGTTTTGGAAACAAACATAGCAGGAATCTCAGATTTTTGACCTAGGATTAACAGACTTGAAAGCAGTTGCATCGTCATGCTCTGGATTAAGATTGATCATATCAATGCCCTCCTGCATTCCAAGGTTCGTGTCTTTATTTCGGTCCAGAAAAAAGAGTTGTTAAGTGTTGGTTATATTTGCTTAAAGGCTGAGCAGCTACATATGTTTTTGTCAAATTTTTGTCAATTCGTTTAGCTGGTAAGTATTGGAGGGAGAAAGCAGAAGCATTGTATGTGAGAAAGGAGATTCTTGATTTGAGGAAAAAGCTAAGCTGGATGGATACCATTTTCTGTTCCTAATGATCAGTATGTAGAAAGTGTTCACTGAGCACTCTCAAATCTCAGATAGTAGGAAATGCTAAGTTGGGATATATTTATCACCAGATCCGGATTTTAACCAATCCAATTACAAAAGGCAAGACTGATTTGTGGGAAATAGTAAAGGGTTATACATTGTACAGAGGAAATGAATGTTGAACAGGAAGCCAGATGAAGCATCAATCATTTTCAATCGGAAGGGAATTTGATCAGCATATTATACATTTCACAAAGGAATGCAATATGAGGCAGTGCGGCTACTGTTATTAAGAAGACACAAGAGCAAACTACTTAAAATAATTGCAGCAATCTGAAAGGTCCTTAAATGGATTGAAGCAATCTGTAAAAGGTGTAAGAGATTTGATGCTTTTTTTTATATATAAAAAGGACCCTCAAGAAACCGTAAACGGTCTATCTTTCTCTATGTTTGGTGTTTGAGTCCAAGTCCTTTCAAACTTATTGTTCATGATATTCTACATCTCTTGAATCTCAATGCCTACTGGGACTTCATTTCAATGAGAAATAGCCCTTTTGCAGGACAGAGGACTTCTTTGACACAACCAATTATTCTTGCATCCCATGATGATGGGACCTCTATTCAGTCTGCGACTATCTGGTCTCAAATTTGTGCTTTTTGATATTTTCTAGCCTCCAATCATTTGATCAAGTATGCCAAGAGTGAGTTCACAAAATTTGTCTTGGTTGAATGGTATTGTGATGCCACCCTGTTGGATGATCATACGAGAAACCTTCTTCTGCCTGACTAGGCAATTCTCATATGATCATAGAACTTCGTCAAAGATTTATGCCTCTAAGAATAGACAATTTTGACTCAATTATGTACTTTGACCTAGACTTTTAGTCCTCCTTCATGAAAACCAATAAGTGATATGGTCTAAAATCTGACACATATATGGCTTATGGGGTCCTTTGACCAAGACATTGAGTCCAATGACGTAGCCAGTGGCTCTTTCGTGGAAAGATAATCAAATGGACGATCTGTTCTCCCATTTTCTATGTAATACACTGTCTGTAAACAATAAATTCAGAATGAAAAGCTTGGACAATGATTTGACTTGTGATAATTGAACAACTTGGCTAATGAAAATGGAACTTTGTGGTGTAAACTGCAAGAATGTGGAGGGTGAGAGAGGGAAATTGGTGCGACTTTTCTAAGGTGAACAAAACCATGTGAAGGGGTCTACTCAAATACCTAACCATCAGACTTCAATACCCCACTTGGTCATTTGAACATTTCCAATCTTCAACATCACTCTTTCTTCAAAATCTCTATAAATATGAACATCAAATGAGCCTTGAAACGCCAAATTCAACTCAGTTCAAGTGTTGATTTCTCTTCCAGTTGGTTCTATACCAATCAGAGCTTTAAACCTTTCTAGCAGTGTTTCATCGTGAGAAAATGGGGATCCGATTGCTTTCCTTGGTTCCTCATGCCAAGCACATCCTAAAGATGCAGTCAGGTTTCACCAAAAATCATTTGGATGTGCCAAAGGGTCATGTGGCAGTTTATGTGGGAGAGATCCAAAGGAAACGGTTCGTGGTTCCGATATCTTACTTAAACCATCCATCATTCCAACAACTACTCAGCCATGCTGAGGAAGAGTTTGGATTCCATCATCCACAGGGGGGTCTAACAATTCCTTGCAAAGAGGATGCCTTCATTGATCTCACTTCTAGATTGCATCTTGAAGAATGAAGAGCAAAGCGCAGTCTGCCATTTTTGACAAACGTTTCTTGTTTTTTTTCAACTCGTTTACTTTTTGACACAGGCTAGAGTGTTGTAGAGTGGGAAACATTCCTTCCTGTAAATGAGTCGCATTGTAAAGGTACATTTACCAACAGGATTAATGAAAAATATATCAATTCAGCATGAATTTCTTATAGCTTATTTGTTGGTGATCTATCTGTGATGGCTAATCCGAGCTGTTGGAAAGAAATAAAAATTGTTGCTAGATTTATTATTATATACCAAAAGCAAACTTCAAACATTAAACATATCCAAAGAGAAACGGATTACTACGCTTCTCTTAGTTTCTGTTGAAACTTCGAATCCCTTGGTTGATTTAATAAACACATCCACATCCTTCCACGGTTCCAACTCTTTAGTGAATATGTTGTCCGTTAACCATATTCCTGTTGAGGTTGGAAAAGTCAGATCTGTTTATAGCAAATATGGTGAAAAATCATTAGTGTTATAAGAAAAAGTCCAAAGATTAAAACATGGCTTATCAATATATAAACATTTTGTGATTCTTAGATGTCAACGGACTACATCCATTTTTTGAAGTTTATCTGATTTTAATCTATCAGTACAATTTTCAGTTGTTAGGTTTTGTTTGATAAGTCCAGGATTGCAGATGCAGTCCAAACTTTAGGTTTTCTGCCCAAGGTGAACTAAGAAACAAAAGAACGTTTCTGGTCATAGACTTCTTGATCTATACTTTTTCTTTTTCAATGTATTCAAAGAGGGGGAAATGTCTTTTATCACAGTTATGCAAGATAAAGTCTGATTATAATTTGAAATATAACTCAGAAAAGTTCTAATAACTCACAGAAGTTCTAGTTTCCCTTTCCAATAGTTAGTTATACAAGATAAAAATCTGACCATAATTTTAAAATGTCTTCATTCTCACTTCCTTCTCCCTCTTTTAACCTATTCTAAGTCACTTGTCATTCTTTCTCTCAAAACAAATTTAGACATGAGATCCCTTTGCCTTCAATTTTCCCCAATGCTAAACACATCCTCATGATGCAGGCTGGTTCCTACAACTAAAATCAAGCTGATGTCCCCAAAGGTCACAATTGCAGTCTATGTTGGAGAATTCCAAAGGAAGCACTTTTTCGTTCAAATATCATTCTTGATACATCCTACATTAAGGTGTTTGTGAAAATAAATGAATGATTTTGGCACATCAAGGTGTTTAGGAAGATAGATTAATGATTATTGAAAGAAAATGGCAGTGTTCACATCATAATTCTATCCAACGTCATCTTTCCCACACCAATATACAGCTGGTTCTAGCTATACAAGTTGTTTCAAGTAGATGAAACTTCTACATTTATAAGAAAAAAACATGATTAGATTCATATTAAATGATTTGTCTTGGCATCTCAACGATTCTCCATGATGTACTATGTACTTGGCTTATGTCTCCTTCGATTTATAATCCAATGTATTTGGTATCTGTCTTGTCCATATTCAACCTCCTGCTCATTGTGCCAATGAAGTATCATTTCTACCTCTGTGAAGGGTGATCCCATTGGTATCGTGTTCTTATCAAACGCGTTATTTTTTTGAGCATTCAGTTCAGCTAGCCAAGCTTGGTTGCTGGGTTAGACAATGAATTTGCATACAACTAGGAGAGAGAGGTGAAAATTCTTTTCCAAGTTGAGCAAATCCCGAATAGTCCTCTTAGATACCCAACCTCCAGTCTCAAAATGCCCATTGGAAAAGCATTGGCCACCAGCAAAACTATTTTCCTCAATACTATAAATATGGACATCAAGTAAACAACAAACTAAACTCAAACATATTCATTTACTACTTTCTCTTTGAATTGTTTCTGCACCAATTGAACTAACAAGCTTAGTAATGGGGATTTATTTGCCATTCCGGATTCTTTTTGCCAAGAAATTTCTTAAAGTGCCATCAGGTTTCATAAAAAACCAGTCATATGTTCCAAAAGGTCAAGTAGCCATTTACGTGGGAGAGATGCAAAGGAAACGGTTTGTGGTTCCAATATCATACTTGAATCATCCTTCATTCCAACAGCTGCTTAAATATGCTGGGGAAGAGTTTGGTTTCCAACATCCTCATGGGGGTCTTACAATTCCTTGCAAGGAGGATGCCATCATCCATCTCACTTCTGGATTCCAAGTTTCTTAGAGAATGAAGAGCGATGTAGAAACTCACCGAGTTTTAACATTCTTTTTGTTCCTTGACTTATTTGTAAACTAGTACTAAAATGTTTTAGGCATTCCAAGAACAAGGCCTTTCAGAATGTGAATCAATGGAATTATGCTGAAACTGTAACTAATATATGATTAATAAAATGTAGCTATGTATATTTGTCTATTTTATTTCCTTTCACCTACCTCCACCTTATACTTGCACCTATCTCCCTCCAACTTTAGGACTCTCACAGGATCCAGAAGAATATAATTTCTGTTTTCATTAATATAAAGCAGTAAACTATGATTATTATCAATGAATATCAAATGGATGCATAGGATTATGGGCTTTGGATTTGAATGATGACAAGTATGAGTTTTCATGTAAGGCCATGTTGGGAAGTATGAGAAACAAAAGTTTATGCAAAAACTGTTCATCTCTTTCATCAATATATGATGATTCCTAAAGCAAATGGTTGTCGTTTAATTAGAACCTTTCTAATTTTTTGATTATCACAATCTCTACAGTAGTTACATCTCTTGGGAGCATCATCGACAAGCAGTGGAAACATTTCTAGTTTTCACCTCTCGAAGAAAGAAGTTTTGTGCTCAGATATATCAGAAGTAACATTGTACGGAAACGGAAAGGAAAAACGTGAAGAATTTAGACAAACAAAAATTCATGAAGGCACACAGATGTTTTTATAAGAAAGGTGACTTTATATTTCGATTTCAATGTTTCCGCTTCTCATCATTTACATGTAGAAACTAACTACACATTAATTTTCTACTCTCAACGGGAGAAAAATGGAGGAATCTGGCAAAACTGGCTGGACTGTTTTTCTTCTCTCTTTCAGGAAGTTTGAAGCCTGGATGTGAGATTGATGAAGACATCTTCTCCGCAAGGAATTGTCAAACCTCCAGTTGGATGTTTGAATCCAAATTCTTCTTCAGCACTCTTGAGCAAAGCAGAAAAAGAAGGATGGTTCAAGTATGATATTGGAACTACAAATCGCTTCCTTTCAATATCTCCCACATATACTGCAATATGGCCTTTGGGAACACCACATTGGCCTCTATAAGAAACAGTGTGCATTTTTAGAACTTGCTTGGCATTGAGAAGTGAAGGTAGTCTGATTCCCATATCTAATTTTTAAAGGCTTTCTGCTTGATGCAGATCTCGAAGTTGGGAAGTGTAGTACTTGAAGGAGGATCTATTTGAAATTTGAGTTGTGGAGATTGAAGTTTTTTGATCTGTATTTATGGATTCAGAATGGAGAAGTGGTGAGAAGAAAACAGTATCAGGTAGGTGTCTAAGAGGGCCTACTTCATCAATGCTCACATGGAGTTGCTCATTTGGTGTGAATACACAAACTTCATCCTGTCTCGTCCTAACTACTGCAGAGCCGTCCCACTTGTTCCAATGAATTACAATCATACTAAGAGGTCTATAAAACTTCAAAACCAAATGCCATGTCACGGAAGATCAATTGATGACGGTCGACAGACCCACGTGACAAGCTTTCATTATTGGTCATGGGCTGCCTATCTAATCTGATGCAGAGATAAAATCTATATCAGTGGATACTGAAACCGGAAAAAATCTTGTTGATAAAAGACTAATCATACAATACATGAACTTCAAGTCTTTGTAAACTACTCTTCCGGACATAGTGAAAATAATTGCCTCGAGCATGCTATATAATCTTAGTGGTTTATCATTCAGGATTGCTCAAATACATGTTTGCTTGTGTGCAATAAGAGGTGTACATAATGTTTCTCTATAGTTTCGATTTATCTATTTTTATGAGCCATCTTTGTCTAGATTGGTCTGTTCATGTCTATTTTCTCCACTCATTTCGTTTTCCCGGTGTGCTATGTTAGTAGAATCTCATGCTGATATTATAAGAGTCATTGAGATTGGATTCACAAGCTGCATATTCTCTTCTTGAGAATTCTCATCTGTTTTCTTTTCTTTTCCCCTTATGATATTGTACAGAGTCTATGGAAGCGAGCAAGAGCTATTTGATCTCTCAAGTAGGAATTTGGCCAAGACATGGAATGAGTTGTAAATTTTCATAGCAGAAAAATTGCAGATTTTCGACCAAGGATCAATGGAGTTGAAAGAGGTTGCATGGTCTTGCCATATATTTAGATTGATCATCTTAGTGACCTCCTGAATTCCACAGCTGGTATCATTATTTGGGTTCAGAAGAAGAGAACTGTTAGTTAGATTTGCTTGAAGGCTGAGCAGCCAGCTACATATATTTTGTCCAAATTCTGTMWAATTGTTTACAGCTGGTGAATTTACAAAGTCAAGGGGGAAAGCCGAAGCGTTGTACAAGATATAGGTAGACGTTTCTTCAGTTGAGGAAAAAGATAAGAATCATAAGCTGATATGCTGGAACAAAATTATGGTTGCCATTTGATGCTCCTAATGATCAGTATGGAGATGGTGTTTACTTAGTTTGGTTGACTACATTATAGAGCTAGATTTTGCCACTCCGATATCTGAATACCAGACTGAATCGCAGCAAATGATTGAGGGCATTGTACATTGTACAGAGGAGAAGATGAATGTTGAAAGTGAAGCCAGATGAAGCATAAATGATTTCTATCGAGAAGGAAATTTTGACCAAGAGATCATACATTCCACAAAGAAATGCATTGTGAAGTAAAAATATTTAAGACAGAAACTACTTCATGGCATAAGAGGGTTATGAGAGTCACAGCTTGCAATCTAATAAATTGTTGTCCATCCTCATACGTCTTGAAAACCTTCCAAGAGATGTGGACTGGTGTAAACCCGAGATGCGTAAGTTGATAACATTTGAAGAATGCCACTATTGCTTGTATTCTGCCCGGGGTATTCGGGTGGCGTCCACAAGTATCTCTGATCACTTAATGAATTCAAGTTAATGTGTTTTGTTAGCGGTAATGTTTTTCCTATGAAGACCAAATGCCATACTCTGATAAATTCAAGTCCATGGATATTATGATGTTTTGTTAGCAGTAATGTTTCTGTTATGGAGATTATGATGGCCTTGCAAATTAAGCGTTTTGGTAATGGTATGGACATTTTGATCTTCCTATATGGAAATACTCGTATCTGAAGTAATCAAGAAACTGAATGCATAAACATGTTCCTGTATTAGTATATCTATTAGCACATATTGGACACTTTTTGGTTCTTATTGGACATGTGGGGGCACTTGGTACTTATTTTTTCATTTTAGAAAAATGACTGACATAAAAACAAAGATAGGAGAAAAATAATAAAATTTGAAATTGGTGGCCCTTTCCAAGAATTGGGCAAAGCCATGTGAAGGGGTATTCCCAAATATACCCAACCACCAGACGTCAATACCCCACTTAGCCACTGGAAAGGTCACAATCACCAGCATAACACTTCCTACAGAAACTGTATATATACAAACATCAAAATGAGCCTTCAAACACCAAACTTAACTCATTTCAAGTACTACATTCTCTTCTAGTTAGCTCTATAACAATCAGACCTTCTGATTGAGCAAATGGGGATTCGGTTGCTATCTTTGGTTCCACATGCCAAACAAATTTTAAAGATGCAGTCAAGTTTCACCAAAAACCAGATGGATGTTCCAAAAAGCCATGTGGCAGTTTATGTGGGAGAGATCCAAAGGAAACGGTTCGTGGTTCCGATATCTTACTTGAACCATCCATCGTTCCAGCAACTGCTCAGCCACGCAGAGGAAGAGTTTGGCTTCCATCATCCTCAAGGGGGCCTAACAATTCCTTGCAAAGAAGATGCCTTTATTGATCTCACTTCTAGATTGCAAGTATCTTGAATGATGAACCGCAAAGCGCGAGCTGCCATTTTTGACAACCTTCTCTGGTTGTTTCTGACTCATGTGGTTTTTTTAACTCTTACTAGATTGTTGTAGAATGGAATGCCCTTCTTTCCTGTAAATGAGTGGCATAGAAAGGTGCATTTACCAACAGAAATGAATCGATAGAATACAAAAATTCAGTGTCAATTTCTATATGGCCTTTTCTCCATTGCTTTGTTTCTGATGCTAACCTTCACCCCAAGGAACAAAGAAAAATTGTTGCCAGATTATTCATTATACAACACTAAAGAAACTGAGAAGCATATTGAAGCATAAAACTCCATGCATATTCAAGGTAAACTGGATTGCAATGTGCAAATTTATAAATTTCTGTGGAAGTTATTCTCTTGGTTTGAACTAATTGACAAAATTCCATATCCATCCTAATGCAGGAATCTAGACAAGGTGCCATGTTGACAAGCGAGTTGAAGTGAGCTTTAGATGGGATAAGTTATAGTGTTCGGTCATGTATACTCCGAAGCTTAAGTTAGTACTTAATCGAACTGAGCTTAGTAGGTTTCTTAGAGACTGTGTACCTTTCAGAAGACTCTGCTTTTTTACAGGGGACCTTTGGAAAGTATAACTCTGTCACTGGAGGCCACAGAATTAGTTTTCACAATTTTTATCTTCTTGTGTTTGTCAAGAGGGAAAACAGTATTTTGCAATGTTAATTTCGTTATATGAGACAAAAACTGATGATAAGTAGAAGCTAATGAATTTTTATTTTATTTTCATTTTAAACCATAAACTTCAAGTAATATTTTCTGCAACTTCTTTGTGTTTAATGAAATTTCAAGTAGTTGAAAATTGTAAACTTGTCACATGGATATGTTTCCTGTTTATTTTCCTTGGAATATTTTTTTGGTCCAAAACATGCCTTGGCTAATTTTTTCAACCATATAATTCCTCTTCTTGGAAAATGTGGACCAACTGCAACCAAGAATTGGGACACATGAGGAAGTGAGTGTATAACAATCAACTAAACAATCCCACGTGAGCTTTTAATAGAATAGGCCCTCTGAGACACCTAGCTGCTAGTTTTCAATTCTCAATTCCTTCCCCTTTTTAACTCTATATATACATATATCAAATAAGTTGCCAATATCCACTTGAACCTCTTACACATTCTTGTTTCAATCACTCCAATTTCCCTTATCCTTTCACAAAACTATCCGAAATCACGCGCTGTCTTACTCGAACCAATTTTAGACATGGGAATTCGGTTGCCTTCGATTCTCCTCAATGCCAGGCAAGTTCTCAAAAATCACGCTATTTCTACTAGCAACCAATATGATGTTCCGAAAGGTCACATTGCAGTCTATGTCGGAGAAATCCAAAGGAAGCGGTTTTTAGTTCCAATATCATACTTGAACCATCCTAAATTCATGGATTTGCTCAAGAGGGCAGAGGAAGAGTTTGGATACAATCATCCTATGGGTGGCTTGACAATTCCCTGCAGAGAAGATGCTTTCATTGATCTCACTTCAAGGCTACATAGCTCTTGGTAGATTATGTAAAAAGAGAAGTCCCTTCCCCCACCCCCAAGTTTTGCCTAACATTTTTTATTTCCATTCTTAGTTTGACAAAGTAGAATCTCATTGGATAAGTTCTTGTAAATGAGGGGATAGAAAAGGTGGTTAGTTTGCCTCTCTTCCTGAATGTTATAACATGTATAATGCTACCTTGGCACAACTAAAAACGGAGTAATAGAAAATTACACTTTCTCATTCATAAACTTCATGCCTTTAATTTATGAATTATGTGACATGAGCTCTTTGTATTTTCTCATCTTACTGTGCAACATTCGACAAAACTCGAGCGTGGAGAATTTATCATCAAAATGAGAACTGAGATTTCTATCTATCACCAGACAACAAAATTAAATGGGATTTTGACACATCAAGCCAGATGTATAGGTAAATAAATAAATGGCTGAAAGAAAATAGTGCTGTCGTAGGCAGCTGATTCCAGCTATACAAGTTGTTCAAAGTAGATGCAACCACTCTATTTAACAAAGTAAAACATGATTACAACCTTATAATAAATATTTTGTCCTTGCATTTCAGCAATGTTCCATGATTTACAAGGAGTTCATGTACTTTGCTACTGTTTCCTTTGATTTACAGTTTGATGCATTTGGTAGCTCTCTTGTCCCTTCTCAAACAGAACATTGCAACTACTGATTATGCTACAAATTTGTCATTCAATGGAAAGTTCATCTCATTGAAATTGGTTCTACATTAATAAAAGCCAAATGTTGGACAAGCAAATTTAGCAATGGGGATCTATTTGCCATCTCTGATTCTTCATGGCAAAGCAAATCCTAAAGATGCAATAAGTTTCACCAGAAACCAACTAGATGTTCTGGAAGGTCATTTTGCAGTTTAGATGGGAGAGATCCAAATAAAACGGTTTCTGGTTCAGTATCGGTTGGTTTATTGTTTGTAAATATTAGCTGTAAATATTTAAATTAGTTGTAAACATTAATGGTTTATTCTTATTTCTTTTCTTGTATTGGGCCTTTTTCCTTTCTTATTCCATCCAAATCAAGATGGTATCAGAGCTAAACAACCCAAAAACTTTAGTTGATGGGTTACAGTAAGTTTAATCTTTTATAGATACCTTAACAGGTATCATATTTGAATCATCATTCATTCGCTCGAAGTTGCTGAGGAAGAGTTTAGTTTCCATCATCTACAAGGGGATCTAACACTTTTTTCTTTGCAAATAGAATGCCTTCCATAATGTGAATGAATTTCGTTGAAATTGTGAGAGTTCTCACCAGAATTTAATTGAAAAAATGTAAACAGATACATTTGTTCAATAGGTAGAATATTTGGTGTGATTGGAATGGGACCAATTGAACCGTGATAATGGAAGATAGTTTGCGATCGAAGTAACATTGGAAGGGTATCATTCGCTTCAATGATTTTCTATATGCGTGAAAAAAATCTCGTGCCCAGATATGTCCAAGTAACATTACACAAAAACATAAAGGAAAAACACAGGGAATTAAATAAACTGAGATTCAGAAGCTGAAGGAGGCAGTTTCTTAAAAAGAAAATGTAATTTCTATTTCTATATTCACATCTCTGCAATTATGAATCTTTCTACAACTAACTATACATTGATATTCTACTCCTCAGTTGTAGCAAAAAGAAAAAAGGAATTTTCCAAAACTGTGTGGAGGATTGTTTTTCCTCTCTCTTTCAGGAAGTATGCAGCCTAGAGGTGAGATTGATGAAGGCATCTTCTCTGCAAGGAATTGTCAGACCTCCAGTTGGATGTTTAAATCCAAATTCTTCTTCAGCACTCTTTAGCAGAGCTACAAAAGAAGGATGGTTCAAATACGATATTGGAACTACGAATCGCTTCCTTTCAATCTCCCCCACATAGACTGCAATATGACCTTTCGGAACACCACATTGGTTTCTAGAAGAAGCAGTCTGCATTCTGACAATTTGCTTGGCATTAAGGAGAAGTGAAGGCAGCCTGATTCCCATGTCTAAATTTGATTGAAAGGATATATGCTTGATGTGGCTCTAGATGTTGGGAAGTGTAGTATCTGAAGAAGGATCTGTAAGAAATTTGAGTTGGAGTTTGAAGCTTATTTAGTCTGTATTTATGGATTCAGAACGGAGACGTGGTGAGAAGAAAGGGCGTTCGATCGGTTCCAAATAGGACCTACTCATTAATGGCTCACATGGGGTTGCTCATTGGTTGGGAAAATCCACTCCATCATGTGTTCTACCTGCTGGTGCTGTGGACCCTCTTAATCTAAAGCAAGAAGTCAAGGAAAATTCAAAACCAAATGCCATTTCCAGATAAACTAACCTGTGCAAGTCAATTTGTAAATAAGGTATTGTTGCAGACACCAGAAAAACAAGTGTCTCAAGCATGTCTATAATCTAAAAGGTTAATCGTTTAGGATAGTGAACACAATGCTTCTCCACAAGTTTGACTTATCTATAAGGAGACAAAGTCATGTTCTCCCTCATCAGCAATCTTTTCTACGTTGGCCCATGTCTGGTTTCTCCACTCATCTTGTTTATCACCTGTTGATATTATATAAACAGCCATTAAGATTTAATCTACAAGCAGGCCTTTTATGATACCAAAAGATCATAGGATCCCCAGTTTATGGAAGCAGAATATGAATTTTTCTAGAAAGTATCACTACTTTGAAAGACTATGGAAGTGTCAAAGAGTCCTTGTGGAAAGAGTTCTTCTCTTAGCGTTTGTCAAGGGACCAAAAAGCATATATGTTCATTTGGTCTACGTACTGAAACGGTAGAAATTCACAATTCAACTTACATTCTTAACTCAGCTTTCGTTTTAGTATTTGTTGATTCAAGTACATGAGGAATTCAGTCTAGACTTTGACATGTTGAAAATTTACAAAATAGAAACAGAACCATTAATATTGATTGGGTTTATTTTATAAGGCTGAGCAACTACCTCCAATTTGTTGATGAAGCTGCTTGTATTGAGAAAGATGAAAAATGTGCAACTATGATCACGGTTGCTGATAATTTCAGCAACATTCAATCCAAAATATGATTGCAGTTAACTCCATCTGCATTTTGTTCTATGAACACAAACAGAATATGGTCATGTTAATGGAATTTGAACATTTTTGTATGTGACGTATCACTTCTCTTCAATTTTAAACATGTACAATAACCATATACTTTTGCAGCATAGATAGCAATGAACACACAGAGTATCAAAGAATAAGCAAGAGAAACAAGAAGCGATACTGAAAATCTATTTGTATTATGTTCTGATAATTCAGTAACAAAGGAACTCATTACATTCCAAAATGCCTTAAGATTGGATTTCTATACAACATTCTAGCATGAGCCAGAAAGAAAACAAGTTAGGAGGAAAAAATGTGTCAGAAATTGACTAATGGCTCTTTCATCATCTTCATCCTTCAAGAAGTTGTAATCTAGAAGTGAGATCAATGAAGGCATCCTCTTTGCAAGGAATTGTTAGACCTCCATGTGGATGATGGAAACCGAACTCTTCTTCTACTTGGTTGAGTAGTTGTTGGAATGAAGGATGGTTCAAGAACGAAACAGGGACCACAAATCGCTTCCTCTGGATATCTCCCACATATACTGCAACATGACCTCTAGGAACAACATCTGACTGCTTCTTGGTAAATCCCAACTGCATCTTTAGAATTTGCTTGGCATTAGGAATCAGAGATGATGGTAAACGAATCCCCATTGTTGAATATATTTGCAATGGTAGAAAGACCGTAAACAGATCTGAAGTTTAGCCTTGATTGGTGTAACAGAGTTGTGGGATATCGAGTTCAGACTGGTACTTGGAAACTCATTCAGGATTTACATTTATAGAGTTGTGAGGAAAGAAGTTGCCTGAGCATAAAAGCGGGTTCCCTCGGTCGGTAGTTTGACAACTGAGAGGACCCGCTTCAAATGGCTTTGCTCAGCTCACAAGAATCATCCCTTCCCATCTCATCAGGCCATTTATTCCATTTAATTCAATTACCAAACCTTGTTCCAGTGGATTCCACATCGAAACAGATGGCCTTGTATGGAAAATCTAAAAACAAGCCAACATATCCATGTGGTTGGACTTCCTTGCTATAGGAAATTGCTTCACCATTGGACCCAGCTTCTAGGTGAGAAGTGACTTCACATGTACTCAAATGCATTAAATCGGATCATATCAACATATCTCAGCTTTTATTTGATTCACAACTTGGTTTGTGAAGTTAATGAGGATTGGAAAGCCTGTCACATGGTATGTTGCAACACATCTTCCAAGATATATTGGCAAACTTGGTGAAATTTTCTTGGCCTCTTGTTATTGGAAATAGTGGGACCAATGAGAAAGTGACTGAAATCCTAAGAGCAAACCCATGTGAGCCATTGGAAAAGTAGGGCCCTGCTACACATTTTCTGCCTTCCCCTCCAGTTCTCAGTTTATAAATATACATCGAAATAACAGCCATTCTCATCAAACAAGTACTCCATTTCCTACTTCAAAATCCATTTCAAGCAGAATACCAATCGAGATTTCGATAAAATTTCCAATATGGGAATCCGTTTGCCATCAATTCTTCTTAATGCCAAACAGATTCTGAAAATGCAAGCTATGTCTGCCAGAAATCAGTCAGATGTTCCTAAAGGCTACATTGCAGTTTATGTGGGAGAGATTCAGAGGAAGAGATTTGTGGTACCTATTTCGTACTTGAAGCATCCTTCTTTTGTAGATCTGCTCAATAGGTCAGAAGAAGAGTTCGGATTCTGCCATCCAATGGGCGGCTTGACGATTCCGTGCAGAGAAGATGCCTTCATAAATCTAACTTCTAGGCTGCACACATCATGAAAGTTGAAAGAACAAAAATGGAATGTTACTGATCACAGTTTTGCCATTTAGAGAAAAGTAGAGCTAGGATAACACTGTACAGAAACTTAGTTTGAGCAATGGTACTTACATTTTTCTCATATGAAAACTTTCCCTCTTCAGCTCATGAATTTCAATTTTTGTTAGTTACTAGTTTTTGCTCTTGTTGCTTTATAATTTCATAACTGAAGGGGGCTGCCTCATAATTTTATAAGTCATACATAATAAATAGTATTAAGTAGAAAAGTTCACATTCGGTTGTATCAAAATATTTCCCTTTTTGATAGTTTATGAAGAATTCAGATCACCCAACTTTAACAATCAACTCGCTGTTTTTGTCACAAAAAAAAAATAAATAAATAAAGCTCTAATTGAGAGAAATGGAATGATACAATAGGGCCAACAGAAAAAAAATGGCCTAGAAAAACAACAGCCTAAAAAAGGAGCTAAATTGGAACAAAACCTAACAAAACACAAAATAGCTCAATCCAATAGAAAGATTTCCCTTCCCTGCAATCAACTCACTCTGACATTTCACTAGTATTATATTCCATCATGACAGAAAATTCTTCGTTATTCTCTTCAGCATTATAGTGAAAACATATTATCTAAAGAAAACAAGTTTCTCTGAAATTTGGAAATTAATTATTTCATTGTTTTACAATTATTTTATATAACAAAAGACACATTTTGATAATCTAAATGCAAAAATACAAAATCCACATGCACTATAGGATGTCTGAGACATTTTTGGCACAAAGTTCTTTATAAATAGATTGTCAAGAAGAAAACTGCAATACAACAAACAAGTTCACCAAGAATTCTACTTCATATCAAGTCAAGATGAGTACCTAATTCCAAATTTTATCAAGTTGAGACGATTACATTATTTGCTTGAATTAAAAAAAAAAATTATTAGATAACACCACAAAAATTGACGAATAATTACTGACCACATATTAGTTAGTGGTTAATAAGGATGAAACGTTTAACACCACAAAGAAATGTTGACTATAAATAAACAATTTCAGATCACATAACATTTGTAGACATAGAGATCTAGCTCCACGCATTTGTGTTTAGCCTATAAATAGCCATTGATAATTCTCTTTTTCTTCTCTCTGTTATCTTCAAAATCTACACAAAAAAAGCCCCAAAATAGCAAATCAAGTTCCACCGATTGAGAAGCTCAAAGAAAAGAAAAAGAGATAAAGGTTCCCCATTAAAGGCAAATTGATGATCTTATGCTTATACTCTCACTACCAATTTCGACGTCTGTAGACAACTAACACAGAGTTAAAATGCAACCACAAGAAAAATTCAGAGGAAATGAGCAGGATGTACTCGTCATCACATCCCTCTTCTCTCGATCGGTCGCAACCTAGAAAGAACATATTCGAAGTTGCAGCCATTTCTTTGAATTCACAAACATGCATAAAGGTAAGGTGTATGGAATTCACCTTGCTTTGCTTTTTTGGACGGGTTTTGATTTGATCTGTGATGATTTTCTTCAGATAGTAGCAACAAACCGAGTTTTACGCAGATACTATGGGCTTCTTCAATTGGCCTGCTCTTCGTAGCGGCAATGCATTATCGTATTAAGAAGCTACGGGATCAGAGGATCATCCCGCGCCTGAAAGTTTCGGATACGGGTCGCGTAGAAAAGCTCGAGAGCTTTCACCATTATGTAGGTAAAGATGATACCTACGTTCTTTTCATAATTTATATGAGCTGGTTCGATCTGAACATTAACCGTCGGGTGAAGAATCCACTCATGACCTCATTATCCCAAATAGATATCTTAACGGTTATGATCTTTTTTATTAGACATAGTTAATATTCACACGAGTAATACTTCCTTCTTTTATTTATTTAAAAAATACGAGGTTAGAGATTTTGACGTTAATGATAATAAATACATTATTCCATTTATGTTCAAATTAGTTAACATTTAGAGAATTTGAATTCATGACCACTTAATTAGATAAATGTCAATTATTACTGAATTAAATTTGTGTTAGACTAGTTTATATATTTATTAAATGTAATAATTTTGAAAATTTAAATCATAATATTTTTAAAACTATTTTTCTATTAATTTTTTTAATAAAAAATCACATGTATAATTACGTGATTAAAAATGATTTTAAAATTTTCCAAAATTATTTATAAATGCTGGCAAAATATTTCACTCAAAATAAAAGTGATTTTGACAAGAATAAAAGTATTTCAAGACAAAATAATTCTAGACACGCCAAAATTACTCCCAAATATACCCTAACAACAAATAATTTAGGGTGTATTTGGGCTAAAATCGCTCTTGTTATTATCAAAATTATTTATCTTTTCATTCGTCATAATTCTTAAGGGTGTCTTTGAGAACGATTTTGGTTGATCAAAATCATTTTTGTCATTGTCAAAGTCCTTGTTCTTTACTTTGAATATTTTTGTCATTGTCAAAATCATTGTTCTTTACTTTGAATATGTTTGACAAATTAGAAAATTGATTTTAGGAAAATTTAAAATTATTTTAATGGATTTAATATATTTTATTTTAGAAAATCAAATTATACTCGAACCAAATCTTGTTTTTTTTAAAACATTTATATTAATCGCTCAAATTATGATTTTGTAAATCAATTATACTTGTCACTTATTTATCAAAATCACACCTTCTCTGTCACTGCCGCTCTTAAATTCGGCAACTTTTTTACAACTGATCTTCATTATCGTTCCCATCACATATGTATTCAACAGTCTATCAACGAATTAATGTATGGTTGTTTGTGGTAATGATTTATCTTTAATTTCTTCTCCGCCTTCAGCAAGGCAAATGGGATTCAAAGATATAAACGAGTGCCCACATCTCTGCAAGTTGGCTTCTGAGTACATAGCCAAATCCGAAGGGTGCGAAGATGACATCTATTCCTTTTTCTCAAGTGAGCTGCACGCAGATTCCCTCTTTGTGAAACTCGTGGAGGAATTCGAACGATGCATTCTCAGTTATTTCGCTTTCCATTGGAACCAAACCGATATTATGGTTAGCCAGGTAACCGTAGGTTCCAGAAGGTGTTTGATAAAATGTTTCTGAAGTTATCAATTGAGTTTCTCGATTGTATTGTGTGTCTTTTTTTGGTTTGTCTGTGCAGATTTTGAGTTCTGACCATCAGGAGCCTAAGAAGAAACTCAGAAGCATTGTAATGGCTGCAACCAGGTGGGCATCTTCATTCTTCTGAGCTTTGATTATTTTTATGGGATTAAAGAATCAATAGCAATCATGAAAATGGGATTTTAGAATCTTCAGTTCATACTTGAACAACCATAACTTACATCACAATAATCTTTTGTGACATTGGTAGGGAGCAGAGGTTTGAGAGGGTAACGAAGAACCTGAAAGTTGCAAGAGTATTTACAACTTTAGTTGAGGAAATGAAAGCAATGGGACTCGCATCGACCGACGACTCTCAATGCACAGAGGTGATGGCTCCGATGGCTCTTGCCGATAGAAGTCCAATGCTCCTCTTCATGGGCGGCGGAATGGGGGCGGGCAAGAGTACCGTGCTTAAGGACATTCTCAAAGAGTAAGAATGTTCATCTTGGATTGTGAAAATGATGTCAAATTTCATCAGCTATAGCCAAGTAAATTTGGACCAATTATTACAAGCATTTAAGCATATAGAATGCAATATAGGATGAGGGTGAAAGCTACAAAATCGTAGAAGAGATGAACTGATTCATTCTTTTGGATGAAAATTCAACAGGCCGTTCTGGGCAGGAGCATCTGCTAATGCAGTTATAATTGAGGCAGATGCATTTAAAGAATCAGATGTCATTTATAGAGCTCTTAGCTCAACTGGTCACCATCATGACATGCTCCAAACTGCTGAACTGGTATCATTTCAGCTCTAAAATCTTCATTTAAGATCATTCCAAGCTTTTAGATTATCTATATATGCATAAAACTCTGCTCTCTGTGGCTTAAGTTCATAAGATAATGGTTTCATGATATTGCTAAAACTAATTATCTGCAGTCTAAAATGCAAAACTGACCTGAAGACACTACCTTTTCATTTGGCGTTTTTATGAACTTCTTGTCCCTATAGGCCATGGGATTAGGTCTTGAAATCTGTCATGAATCAGATATTCTTATACTTCACTTGTGAGCCTTGCTGCGTTCTTTTTTATCCATCGATGTTCTAATTTAAAACATATATTTCAAACAGGTACACCAATCATCCACAGATGCAGCTTCATCACTTCTTGTGACAGCACTGAATGAAGGACGAGACGTAATCATGGATGGAACATTGTCGTGGGTACCATTTGTAGTGCAGACAATTACAATGGCCAGGAACGTCCACCGTCGACGTTATCGAATGGGAGCTGGCTATAAGGTTGGAGATGATGGAACTGTAACGGAAAACTATTGGGAACGAATAGAAGATCAAGAACCGGATCAAGTTGGAGGCAAGAGAAGAAGACCATACAGGATTGAACTTGTTGGAGTTGTTTGTGATGCTTATTTAGCTGTTATAAGAGGCATAAGGTACTAGATAAAACTTTTGAGATTTTCTTCCCCTTCTCTCCTCCTCCTGAGATAACAACTGTCTAAAGTTGAATTTCTGAATGTAAACAGGAGAGCTCTTATGTGTAGAAGAGCAGTAAGAGTAAAATCTCAACTGAAATCCCACAAGAGATTTGCAAATGCATTCTTAACATATTGCCAATATGTTGATAATGCAAGGCTATATTGCACCAACGCTTTGGAAGGCCCACCTAAGGTACCTTGGGAGTTTCTCATAAGTTTTTGGTTATCTTTTCTGTTTTTTTTGTTGATCTACGACTCGCTTGAATAGCCATTCCATTTTTAGTTTTCTTATTTTCAAAATTATGTTTTTTTTAAGTCACGATTTCTTTGGTATATTTTCACCCTCCTTAAAAACACATAAAGTCTCTGCAAATTTTCAAAAACAAAAACTACTTTTTAGTTTTCAAATTTTGGCTTAAATTTTGAAAATAGTTTAAAAAGTAGATGCAAATCAAAGAAATACCTGAGTGAAAGTTTACGAGTTTAATTTTCTAAAATAAGAAACAAAAAAAAAATGGTTATCAAAACGGATCTTAGTTAGTGTTGTGTGTTTATTGACTCAAAATCATTTCTGTGTGAAGTTCATAGGATGGAAAGACAAAGACAAGACACTGTTGGTTGATCCAGAAGAAATAAAGTGTCTAAGAACCGTAGGGAGCTTAAATGAGGAAGCAAACTCCATATATGAACTTTATAGAAAACCTAACCCTGTTTGTGAAGCTGGATCAGTTTGGAAAGACATTGTGTTGTCACCTTCAAGGATAGCCATCCAACAAGAGCTCAAATATTGCATTAAGAAAGTTGAAAGTTTGAAATCTTTAGGCCAAAAAGGAGCAGAGTTTCTAACTTCCTAACTTTTCCATGATGAGGCTAAGTAGACCTTTTTCTCTTTTCTTTTTTTTCCTTTTTCCTCTTTTAATTCTTCTTCACAGCTGAAGGCTAATATTTTTGTACATGTTGTTGGGGATGCATTAATTTTATATAGATGAGGCTATATGTAGAACTCTATTTTCAATACAAAGCAAGAGGAATCCTAGAAAGAAATTTATAATCTCCATTTATGGTAGAATGTAATGGACAATCCTTTTCATAAAATTCTCGATTCTTTTATTGTTTATATATTAGTATGTATCCTAATCTTGTTTTATTTCAAAATATGTTTTCAAGTGAAAATATATGCTTATTAGAACGCTGATGAATTATCAATAATGAATTGGATGTCTCCTGAACCAAGAGCTTCATTTCTATCAGATTATTTTTGTTAAAATAAATTAGACCTTGAACAAAAATAAAATATCGGCATTAAGAGTATTTTTTATTGCCTCCCATGCATAAGACTACTTTCGTAAAATCTAAGGCATGTTTTAAAATCGCTTGATTTCCAAAAGGTTTCAATTCATAGATAATATTTAATCATTAGAGAATTTTTTTTTTTTTTTTTTTGAGGAATTAAAGTTAAGAACTTTAAAGAACCAAAATAATGCAAATTAAATAACTTCCTTCAACCAGAATTTGGGTAAAATCAAACCATAAGAGATATTAGACTGGATTTATGATTGTATAGCTTGGAGTTATGAAATCAGCCTATATGAATTTATTAACTCCAACCTAGACTTTTAGAACTTGTTTCTTGTACCACACGGTCCTTCCAAAAATTACAAATTTACATAAACTTAGATTTTTATAACTCATTCCTTTTCATAAGCTTCCAAACTTCGGGTTTTCACCTAAACTTATTAAAACCATGAGTTAAGCGTCATTAAGCAAAAAAAATTATTCAAGAAGAATAATTTCGATAGCAACTGGAAAATAAACAATGTCCATCAAATTTGGCCTCATAGGTTTAGCTTTCATTGAACTAATAATTACACTAAAAGATGCAAGAAACAAGAATCATGACTCCATTTCCTCACTTGACTGCATACTAGAGGAAATAAGAAGAAACATACCAGAATTTCTTCTCTGGATCCGGGTGTTTTAGTGGGCGAAACGGTGGTTGGCAGAACAAACTCATGGGTCTATAAATTTTAATAATAGTCTACATTTTTACATCTCATTCCAAAAATAGATGGAAAGAAGGATTAACAAATTTATAAAGTCGTCATATGTTTTTGCATTACAAAATTTGACAACCATTTCGTATATATAATATAAAAATTACCTCAGGAAAGGGCGGGAGAAGATCAATTCAATACGTACTTTGGTGATGAACTTCTAGACCAGAAATATTTTCGGAGATGCCCAAGCATGATAGGTCTCTGCAAATTGATCATCTCTTCTTCCCATGAATTTGCCACGAAACCAAAAGCTCTATACCGCATCATATGTCCCCATCAACTAGCATTGCTATTGAGAGAACCAACAGCCTACTATTTATTTATTCTAACATTTATGAGGAAGATCTAAAAAATGCAGCTGGGTTGGATTAAAGTGGTGTGGAAGGTCACTGGTTTCAATAATTTCTGTCATCCGCTTATGGTAGCAAAAGGCTTCTTCAGACATTCCTAAGCTGTCTTAATGTTATTGCCTATGCTTACCTCTTTAATCCAATGATAAATTCCCGGTGCGAATATTGCGCTGCTGATGGCTTATTCCTTTTCTTAGACGYGAGTGAATTGAGCTGAACTCTCCTGGTTTTCCACTTAGAGAATCGGAAAGTTTTGGTTGTAGCCATCTTCTCAAGGCTAAACCGTTGATTCTGATTTTCCCATGTGACGCATTCCCCTGGTAGGGAAGTCTGAGCCTTCTCAACAATGCCGCAACTGCTTGTCCAACCCTGTAGACCAGTATATTTTGGTTAATTATATGATCGTTTCATCCGTGTGAAAAGAAAAAAGTCTTCCAGAGCATCTAACAAGCTGAGACTTCCGTTTAGGTGTAAGGATTGGTAAGTTGCATACTATTTTAGAACTACTGGCTCAGAATGCAAAATAAGGAGGTAAAAGAAACCAAGTTTGATTTCTTAAGTTTGATGTTTTCACCTTCCTGCAAGGTTGATGGTCCTCTCCCCCTTAGAAGAGGTAATTTGTGTCGTCTCAACTGGCAGTAAGATCATGATGTTCGGTAACTTTGAACCTGAAGAAAAGAAATTTAAATTAGAATACAAAAATCATTAGCCAATCATACCAAGTAGTGTTAAGTGTCCCTCTTTTTTTTAAAAAAAAAAGATCTATTTTTCCTTTGAATCGATAAGATTTCATACAGTAATTTCGACACAATAAATTATTGTTGTCCAAAAATAATGAAGTTGTAAGAGATTTTTCCTTCAATATTTAAATCAGAGATGCAGAACTCCAGGGGGAAATGAAGAAGAGAATACTTCAAGGCAAAAATAAAAGAAAATCCTAGAAAACATCTTAAAGTTTAGCCTCAAGGTGATGATAGTTTTCCGTTTGATGGCCAGTAATACTAGGAATGAAAGAAGTGGGTAAAATCCATTTGATTTAGTGATAATCTCATCAAGAAGTTGAAAAAATATGGATGAACTTGTGTTATTGTAAACAACTACACATAATAACCGCGTGCAACGGTAATTATTAGAAGATAAAAGACTGAAAATGTGTATGCTATTTACCAGCAGCAAGCCGATGTTTGAGACCTTTCAAAACTGTCAAGAGGTAAACCTGGCAAGATTTTAATAATAACTTCAGTCACGTACGACACTATTTGTGAATTGCTTCTCACACATCTTAAACACATTCTACTGAAAATAAATCACATTCAACTCTGCTGCCGAACAAATAAATCATTAATAATATATGAAACATCATATTTTTGTTTCTTAAACTTCAAGTTAAAAGATTCCTATTTGGCTTTTAAGTTTCAAAAAATAATTTTGGATGATTTCAGAGCTTTGGTTTCAGAGGAACCAAAGTATTTTTTATGACAAACGAAAGCATTATTTGGAGCGTTTTGGTATAGCCGAAATTCAATGGTGTTCTCTTTCTAGTCTATTTTTGCACTATTCTATTAGTGATATTTATATGAACCGGGAAGTATTTACTTCCTCTCTTTATGATTTTCTTTCTTTCTTAATTCACTCCTCTTTGGAGTTTGGAACATTTTTCCTTTCTATTCATCGATGAAAAGTTTGTATATTGTTAACAAAATAGGTCTTTGAAGTTTAAAAGTATCTTCCTCGTACTTTCAAATTTGTGTCTAATAGGTCTTTATTAAACATTTTCTAAAACTCACGGCTGATAAAAACTGAAAGATTAGGGTCCTATTAAACCTAAAATTCAATTTTGTGTCTAATAGGTCCGTAAATTTTAACAAATATTGAATAGTTCAGGGACCCACTAAGCATAAATTAGAAGTTAAAGAATTTATTGGATACAAAATTAAAAGTTCAAGACCTATGGGATACTTTTAAGTTCAATGACCTAGCACTTTAAAATTGAATCTATTACCACCACCCTAAAAGTTTCTCGACTAAACTTGTAATTTAACATTTTACCTAGTATGAAACAATTCCATAGGTTTAAATAATTTCGAAACACAAATACATTGAAGTTATCAATTACCTCACAATCTAATTATAACTGGCAGCTCCAGTATTGCAAGGCAAAGAAAACGTCTTACCTCAGCTGTATGAATCTGCAACTCCTTGACATCTACAACAATAGGATTTCCTTTGAGGGATACAAATGGAGCAACTCCAAGTGAAGCAGCTTCCTACATTTTGTTGGGGAGGTAAATATAATAAGATAATCAGATCTTTCCAACGATTTAAGAATTTGAACATTTTCGGTAAGACTAGAAACGAGCTTCATATATTTGCACAGACCTCCAACAGCGAAAATGCCCGAGGGTCATATTCACCAAAGCCATGTATAAAGGAGCATAGATTTGAAGATCTTGGTCTGTCAACACTAACTCCTATGTTTTCTATGAGTTCATTTTTTAAGGCAGGATCATGAGGAATTTGCAAGCAACCCAAAACTTGAGATAAAACTTCAATGCTGGGAACAATTCCAGCTTCAATTATTTCCCTGTACACCATTAAGGCCTGTGCTGTCCTGAGGAAAAATATTTTGAATAGTGAATAATCTCACAAATTACACTATAGTATCAATAGGTAGAGTCGTATATGATAGCTAATATTACAGTATCATGAGATGATTAAATAAGTTTTTATCAAAAAGAAAAAAAGATGATTAAATAAGTAGTTAACATGCTATTTTCGGAAGACTACAAAACAGGCCTAGTAAATGAATTACACAAGTCAAAGAGTCATACCACTTACTATCTACTTGTGGCAGTCTAGAGTCAAGAGAAAGGAGTGGTCTGTCAAGGGCAGTGGGCTCTGAAATTCTTCGTAAGCACATGCCTTTGAGAAGATCAAATGAAAGCACAGTCAAAAATACTTGAAAAAACAAGAAAAAAAGCTCACCAATTAAAAGTGACTTTTCAGACGATATAAGCCAGAAAATATTCTTGAAACTCGGGAAGGTTGGGCATTGGGACCAGAGTCAGAAAAAGTATTTAAAATTCATGATAAGTTGAAAGGACGTTCATTCTTTTATTTTTTCTTTACAATCAGTAAAATCCATCTGAAAAATAATTGTTGTTTATAACAGTTGGTCAAGAGACTAAAACAATTAGGAAATTATAAAATTGAAAAGATGTGCAATTTTTATGGTAAAAAAAACGGAAGGCCTTGACATTGCAATCCTATTAACTTACCAATTATGCATCTATACATAATTAATGTTGGCACAAGCCCATCCTCTTTGGCTTGAGAGAGGAGCATGAGAGCAATTTCTAAATCATCATTTCTGCAGACAATTGAGAAAAAGATGCAATTGAGAATAAGGATTAAATAATGTCATTGAAACAAAACTAAGCCAGTTGCACTTACTTTTCACTTGCCGCCATAAGTATGGAGTATGTAATGTTGTTAGGGTAGAGCCCTGATCCCTTCATTTCAGTCATAATATCCATAGCCGTTTGTAGTTGTTCCCCATCACCTGTCGGTGAAATTCTAATGTTATCCTTTAGAATCAATGCAAATTATTTTTACTGTATGTAACAAATGTTAGTCGTAGTTAATTGAGTTGTTGTTTAGCATCATGTGACTAACTTAATTGTTAGTATTTAAACAGTGAACTGTAAACTATTGTTGTAAAGAAAAATAACATTTCCACAACAGCTTAAATTAACAATCATATACTAGAATGCAGTATAAGGGCGTGCTAACCTCTCGGCAAGCACTTTTAACTCTCATTAACTCTGTTAGAGTATATATTAGTATATTTTATATTYTTGTATTAATATTAATTTGTCMTTTACCTTCTCCTTATAGGATTAGGTCAACCTTGTATATTTGTCTATATATATAAACTTTAATAATGAGAATACATGACATTGGATTCTCTCCAACCTTAGTCTCTACATGGTATCAGAGTTCTAGGTTTCTAGGTTTCTTGCCCATTAGGGTTTTGATGCCCATTAGGGTTTTGCGCCCATTAGGGTTTTGTGCCTTAAGGTTTTTGTTCATTGCTATCCAACACTCGCCGCCGCCGCCGCCGTTTGCTGATTTGCCAGTTATTTTTTTCCAATTGCTATTCGTGGGTTTCGTCTCGCCGTCCTTCGCACCTTCGTGGCGGTRCGCTTCCGTGACCGCCAATCTCCTTTACCCCTCTGGTTGTCGTGGGGAAGCACTTGAGGTTTCTGGTTTCAGAAAACACCTAATCCGGTTTGGTTCCAACCGTTTGATTCATCTGTTTTGTTTGGTTCGGGTGGTTTGGTCTGGTTCTGTCGTTTTGTTCAAATAAGTTCGCTTGTTTGTTATGGCTGAGAAGAAATCAATCGTAACTTCTGAAGTGATCCCAATGATATCAAAAATCACATAACACAAGTTGCATGAAGCACGAATAGATTATTTGTCTAACAAGGTGGGCATGATTAACATATGTGCACCAACTTGAGGGGGAGTGTTAGAGTATATATTAGTATATTTTATATTCTTGTATTAATATTAATTTGTCCTTTATCTTCTCCTTATAGGATTAGGTCAACCTTGTATATTTGTCTATATATATAGACTTTAATAATGAAAATACATGACATTGGATTCTCTCCAACCTTAGTCTCTACAAACTCYAACCCAAGGAGAGTCAACCTGTTTTCCTTGGCTATCCCCATGAGTATAAGGGATATTATGTTATGCCATGAGCACTTATATGTCGAGCATTTTTCTACATGGGTTTTACGTCTTTTTCCTTTTGCATCAAAAGCCCTTTCTTCAATCTCACCTACTCAGCAGTCTAGCCCACTGCTTTCAGCCTTGTCTTATCAACTATCACTTCATCTTCTTCTTCCTAATCTCTAACCCTACCATCTGTCCTAATTAATTTTCCCAACCCTCAGAAGCCACTGAAACCTCACAAACTGAACCAATTACCTCAACATCTCCTATTTTTTCCTTCCCGCCGGAATCTGAAAGCACTTCTAATAACCCCCACTACCTGAAGGTTTATAGTACTCACCCAGGGCAGACTAGAGCTAAATTTGGGATATTGAAGAAAACAGTCTTTATTGCCAGCTCATCCATCCACTTCAATAATAAGGAACCGACTCCCTTAGCAACGCACATAAGCTTCCTGTTGGCAGCAAGCAATAATTGAAGAATATCAATCCTGACTTAGGCAAGGTACTTAGAAACTCAATCCCTTACTCACGAAAGCTAGAAACTGTCCCTTACCCACTGAAAGCCATCACCTGTAAATGGGTCTACAGGATCAAATATACCCTTGATTGTAGCATTGAGTGAGATAAGGTTAGGCTCGTTGCTAAAGGATTTAGTCAAGAAGAGGTTGACTATGAGGAATGGTTAGCCCCTTAAGAAATCTACCCTCAGAATTCTTCTATCAGACTGCACAATTTGATTGGCCTCAGTCAATGTGATGTTAAAAATGCAGACTTGCATGGTGAGTTACATAAAGAATTGTATATCCATTGAATGTTTCACATTGCCTATTTCTCCACTACAGATTAAATTTGATATGGCTCGTCTTTGTTCCTTGAAGTACTTCTGAGCTTGGAAAATTCAAATTAATAAAGCTGCTATTTTTGTGTCTCAATTTAAATATGCTCATGATATTCTATGTTGATTTGATATGGCTTGTGTAGAACCATGTAAGACACTCTTAACTCCCACGATTCTAGTTGACTCTTCTAAGTTGTTTTCTCTTGATGAAATCTAGATTTTGCAGAGGAATGGCTGGTGCAATATGTAGCTTAACTTTCACAATGCTAGACATTTCTTGTGCTGTCAGTAGAGTTTCACAGTATATGCATACCCCTGTTTCTACCTAGGTCATCGTTGCTAAAGGAATTCTTTGATATCTGAGTTGCACATAGGATTCTGAGCTTTAATTCAAGAAGTGCAAATCAAATTTCTCTGAGTTCAAAAAACTTTTAGATTCAAACTCCAACTGAGCTAGGGRTCATTTAGATTTATGYTCTACCACTGGTTGTAGTTTTCTTGGGCTCTAATCCAGTTTCGTGGTCTACTAAGAACCACATACCATTCCTGGGAACCCAACTGATGCTGAATACAAGACATAGCTGCCACTGTTGCTGAATTATAATGACTTCGGCTGATTCTCCAGGTGTTTACAGTTTTGAACCACCTAAAAACTCAATATCCAACTAACATGGTACTTCCTTCTCCTCTTGAGAGTTTTTTGTTCGTGCATATACTGTGTTAAAAAGATGRTTATAATGCAATTTTTAGTCACTCTGTGGCTCTTGTAATATTTTTCTCCCTAATTATTTTTGTAACAATTTATTTGCTATATTTCACAAATACAATAATTAAGTCCTTGACATAAAAAGGTAGGGAATAATTAAAAGATATGGAGAAATCAAGGATATGGTTTTTGGATTGATGATTCCAATGAGCCAAGAAAAAAAAATAAGGACCAAATGTCAAAATACAAAGACTAGAAATGTATTTTAACCAAAAATATATATATATATATTAGGAGAAATTTAGAAAACCAGATTGAAAAAAGTGATGATATAAGGCTTATGATTAAGAATGATAATCATAACTAACTTCTACCAGAATATTGAGCATWGAAGGTAGCAAAAAGGGGACATACACAGTGCAGTTATTAGTGCATTCACAGTTGAAACAGTAAGCCTCAATTTCATAGACTTGAGATCCTCATATAGCTCCAACGCCTTCTGCCAGTTTTTAGCCTGAAACAATGATTGGGAAGTTCTTTTATTGTCACAATTAATTCTGTGAACACGGAAAAATTTCATACTTGAATTTCACTCAGTAGTCAAATATAAGAGCCTTATGGAAAAAGTATGTCGGTGCTAATACAGCACAGAAGCATAAATAGAACAGCTCCAAGTGATTGCCGTGCTCTGTCAAAATACACTTCACATATTCATATCACCAATCAGTATCAGATGTGTAGAAAAAATGATTGTAAGATCCTTACAATATCACTTTTTAAGTCAGAATAGAACTCGTATTATTTTCTAAAAGAAAACCCAAAAACAAAACAGAATATCAAAACGCAACAAAACAGAAAATTAAACATTTCCAGGCGAGAGAGAACCAATGCAAGTAGAGTGTAGAGAAAAGCATTCAAGCGACATGCATAAAATCTGGCCTTTTTGGATGAACCTAAAAATTCCTAGCAGGCTAGTCAATATTGAACAAAAAACAAGAAAGTTTTCATACGCACATTGCTACAGGCACCCATCAATGAACTATATGATACAATGCCGACATGTATCCCTAGTGACCTGGCTTCTCCTAATATTTCAAAGGCAGCATCCAGCTTACTAGCATGTCCTGCTACATCTATTAATGCACTGAGAAAAATCTGCATGAAAYATTAAATACTAGTTAACACCTGCATGTATGAATCAAAAAGCAGCTGACACAATAGTGCAAACAAAAGACTGCCCAAAAATAAAGAACTATTTTTCTATCCTACTCACACTTTATAGCCGGAACAAGTTGGTTAAATAATCTTAAATTAAAACCACTCTAACACAATTATTCAAAAGGAGAGAATYTCAGACCCTAACTTATCGTCTATTCTGAATCATTCATGATCCAAGCAAGATGTACAACACCATCAAAATATTACATACCTCATCAGGTTGTACTCCGTTCCTGATCATATCTTGATATACACTGGAAGCAAACTCCCAATCACCAGATTGACTACAACAGTTAACAGCAATGGTGTAAACCTCTGGTGTGCCCTTAATCTTATAATCATGGATCATCTTATACACTTCTCTTGCCCGATCAACCTATAAGAAATGCATGATTTTTCAACTCTTAAAACTGATATCAACAACCAACTGGAGAGAGATAGAGAGGAAATTAATGCTGCAGGAAATCTTTAAATTTAATGAAAACACACCTGACCAGCATTCGCACATGCTTTAATCAAAGCACCAATTGTAATATGGTCAGGCTCTATAGGATGTATCTCAGCCCCCATTTCTGCCAGCACATCAAAAGCACGATCCACTGCTCCTGACTGACCACATGCAGTGATAAGTGCATTGAATACAACTCTGTCTGGCTTCACGTTCTACTGCACAGAATATCTTATCAGCAAGAATCCTTCTTTTTGTTAGAATACAACTTGAACATTCAACCATATGATATAATGTGTTGCACGCCTTGTTTTCACATCGATATATACAAGTAACAAATAAGACCTTATATAATGAGRAAAAAGGAACAACTAGATATGTGTGTCTTACCTTTGACCTCATTATTCCATACACGCCAAATGCCTTGGCCACTTGACCTGCTCTGGCACAACCATCAATGAGTGCCCCATATGTGTGAACATTAGGTTCCACTCCTGCATTAACCATCCCGTGGAATACCTAGAAGCAACAATGTCACGCAATCCAATGAAAATGGGAAACTCATATTGAAACATGAAAAGCTTCATTCAAGTTTCCGAAAATGAATAGGAGGAATAATTTCAAAGCACTATTCCCTAATTAAAAAAAAAAAAAATCTTCTTTAGTATTGGAAGTAGTTGAGATGTTAGCAGAATTTCAGAATGTATGATGTTCACATTCACTGCTAGCAGAATTTCAGACTGATGGGAAAGAAGTTGGTTCAGTGGATGATTAAACTGTCATTGTTTAAGTAATGAAAAACTCAGTAGGTTTCTTTCCTAATAGAGTTAAGTTAAACGGCAAAAAAAATTTAACAGGAGGGAAAAATATTAAATCCAAATTCTAAGTTCTAGATGACATAGCAATAAATCAAAAGAAACTTCTTTGTTTATAAGAAAATACATATTGAATGACATTGAGGAAGCCCCGGTGAGCTAGTTTAACGAAACCTAAGAACAGGAAACCAAAATGAAAGATAACATACTTCAAACATTGCATCCACTTTTCCACTTTTGGCACATGTTGAGATTAAAGTAGTGTATAGTTTGCAATCTGCTTTCATTCCAGCCTCCTGGACAAGCCGCACAACTTGAAAAGCTCCTAAATTTACAATGCATAAATTATGCACCCTAAAAGAATAATGGTAGTAAATAGTAGAAGACTCGAGCTCGTTTCCAGAAAGAAACAGTTAAATGATAATAAAGAATTTATTAACTTACTGTCAGAATCTTGAGAACTTGCACACACAGACATGAGCATATTAAATGTACTCAATGTGGGGTTTGGAATAAATTTGGCGTACTGAAAAGCTTCCTGAACCGCCTTTTTACTCTTGCATATATTGAAAAACTTCCCATGATAAAACTACAACCAGAAAACTCGTTAAGTTGGATACTTATAGTTCAGATAATAAAATCTAAAATAAAAAGTTATATACATTTTACCTTATTCATATCCAATAAGCCATCTCTTTCCATATCTTGAAGTAGTTTGATACATTCCTGCAACCTGAAAAGCAATAAATAAGAAATAAGTGAMAAAGATTTTCAGAAATAGTTGAGCACACATATGAATACAGACTCCTACCATGATTTTTTTTTCCTATTTTCGTTCATGACAAAATAATCTTCATGTATATCTTCAACCATACAACATGATACAGCGGAGGAGAAATATTGATTGCACCATACATGAAAAAGAGAAACAGGCTTACCTTCCACCTTTTAGATATTGATTGTAGACTTTAAATTGATCTACATGAAGATTTTTCTTATGGACATGCTTCCCATTTGGATAGGATAACCCATTGACAACCTCTCCTTTATGCTGACTGGGTTCTTTTCTCTCCACGTGTCTTGAAATACTGTTGCCTCCTCCAAAGTTTTTTCTGTTCCCAGAAGAACCTTCCTTATTTCTTGCAGCAGGTACTTTTCGTTCAACATGTCCTGAGTTGTAAAAACAGATGCTCATGAATTGAAATATGGAATAGGGAGATGCAAAGATTTTAAGGAAATAATGTTGGGATATAAGAAAAGAAAATCATATTTGCTGCAAATTCAAATAAATACGGTAAAGCCATAAAAAACTTACGGAAGGCATTATCTGAAATTTGAAGAGAATCCTCTGACACTAATTCTGCTCCTCTCGAGATGCCGTTAATTGTCACTGAAGAAAATTTTTGATTGTATGAATGAGCAGTACGAGAAGAAGTTGCTGTTTGACTGCTTGACTGCGTATCTTCATAGAACATGTAAATATCTTCTCTTGCCGGTTCTTCAATTAGAAAGTCAGAACTGGTTAGTCTTTCCTCTTTTAGAAGCTCACTATCTGCTTTAAAATGTTGAGTCACTTGATTATATACACTATATAGAGGACCAGCAACAGGTGGAAGCTGAGTTGTATCAGCCACAACAGTCAAGTCAGAGTGGGATTTGACATGAGACACCTTCAGTTGCAAGTCAGTCATGTCATTGGCAAAAACAAGAGGCTGCAGGACGCCAGATTCAAATATATCAGAAATAATAGAAGGATCTGTTGCTTCACGTTCATCTGGAAATAGAGAATCGCTATCTTTAGAACTAGTAACTTCAGAAATAGGTGGCTGCAATGTTTCAGTGGTGCTAGCCTCATGTGACAAAGAAGATTTTTGAAGCTGCAGAACTGTCTCTTCTTCCCCAGAATAACCCCTCTCTTCAGTTCTATCCATTATGGCTATGTTCTGCTCTAAAAAGTCGCCATGATGATCCCTAAAGCCCATTATCTGACCATCAACGGACCAGTTGATGCCTCTACCTAGTTGAGATAAGGCAAGCTTTGGAGACTGGGAACCCTGTGATTGGCACAAGATGACAAGCACCATAAAACATGTTATCTCTACTATACTATGACAGGCGAGTCTTTCAAATAAACTAAATCATTGAACCCATGAAAATCACAGTATTCAGGTTACATTCATATTTTACGTATGAGACTTTGAAAACCATGATATGCTCCAAACTTAATATACTATATTTTATAAATCCATGTCGTAAGAAAAAGCATCTTCTAAGGCTATTGAATTATCAAATATTAGGAACAATGGTGCTGTTAAATTCATCACACGAGAATATCAATCAACCTCCCACTGAAATGCTGCTATTGGTAGCAGCTGGTAATTGATCCATCTCTCGATCAATCCAATTATCCTAATTACGTATCTTCTACAACAAAACACAACTTAAAAAGAAAAAAGCAACGCGAGATAGACTACAAGAATCACTCTCTCAATTGTCACCGTACATCTTCCCAGTGCAGCTACGAAGACGGACAATCAAACATGCAAAAAAGCATTTACGAAATTGCGAACGAGAAAACAAAAACAAAGTCCAAATCGATTATTCATTCACCGTACCTCAGCCGCATTCTTCTTCCTCCTATTGAAGTTCATGTAGATGAAGGAGACAGCAGAGAAGGTAACCACAGCGACAACGATGAGCACAGGATTGGAACTCAAAGTAGCTCGGAAGATGCATCTCGGAGACTGAATGATAAGGCGAGCATTCCTGCAGCGTTTTCGGGAGCGGAGAGCATCCGGCGGGCGGAGATTGTGATCGCAGCCAAGGAATCGGCGGCGGACGAAGCGGAGCCGGGAGTGGGAGAAGGAGGAGGAAGAGAGAGGGAGGCATGGGTTGAAGGTCAGTGATGGAGGCTTGGAGGAGAAGGAAACTTCCATGGGAGGAGTGAGGAGGAGAAATGGAATGGGCTGAGTTGAGGATAGAGAGGGGGAGGAAGAGGAGTCGTTGGGTGGGAGTGTTACCAGTGGTAGCATTCAGCTTGCTTTCTCTTGGTTGGTTTTTTTTGGCTGATCCACTTCGTGCTGACGTGGAATTTTCATATTTATTTTTTCTTTTTGGGGAATGGAAACGGTTTTGTTTCCAAGAATTATTCTGTGTCTGTTACCACAGGAAGGATTGGGGAGGAAATAAAACACAACAAAACAAATCGATCGTATTCTCGAAGCTACGGGATAGAACTTCAATTTTGAGCCATTTCTTCCGCATAATTTTTTTTCTGGTTAAATTACAATTTTAGCCCCTTTGTAGTTTCATTCCTTTTTTTTTTTTTTGACAGAAAGATAAAAGACGTGAAATTTTGAAAATAGTAAAAAACTTTTCCTGTTTAAAAATCTTAAGTTTTCCGGTACTCAAAAAAAAATTTTAAATTTTTCCTTATAATTTTTTTTAGTACCTTATAATTTAGRTTTAAATCGTCCAAACTACCACTATCATTTACCTATTAAAAATGTATCTAATTTTTTCTATTTTTTCCTCCCACCTAAATTTTAATATAGCCAACTGACACATTTAGCGAAATAAAAAAAATACGAAAATGAAACTTTTARTCTTTTAGAATGAAATGGACTAAATTATAACAAAGTCCATATTATATGGATGAAAGTAAAATTTTTTAAACTGTGAGAAACAAATTGTAACTATTCTCAAAAGATAACAAATTTGTAATTTAATCTAACTTAATCTATTTTTATAATTTATTTTTTTTAGTATAAAGTGAGATATGAAAATTTGAATAAATGTCATTTAACGTTGAGTTATGTTCACGATGGCGGTTTAATCTATAGTTTTTATAACAAATTTATAGTATTTATCTCTAATAGTTTATTTTTTTTAGTACARCAAAGAGGAGGGAAGAGATTTAAATTTATATCCTCTAATTAAGAGACACGTATCAAATTATTCTTGTGCTAAACTAGTGGTTATGCTATCACGTGGGTTCGATGATTCTCCTTCATTCTCGAGCTTTAATGATGTCATCGTATAATGCACAGTGGAAAATCTAGGAAAATTAAACCTCCCGAGTGAAAGAATATAATTAAGATTTTTATCTAACAATCATATCATAACGTCCACTTAGCTCTCTCTAACCTATTTGACACAGACATCTCATCAAAGGCTATACTTGTTGTAAATACAAAAGGAATGATCGTTGAATAACGATGAATTTTCTGTAGCTTTTAGAACAATAAAAAGTGATTTCAGTCAGTTAAAAATACTTTTCAAAATTTTCATAATAAAAAATGAATATATACTTCTAAATAAAATACTTGAATTTTTACATGTTGATGTTATTCCTAATCTGCTGGGACTTCAAGTAACAAAWATAATCTTCAAAATCGTCTCTACTTCACTTTTTCCAGTGTAAGCACCCAAAATATCGATTCGGAAAGTAAATAATCTCTCGGTAAATCGGACTACGCTTGTACCATCTTCAACTCATTCTAACACATATAATTTACATATATTAAATTTATTTATATTACCTTTCATAATTCATAAATAACTATATGGTCCCTCAAATTAGAAAATTAATATAGTCCAAAACCACGAGAAATGGTTGTGTTGTAAGTCGTGCCCAACGCCCTCCTCCCATTCTATTAATTCAGAGTTCAAGATTTTGCCCTAGCTTTTGCTCCAATGTAACCTCCGGAGGCGCCGCCGTAGTCCTCCGCCAACAAACTCCGGCCATCTTCAAGATCCCAATCTCCCCCTCCGCACCAACCTGCAGCAGCCCCTTCGGCAAGTTCACCGAAAATCCGTAATAAGCCACGCACGCCGCAAACGGCCCCACCCAGAAAACCCAATGCCCCTCCCACAGCCGCCCCCCTTTCAACAACGCCGGCCCTAAACATCTCGCCGGATTCAGCCCCACGCCGCCGTACCCCGGCCGCCCGGTGATCGTCGTCGACACGAAAACCGCCACCGCCGAACTCCCCGCTATCATCACGCAGACCATCGGCAATCCGAGCTGCTCGCTCATTTTCTTGTCGAGCACCACCGTGACTCCGACGTAGAGCACGACGAAGGTGCAGGCGAACTCCAGGACCAGAGCCGTGGTGAGGCCGAGGCCGGGGGAGGCGCCGGTGCCGCGGATGGTGCAGCCGCCGAGCGAGTACTTGTCGGCGACTTCGGGGCTCATTGCGTCCTTGATCATGAGAAATGCGAGGATGGAGCCGAGACATTGCCCTAAAATGTAGACGGCGGCGCGTGTGAAGGTTATGACGCCTCTGAGGCCGGCGATGAAGGTGAAAATAGGGCTCATGAAGCCGCCGGAGAGAGGGAAAGTGACGAGGAGGAAGAGGAAGAGGATGACGAAAACGGCGATAGGGATAAAGAGCTTTGGATCTGATTCGTTGGAGTTCAAGCAGGAGATGATGGAACTTGTTAAGCAAAATATGAGGAACGCCGTGGCTACCAATTCTGTCATCGCCGCTTTCCACATCTGTGAAAATAAATAAAATTAATTAATTAATTATTGATAATTAATTTTTTTATACAAAACAGAATTGTTTTTTTAAATTTAGGTAATATATTAAAAAATTCTTTAGGTCATCTGTGAAAATTCTTAGTTTAAATTTAGGTTATATATTAAAAAAAGTTATAAAATATGTAAATTTTGTTGTAGAGTATAATTTTTGTTTTGTTGAAGAAGAAACTTCTATACCTTATTCAATAATCATAAACTCATTCTCTCTCTCTTTTTATTTTTATTTTTTTGAAAATTTGAAGCCACAGGCTCAAAGCGGGCATCAACAATAATCTTAAACCAAAAATACTTGTTCTTTGGAGACCAACTACCTTTGCAAAATTTACAATTTACTATTTTTTTTAAATTTATATTTTTAYATTTCTCTCTTTAATTGTCAATTTTTAAATGGTGGTTACCCATTAAGAAAATTTTTGTCCAAAGAGCCAAGGAAATATGGAAAACCTACTTTAACTATATATATTATACGAATATATAATTATTAAAATTTGGAAAAGAAGATATATTACAAAGCAAAGAAATAGTAATAAACAAAAAATATGGTTGGTCCTTGTACTTTTGAAATAATAAATTTTTTTTTGAAGAAATAAGTTAATCCCGAAGTTTAGTTTGTATTGATTTAATTCATATATTTTAAATCATTAACAATTTAGTCCATATATAACTATTTAGTTGTTGTAGTTTAAGGTTTTTAACTCTTTAGTCTCTATCGTGAAATTTTTTGTTAATTTTTTATATACGTAAACCTATTGAGGGACCAAGTTTATAATTTACCAAGACTAAATTATTAATTATACGGTAAAAAGCAACACTTAATTTTTTATAAATATTTTCAAGATAGAGATTAAATTATATAGACTAAATTATTACATATTAAAATTAAGGGACTAATTAAATTGTTATAATTTTGAAACTACATAAACTAATCATTACAAATTAAAGTTCTAGAACTATACCATTACTTTGATAAAAAATATAATGATCAAACATGTTTTTTAACCCGAAAAAAATWATATTTTTATGAAGAAAATCAACATCAAATGAAGTCTATATTTTAAATATCACACTCGTAACATATCGACCATCAAGTAAAGTTTATGTTTAAAAGTAATTTTAATTTCATCGTTATCACTCTACCTCGCTCAATAAAGACAAGAATCAAAATAATAATTTTTTCAAAGTTGAAAACTAGAATAGAATAAACTTGAAAGATGGAGGACAAAAGTTCAAAATTTAAAAGTAATGAAATAATCCTAAACATTCAAGGATTAAAATGGTATTTAAAGTTAAAATTGGAAAGAAATTATAAGTGAGAGGTTTATATAATTAAAACAATGATGGAATCAAACCTCTTGTGAGTAAAGCTCATGGGCACCAATGGAAAGAAGAAATCTGGAAACAAAAGAGGGATCATTCTGATTGGAGTTTCCTKGTTCAACTGATAAAACAAGATCCTCCTGCGCAGCTCCATGGGCTTGGGAAGCCATTGAAATTAATTTGAAGGAATGAATGAAGCTTCTTTTATGCACTGAAACTGAGAACTGAGAACTGAGAAGTGATAACCTTTGTTTTGTTTGGGGCGTGGCGGTCGAAAATTCTATGCACAAAATGACAACTTATGGATCATCTTCTTGCTTAGAATATTCATTTATTCTCTTGCAAACAAGAACGCATTGCTTTGATCAATCAATTTTCCAGGTTTTAAATACTATTCTCTCCTTGATGTCATTATATTTTGTCACTTATTTTTTTATTTTTTTCTATGTACTCTACTCTTAGTTCTTAAATTTTGTATTTTATTCTTCATTGTTGATATGCGTTGCATTTATTTAATAACATAGCTCCTTTGATTTTTTGTTTTAAACTGTATGCTTTACGTATTGTTATCTTATCAAATTTATATTTAATACCTCAATCTGACCACACCAATGATTTCTTTTATATGTTGAAAGTTCTAAAAATTTATATTTAAAATTGAATCTTTTAAAAACTATTATGTAAGTTCAACTATGTGAAGAAAACATTTCAAAATAGACCCCAAACAAAGTAATGCTCTATAATATATATATATATATATATACGTAATACGTGGGGAATATTCGATTTGGATAAGGCAATTTTTGGCGTTGGAATTGTATTCCAATTTCTCATCTCTCTCTGTTGATGCCCTTAATCCCATATTTACTCGTTGGTTCTTCTTTTAAGAGGATTGTTATTGTAAATTGATGTTTGGTTCTATTCTTTTACGAGCATGTGGACCACGCGCGAGAGAGAAAGTAAAGCCTTTCAATTTCATACTAAATACGGGGCCTAAATGACATTTTTTATGAAATTAATTTTCTTGAGAAATTTCGATCAATCTCCATACCTAAGTAAACTCATCGTACAATTTGAATATTGATCGATCGATATTCGGACCTTGCCAATTTACTAAGTACAACTTGAATATTAATCAATCAATCTTCGCACCTTGTCCAATTCACTAAGTAGATTCACTGTACCGCTTGCAAATTTTACCCAATGATATTTCCTTGAACAACATAACAAGTTTTACAACAATTTTTTCGTTGGCGGTGGATTATTTCGAACAACTCTCTTCACCATTAAACACAAATTTCCTTTTATCATTATGATCGATTTCAAGTCTAACATCATTAAATTCTTTCCTGAAAAAAAAAAGAAAAGAAAAAAATCGTATTGGTCTATCTTACTGTGGTTCCCAAAGGTTCACGGTATGCTGAAAGGTGGCACTTTGAAACTGCGTACACATATGTATACCAAAAAAGAACAAACAAACAAATAAACTGTTTTCGAACTTGTACTAAAAATAAATAAATAAACACTGTTTTCCAACTTAGATTCAGTTTCTACCAACATTGGATTAGACAATCATTCAGACAAGGTCAGAAAAACCTGTGCGTGCATATTTTTGGTAAGAATTGTGAGTCCTCTTATCGTTTTACGCCTAAATTTTGTCAGTATACTAAGGTCTCAAAAGAAAACTAAAAGAATTGATTTAAAGAAATTGACTTTTATTCATCTTTCTAAGCAACAAATTTATCAAATGGGCATGTTCCATGCTCGCTTATGCAAGCATGAAGAAACTTCAGACTGAGTCGTGGAAATCTCATAGTATGTTTTATGCAACCTCACACTCAAGTAATGATCAATGCAAGCACGAAAAAAGCTCGCGAATGATGAAATATAATGGCGAGCATGCTTTCGTGCTTACAAGCAAGCATGAAACAAGCTCACACAATATAGTAATCAATCACTTGAGCATGCTTCAAACTTGATTAAGCAAGCCTGAAGTGAGCTCATGATTCCTATATGAGGAGATGAGGAGATTACAACAATGAATGTTTACTTTCTAGTTTTTTGGTCTTTGTGGGACTCATTTTACTTGCAGAGAAAACTGAAGTTGTAGAAATCATGAGATGCAAATTTGCAGAGGGGTTGCCTTTATGTATGTCAGAGAAGAATTCGTTCTGATGGGTGTACTTCTTTTAGAACTTCTGTATCTGGTCGACAAACATAGCTTCTTGTTTTATGCATAGGCTTGATTAAAGGAGGTTTCTTACTGTTTAATGTTTGAGGGAAAAAATAAGAGTTAATCTACTCCTAGAGATGAATAATGCTTAGGACTGATAGCGCTCTCAAGGTTCCTCATTCAGAATCTCCGATTCTAGGAAAGAGTATCAAGTTGACCCTTGTGAACAACTTGATAGACTATCTCCCTCCAGCTCTTTGATTTAAAAAATGTTTTCTTTTATTACTTATTCGTCAAGGGCATTGTAGTGGTATTTGTGCTTCAGGAAGGACTTTGGGCAGGAAGAAGATGAGTAATAGAGGAAGGGTAGAGATATATGAAATTAATATTTGGCTTGACTAGATTTTATATAAATAAGGCCAAACAATCTATTTTTTGAAGTTTATTGAGGCTTACACCAAACTCACGAACGTACTCGAACAGGATCTGTTCTAAGCTTCTCATTTGAGTCACTTCTATCAATCTAATTCCCAGACTTCACGTTTCCAAATTCCTTATTTCAAAGTCAGACATGACCAAACGCACCTCAATGTAAGCAATGACCAACTTCTAAAGAGTGCATGAAAAGTATACTACAGGTGTTGATATTTGATCAATCTTCTTGAATGTTAAACTTTACATGCAGCCGAGATGTTCTCAAGTTATAATAACAATATCAACCGACAACCACATACCCGCAAACATGCCAAGAAAATAACTTGGCCCAGCTATGGACAAAAGGACATGACACGAGGTCTGTTCAGTCACACTACTCCAGAAGGGAGTCGGAGGACAAGCTGTCCTCCTAACACGCTGCAAAATTTCAAGGCAGAAGATTCAGCATAAAATGAAAAGTTGTCAGTTGAAATTGCCTACTAATGGACAGGAGCTAACCTCTTCATGTAATAGTAACAGAAGTCTGCTAGGATGAAAGTCTGCACAATTTCTGAAATTAGAACCATAGATGGCCATAAACCATAACCAAGGGCCACTAGAAGATGTCCCCGACTATCCAAGACCTGATTAAAGAATAGAAAGCGATGTGTCACCGATAGCAAATCACAAAAGTGAGTTTGGAAGGAAGGCATAAACAGAGATGATTAATTAGCTGTGTACAACTTTAAAATGCAGTCGGTTGCATTACATTCATATGAATTAGTTTGGATTACATGGTTAAAGAACAAGAAACCAGAACAATAAGGCCATCAATTTCACTTTTTGTTTTTTGTTTTTTTTTGGGTACAACGTGTGGGGGTGGGAGATTGAACTCACAACCTCATGGTTGAAAGTATATGGCAATGTTCATGTTTTGTTACATAGTTTTTATAAACACTTTCAAAATCTAGGTCAAATTTTGAAAAGAAAAAAAGTAGTTTTCAGAAAAGCTTATTTTTGCTTTTGAAATTTGGCTAAGAATTTATATACGTCTTAAAAAACCTACTAATGAAATTGTACAAAAACAATAACAAAATAGTATAAATTTTTGCCTATATTATTATAAATAGCAAAGCAAGTACGCATACACACCTATGCTAGAATAAAGAGAAAAATACAGGAAATCAAACCTGGAGAACCCAATGGGCACAGCTCAGGAATCTTGCAATACCCAATGCAAACACATAATGAGCAGTAAACGGTTCAACAATCTGAAAGTTGGAGAGAGGCAAAAGTTAGGCATTAATACCTCATCAATTTTGTAGTTTTGTATGGCAAGGAATTTCTTAACATCATACAACAACAAACCTTAGTGTTTTGCATCACTCGCAATTGGGGCAACACCGAAACAGCTTCCAGATACACACAAAATGCCCAGAAAACTCTGTTAACAAAGTGGTGAGAAGTTGATGGATGAATAAGTAAAGCCAACACGGCACAGGGTGCTATCTGCATCCAAAATATGAAGGCAGAACAATTAATATAACCCACAAAAATGTGCATCCTACTCACTAATCTTGCACACAGTTTACGTCCAAAAACCTTATCCGCACATGGCAACTAGAAAACATCAATGACTAATAATATTATTGGCTTGGGTTTTTCTCATTGTTTTGTATATTTCACTTTTCAATGAGATTGCTCCTTGGAAAAAGAACTAAAGATGTTAATAGTGAAAGTTCCAATCCAATGAAAGCTAACATAAAGAAGCTTCTATACATTTGGCAAAGATGATATAAAATCCAATCAGTTGGTTTCACCCAGAAATTTGGAAATGAATTTAAACTACAGAACCTTACCACAAAATATAATGCAAAGTTGTCTTTGTCCTCCATGTAGCTTGACTTGAGTCTGAAGCGGATCATATAAATTACCCAGAGGGTTGTTGCCAGCGTTGCTAAATCTAATAGGGTGTGTATATCGTACTCCATAACAAAACTACAATACAACCTCACAGCCAAGAAAATAGCGGTTAATTCCTGAGACTTGAGCGATATTCCTACAATACCAAAATATGTTTCAGAATAATGTCTGTGAAAGAGATAGTGCATCAGAGAGAACATCCAGAGCAATCAAAAAGGAAAAGGAAGAAACTGGAGTACTCAAATGATTCCAAACAACATGGTTTGCAAGGGAAACCAAAACTAACATAATTTACACGGCATAGAAACCAAAAATAATTAAATTTCAAGAGATAACAACTTGAGCAGGCCCAAAATTCACACAATTGCAACCACTCTAAATTGAACTTATAAATTGCTGCTGGTGAAAATTAAAAGGTTCCCATCCTTAATAAATTATAACTAATATCACTTCCAACACAAATGCAGTTAACAAAAATGGGTGACTTTAACAAGGATTAGGTAACTATTAATTATGAGTTCAAAATCTCAATAAAAATGACTAACGAAGAGGATTCATTAATTTCTACAGCTCATCTCATCTAAAATCAAAATAGCTGCTGTAAAATAAATAATTGGGGACAAGCAGACAAAGACATGAATAACAAATCCACGATGATACAAATTTCGACAAATACTTTTACTTGTTGGTCATTTTTAATAGCTTCAACGGCGAAATGAAAAGGGGGCAACCCCGAAAGGCGAACTCAGTCACTTTTTGGGTTCGAATGACAAACCATAAACGAACATGCAAAAACACCATCTAAGAGCATGATTACCACCAACCCCCGCCCCCAAATTTCCGACAGCCAATTCAAGAATTACCAGCACAAGTCCTCTCCTTCGTGAGCTTATAAATGAGCACCAATATTCCAATGGAGTGCACTGCCTCGGCAGCCACAAATAGATTGTCGTGGTCGTGAACGATGAATCGGAGTACAACCAGAGCCACCATGCCAAGCACCACGGCCAAGAAGGCCTTCACCTTCGGCGGCTGTCGCCGCACCCATAGCGAAACGATGTGGATCGGATTTCTTGCCGGCCTCATGAGATGGCTCTAATCCCCTCTTATTCTGTTGCAGGGCTGACCGGAGGTGGTGCAGGTTGATCTGCCGGCGAAGTCTAGGTTTTGCGGCAAGCCGACGAAGAGAGAGGCAGGTGTACCGATGAATTAGACGCGTCGAACTCTCCTTGAAAATAATATCGAATGCACGGTTGCCGAACCGGGTTGTCGGGTCGAAATCACCGGGTCAGATTATATGATCCATCGAGTTCAAACTGATATCTTTTTAGGAAAATTCTATTTTTATTTTTCGTTTTTTAATTTTTCTAAAAATATGTTTTCTTTTAAGCTATCTGATTATCAAAATATGTTATAGGCCCTCTCTCTCTCTCTTCCAAATAAGTACAGTGGTAAGATGAAACCATCAAATATGTTAAATATAAGTGTTTTATTTATTGAGTTGTGATCGAATCGCCAAGTAGATATAGATTTGACAATTTTAAATGAATCTATCAAACTATAGACTAAAAAAAGAAACTAAAAATAACTAATGAGAAATATATGACACTGCTCATAGAGCAACGACTATGAGACAGATATTTCAAACACCTCTCTATTTTATAGATTATCAAATGTCAACGACAGATATTTAAATCCATACATTTTTTATTTTTGATTTTAACATCTATTATAGGGTGATATAGAAACCACACCTTGTGCTGGCCTATCATGGAATTGGTTGGGGTTGTTTGTTCTTTTTGTTCAATAACATGTTTTTTTTTAAACATCGGTTGTCGGGAGATATAAAGACCACACCTTGTACAAGAGCCTATCATAAAAATGGTAGGTGTTGTATGCTATTTTTAGTTCAATACTATGTGAGAGTAAGAATTCAAACATATGCTATCAATTCAAATATATGCTAAAACCAACAGTTATACGTAGTTTATAACATAGAAAATGAATACCTAAACGATGACAAAATATTGAACATCAATTCTTAAATATCTATTCTGTTAGTACAATAAATGCGAGAGAGATTAAACCTCCAATTTCTGAAAAAATGAACAAAATACGTTAAACGTTGAGTTATGCTTGTGTTGGCTAAAGCTCAATTATTCACATCATATTTACATCATGTTATAATTGGATGGAGTAAAATACACATTATGTTTTTTTTATTATTATATACAATAATATCTTGTGTAAAAAAAATTATAATAATTTTAATTATAATAACTATTGTAAACTATTAGTATATATATTTAAAAGTACAAGTAAATGAATTACAAATATTTTATAAGATTCAAATTCACGACTTTTTGGTCAGAGATAAGTGTCTTAATCAATTGAACTATGTTCACACTGGCATAAATAATTTAAAGCATACTACATAAATAATACTAATAATTTATATTATTTATTAGAACGTTTTCACCTTACAAATGAGGTTTACAAAGTTGTTGGTGTGAGTTTAGCTCGAGTAGGTGATGCACTCGCCTCGGACCAAAACCAAAACCATGAGTTCACCCACGTGTTTTTGTATTGAAAGGAAAAAGATTACAACGTTTACAAGAATAGGTAAAATGATTAAAAAAAACAAGAATAGGTAAAAGAATTACACATTTGCCGATTGAATTTTCTACCAAAGAGGCTGATATATTTGAGAAAAGGGAAAAAATTACCAAATTTTTTTTTACAAGGCAAATGAGTTGAACCGGACCAACCCGACTACGATCGGTTCGACCCGGGTGTACAATCCGGTTCGATTATATAGCGCCCTAGCCCGATTACCCGCGTTCGCGCCTCCGATTACTCGTCTCTCTGTTTTACTCTACTTTCCAAACTTGTGCTTCCATGCTTTCGAGCTTCCTGGTTTTCTGTTCGTCTTCTCGGTGAAGAAAAATGTCTTTTGGAAGAACAAAATATAGTTCAGAGGAAGAAAGGACTCTTGCCAGAGCACTGGTTTGAATTGGCACACTGAGTACACTACTGGGATGATATTGAAGTCGGAATATTACTTCGTTTACTGAAGCATACCAAATCTCAAGCATTCGTTTCATTCACAGCGCAGTTTCAAGGAAATCTAGCAGTGATGAAGAGGAATTCGTTAATGGAAGTTTCCGAGCTAGAGACTAAAGAGAAGAATCCAAAGATGAAGAATAAGAAGAGGAAGCTAAAGAGTCCTCAAAAAGCCGAGAGGCCTCCTAAGTCTGCCCGGGTTATCATTCCACTGGAAGAGGAAGTTGTAGATGAACCAGGACGGGTTGAGAAGTCGGAACAGAGGGAGTTGTTTCGAGGGTCTGAAGAAGGTCGTCCGTGGAGGAACTTGGAGTTGATTTTCTTGATCCAGAACAAAGAGCTCGACCAACAAAAGTTTGTTTCTCTTTCACGCTATTTCATTGCATGTGTGTTATGATTCAATTCCTTGGTTTTGTTGGAAGCAGCGTGAGCCTTTCTCTAATATTCTTCGGTATTTCAATGCAGGAAGGTCGAAGCAGTTTTCAGCTTTGTCGACTCAAAGCTGAAAGAGGAAGATAAATGTTATGATACAGTAAAAATTTCGCGCTTGATAGTTTTTCTTAGTGATTGGGTGCAATCATTGTTGATATCATTTGAAAAGAAGGCAAAGAATGATGGTGGGAAACATCTTAAGATGGCTATTGAACCGTGCTTGGATTATAGATGCTGGGAGGTTTTTAAATTTTGTTTGGAAGAATCAGTCAAAATGAACATTACTTTGAATCTATCCAGAAACCTTTTACATGCCTTTTGTTTTGTTACAAGAAATGCAATCTCCCTTCTAGATGTGTCCTCGAGCTCAAAAGAAGAGTTATTTGCTGGGGATTGTTTGAAGTTGTACAATTGCGTGCAAGATTGTGTTTCTTTAGTATTTTCATCCCATTTGGGTCTATCCAATGACAATTTAGACGCTTGGATTTCTACCATCGATGCAGTGCTTGAGTTTCTTCACAAAATTCATGTAAATAGCCTTGAAGGTGAAGATGTAGGCATTTTTGCTACGTTATTTTCCCGTATGATGCTTGAGCCTTTTGCTAAATTTTTGTGGATTCACCCCACCAAGAAAACTGGATTTCACAATTTTGTCAATAAACTTCTGGAACCATTACTGCAATTATTGCGTGACTTAAGTCTCAAAGCTGATGGATGTAATCATGGTAGGACAAGAACATTGATGAAGTTACTTGAAGACGTTCTATCTCATGCTTTGTTTCACACAGTTCATATTGATGGGTTTCTGTGCTTGCATGGTTCAGAGAAGGTTACAAAATCCCATGATGAGAAATTAGAAGAGTCTAAAGCACATATGAAGAGCTATCATAGACATTTATTTGATAAAGTGCAAAAACTAGTTGCAGAAAAGAAGTTCTTGGCATTGGGTGCAGTAGGAGAACTGTTTGACGTGCTTGTTGTCAGAGTTAATAAGGTGAAAGGAGCTTCAATGTTGTTTGAGGACACCAAACTGAACAACAAAATGGGATGTTTCGGACATTTGAGGGATGATACATCAAGTCATGCATCACGTGCGCTTCAAGGAAGTGCTGATGGACTCTCAGAAAAAAGCAATTATTCAAGCAGTTTGAGTACAGAAATAAGGAAGTCTCTGTTTGAGTTTTTTGTACAGATTTTGGATCCTTTGCTTCTGACCATTGACCACATTAGTGCTGAAATTAAACTGGGACCAGCCTTGTCGGATGTTTGTTACTTACTCAAATCAATAAATAATCTACTTGCAAGTTTTATGAAGGGAAAGGTGTACTTGAGAACAGAGGATAACTCTGAAGGGGCTTACCTTAATTTCTTAAAAAAGGTTTATGATAAAGTAATGTTTGTTTCCTCTAATTTGTTATCATTATCAAGACACGAGTTAGAAAACAATATAGACCAGGGAGTTTTTGTCTTAGCAGCCAATGAGATACTGGTGACTGTTGGTTATCTTCTGGAAATTGAATATGATGTGATTGGGAATGATTTGGTGAGCTTATGGCTTGTGATTATTTCTTACTCTGCCATTAATCTTTCTTTCACAAGCATACCTGAGCAACACTTGTTGACTTCCAGGATTCAAGAACTTGGATGCCAGCTGGTTGTTTTATATGGTCAGTTACGGCAGGTTAGTATTAAGTCTTGGGATTACCATTTGAAATTTGTCTTGCTTTTCTGTCACATTATCTCTATCGTAATATATATTTTTTGTTTAACCCGTTCTGCTATTTTTCTTTATCAATAATTTAATGTTCAAAACCATGATCATTTCTTTTCTATATGTTTGCTATTGTAGGTCAATATTATTATTTTTGCTTTATGCAAGGCCATGAGGACAGTAATATCAAATGAAGGTGAAAATGAAAAAAGTTATGCTAGCTTTATGACCTCTTTAGGTCATGAAGCTTATGGAAAATCAGTTGGGACGCTAGTCTCTTCACAAGAAATTAAATTTGCAATTCATAAAGCTATTAAATATGTACCAGAAGGGCAAGCGAGTGGAATTATTCAGCAGTTAACTGAGGATGTGACGGAGACTTTAGGATGGCTGAGACTTTGTAATTTGAACTTGAATACAAGAAACAGCAAAAGTTGCTTGAATCTGAAAACTCTGCTTCTTGGAAGAGGGTTGTCTGAAATGTATGCTCTGATGTTGGATTCTCTGATGATCACATCTGGCAATGCTCTCCAAATTGGAACTTCAATTGATAACTTGATTTCAGTCTTACGTCCTTGCATGAGTATTTTGGTTGGACTGCAGTCAGATGGTGCAAAAGAATTTGTCGTCGCTATCATGGAGAAAAAATGTGATGATGTGGTTGCAGATGAAGATAACTGTCAGGGATTTGGAGTGATCAGTCACTGGGTCTTTGTTTTCTTCTTTCGCTTGTACATGTCCTGCCGGAGCCTGTATAGGCAAGCAATTAGTCTGATGCCCCCAGGTTCATCTAGAAAAATGTCAGCAGCGATTGGAGACTCAATGGTAGCCTATTCTGCTTGTGATTGGATGCAGAGGACTGACTGGAGTGATGAAGGATATTTTTCATGGATAATTCAACCTTCAGCTTCTGTTCTTGCTGTTGCCCAATCTATTTGTAGCCTTTATCATCAAGGCACTGATGAAGATTGGTACCCTTTAATTTACGTATTGCTTACCATGGCTCTTCAGAGGTTAGTGGATTTGAATAGGCAGATAGACTCTCTCGAATATTTGCACCAGAGAAATGAGAATCTAATGCAGGTTGAGGTGCTTGGTGATGATGACTTGTCAGTGTTACGGAAAAAGAGCAAAAAGTTTGGAAGGCTCGTCTCAGTTTTGCAAAAGGAAGCAGCAGATCTTACTGATTTCATGATGAGCCATTTATCTTTAATAGCTAAACGCCAAATTTTGAATCCGGCTAAAATTGCAACTTCAAATGAAAAGTGTATTGAAACACTTGATGAGATCGATGATTGGGACTTTAGTATTTGTAGCATGAATAAAAGGTCATTTCCCACAGCAGTTTGGTGGGTTGTTTGCCAGAATGTTGATATTTGGGCCATTCATGCTGCTAAGAAGAAGTTAAAAATGTTCCTTTCTTTTTTAATTCGTACGTCCCATCCCTTCTTAACAAGCAATGATATGAAGATTGAATCGCAACAAAACGATGGATGTCAGCAGCTAAATAAAGTGTCTCTGCAACAAATTTCTTCATCTGTACTAAGTGACCCCATCTTTTATGAACAAAGAGTAAGACACTGAATAAATGCTACTCACCCTCTCCATCTCTCTCTGTTTCTCAAACAATACTTTTTATTCTTTAGTTTTGATTTCCACAAGATTGTTAATGTCTTTTGAAGGTCTCGTTTTCGTCATTACCTTTCCATCTATTTTCTTTTCCAAATTTCCTAGTGTTTATGGAGTTTAATTTATCAGATGATGGCAATACTATCTATTCTATTAGTTTGTCTGCAGGTTTATGCCATCAAGGTTTTGCCATGAGTTGAAGGCAACGGTATTACCATCTTTTCATGATATTAGTACGAGTTCAGCTGATTGGATGGAGGTGATAGCCACACTTGAGCTCTCAACTACAGGTATTTGTGTTGGCAAACGTACTCCTGATGATTATTCTCCCCTTGCCAAACCAGTTAGTAATTCTTCTGATATGTTTCACGCAGAAGATTGCCAATCGAAAAGTGATTCACCTCCAAGCAATGTGAGATTCAGAGCTTGTCAACATTTTATTAACCTTTTATGTTGGATGCCAAAAGGGAATATTAGTTCAAGGTCTTTTTCCCTTTATACGACAAATGTTCTCGAACTTGAAAGGTATACTTTACTTCTATATCTTCCTTGCACTCTCTCTTCTTATCAGTGGTGCCTGACTGGAAATATTTTTTCCAATCTTGTACACTGTATCTAATATAATGTTTCTTAGTTTGCAGGATAATATAGAACTCGCTCTTCTAGAGTAAGGTGCATCTTATTTGTCATGGCCTAATCTATACTATTAATTAGACCAAAAATGATATAATAATAAAACAATTATCTCTCTAGAGAATCTTAGAAGCTGGTTTGTTTTGTAGCTTCTTCTTGGAGTGTCGTAGTCAAGAGCCTTTGAAATTTATTTTCGTTTTACTTCTCTTTTGTTTTCCAGGCAATTGGTGTTAGATAGTCAGACTACTTTATGTTCTGAAAATCAATTTGAGCTCCTCAAATTGTTTGCATCTTGCCGGAAGGCCTTGAAATATATATTTACGGCTTACTACGAGGCTGGCGATAGGCAAAGCTCATCTACTCCAGTTCCATCTGAAAATCAATTTCCTGTTTCATGGCTTTTCAAGTCTGTATCAATTGTTAATCAGCTTCAAGATGCTTCTTCAGGAGGTAGTGACAGACAAATTAAGGATATCATCTTTTCATTGATGGATCATACATCATACTTGTTTTTAACGACTAGCAAATATCAATTTAAGAATGCTCTCCGCTTAATTGTAATTGACAACAAACCCTGCATGGAGCAACCCGAGAATGTTAGCCATGAACTAAACGATGGAGATGATCTATTTTTAGGTTCCAATCGCTGTTTGGAAGCGTGCAATAGTGCAATCCAAATGACTATCAGTCTGAAGGAACAGGTGGAGAGTGAACTTATCTATCTGAAGAAGTCTAATGTTACGGTTGGAGATGGTAAAAACAGAGGCAATATGTATAAAGTTTATTCTCTAGCTTCTTGCCTGAATGGATTTTTGTGGGGCCTAGCATCTGCCGAGGATGACACTGATTTGAGGAATAGTAACCGTCACACGAGATCAATGAAGTTGAAATGTGAATTTAGTTCCCAACTTAACCTTTGCATAAATGCAATTTCGGAACTATTAGGTCTTATCTTGGAAATGTTTCTTGATAGAGACAGTCAACGGCCCCAAAAATTGTGTGATTATCAAACTTCTCAAGACTTTTTGGGTGTGAATGAGCCCTCTGGTAAGGGCCCTAGCTCCGAGGTTGATACATCATGTAGTAAATATCAGAAATTGGAATCTTCTCAAAGTGATGATGACAATAAAAATACTAGCTTAAAGAGAAAAAGGTTGAAATTGGGAAATAAAAGCAGTGTTGCCTCTATTCTCAGTGAGGCTAACTTAATTGAGATGCAATCTTTGAACAAACCTTTTCTGCGAGGGCTGTTGAAAGGTTCCTATCCTGAAGCAGCATTTGCACTCAAACAGCTATTTCTTGCTGCTTCAGTCATTTTAAGATTGCATATGAAATATGATAGCATTCCTTTGTCATCAAGTTCTATGGCCATCCTAATTAGCATTTCACGATTCTTGTTGCTAAAATTTGTGGATATGGTTGAAGTGCCACAGCCCTTTTTGCTTACTTGCTTGGATGGTGTTCTAAAGTATCTTGAGGGATTAGGTCATCTGTTTCCTTTTGCTGATCCTATGCAATCCAGAAATCTATATTCCAACCTTATAAATCTACATTTGCAAGCTATAGGAAAGTGCATATCTCTACAAGGAAAAAGAGCTACTTTAACATCCCATGATACAGAGTCCACTACAAAGACTCTTGATGGTCACTTATGTTTGTTCGAAGAATCATCTTTTCCCAGAATCTACTACATAGATCAATTTAAAAGTTCATTGAGAATGTCTTTCAAAGTGTTCATAAGGAAAGCCTCAGAGTTGCATCTCTTATCTGCAATTCAGGCTATAGAGAGAGCCCTAGTTGGAGTGCAGGAAGGTTGTACAGCAATATATGAATTATATTCCGGAAGTGAAGATGGGGGAAGGTGTTCCTCTATTGTTGCAGCTGGTGTTGAATGCTTGGATTTGGTTCTTGAATTTGCTTCAGGTAATTTTAAATCAACATATTGTTCAAGAGAAAATCTGATCCTGTACCATGTGCTGTATTTTTTTGACATATTCCTTAAGGGGTCAACTCAAATTTCTTCCTCTTCTTCGTTTTTCCAGTGTTTAAAGTGGACCGTCTTATTAGATGTTTTCAGCATGTGCAGCACAATGTTTATGCATTTTTAGTTGTATGTTAGTTACTTTTTCGTGGTCACGCATGTTGCATTACCTGTATGTTTTTTAACCAGAAACAAATTTTTAATCGATATACTAAAAGAGAGAAAAAAGTTCAAGAATGCAAATCCCCTAGAAGAGCAAGTAACCAACAAAGTAAAATGTCCAGAATTACCAAAACAAAATGCCCAAGGGAAAATCAAACAAACAAATATCCAACGAGTAGAACCGCAAAGACCAAAGAGCTACTTTAGCTAAACCCCTATCTGACAAAAAAAAACAGCATCTAACCCACTATTTGAAGGACAAAACTTTGGGAGAGAAAACCATGAAGAATCCAACAAGAGAAACTGCATCAACGACGTTGAAGCTTATAAACACCTCGAAGAAACAATGAAAACTAAACCCCTAATCAGACAAGGGACCTGTTCCTGTTGCATTACCTGTATATGAGAGCAACGAAGCGTAAAGATTATCATTTCAAAATAATTGTGTCATGCAACTCAAGCTTCAATGTCTGGGGGGCTGATTAACCAATCTTAATTTATTTTATTTGATTTGTCTTTTGTCACTCCCTCTTTTTCAGGACGCAAGTGCTTGAGTGTGGTTAAAAGACACATTCAGAGCTTAATTGCTGGTCTGTTTAGCATAGTTCTGCACTTGCAGACTCCACAAATTTTCTATTCAAGAATGATTGACACGAAAAACAAGAGTGATCCAGATCCTGGTTCAGTCATTCTTATGTCTGTTGAAGTGCTCACAAGAGTTTCGGGAAAGCATGCTCTTTTCCAAATGAATGCTTGGCATGTAGCAGAGTGTTTACGCATTCCTGCAGCAGTTTTTGAAGATTTTTCTCTTAAGCTCCAAGGACAATCAGAAAATTTCGTTATCTCAGCTCGGGAAGTCTCCAATGTAGTTGTAACCACAAGTAATTCAATTATAGACAGACAATTCTTAATAGATATTTTTGCTGCCAGCTGCCGCTTACTATATACTGTTATCAGGCACCATAAAAGGTATGATGTCATGTAGTATAAAAAATTTATTCGTGAAGGCAATTACTGGTATCTCTATCTTCAGAGTTGTAATATTTTTCTTTTGTTTGATCATTCTTTATTGGTGATTTATTCTTGCCTGATGATTGGATACAGTACTGGTTAGTTGATGTTTCACGGCATGTGTTATGCTTGAAATTATGCTGTAGTTCATTTAACTACATAAAGCACCATTTATTCCAGTTTGAACAATTGATTGGCAGAACCTAATACTTCAATGGTTTTTATTTATAATCTTGTCTTGTCAAGTTAGAAGCATGAAAAGAGTCGCTTTCTAATGTTTAGCTAGTTGTAATTCAGAACTTTGATATTACTCGTCTAATAACTCATGGTGATATCTGTATATTGCTTAGACCTCAAGGAAACAGTTGTACAACCAATAGAACATATCCTGTTCCAGTAAGGTCGTATATCTGTATATTGCTATAGCCGTTTATTGTTACCTTTTTTCCCTCTACTGTACGTGAGTTTTATGTTTCTTGAATCAAAGTGATATTTGTTGTGGGAGTCCGTTTTGATTGTTATACTGTGCCCTTCCCTTCAAACCTTTAATATTCCATATGATCTAACTAAGTTCTTCGTTATTTATAGTGAGTGCAAGCGTTGCATTGCACAACTACTAGCATCGGTGTCTGTTCTTCTTCATTCCCTTGAAAGAGTAGGTCCGGCTCCGGATACCATGGGTGGTTACTTTTCATGGAAAGTAGATGAGGGAGTAAAATGTGCTTGTTTCCTCCGAAGGATTTATGAAGAGGTTTGATGTTTCCATCAATATTTCTTAATAATTTTGTATTACTTTAAGTTTTCAGCCTGAATAGCATCATAGTTTATGCAATTCTTCTGTTTCATTGCCAAGATTAATTCTTTTATGTTTCATAGCGAGTTGGGAAATGAAGCCTTCATACGTTTAGCTACTTTTGAACAAATTCTTTCATGCGATTTTATGAGAGTGTAAGCTTGTCTGGCTGCTATAGTTTCACTTTTACCAATCATGTATTAACAGGATTAAGATGTTCTGAGCCATTGGACCCTCTGTAATAGAATGTTCTGAGCAACAATGGGTATTTAAGATGGATGATTTTTTTTTTTGCCTGAAGACAAATGGACTAGTTTTTTTTTTTGGCAAGAACTGTATTATATGGGAAATTTTCGTGGCAGGCCTATCATGAAGTCTATGTATTCCTTCCCAGAAAATGTTATTGGCGAACTTTAGACCCTTTAAACCTGTTGGAATTCTATTTAATAACAAATGAACATGTGGTCGGTTACATCGTAAAAAAATTTCCTATCAGTTTAGCTATAAAAAGACTCATGGTAATTAGATCAATAATAAAAATCTTCCCTTTAGACTTGTTAATATCACATACTAATCAAAGTTTTACTCTGATATTAAATGAAGTTGTATCATCTCTTTTCATTCGTCCAATTGACATACCCTTTTTCTGCTTCCATGACACAGATAAGACAGCAGCGGGATATCATAGGGCAGCACAGTTCCCTGTTTCTTTCAAATTACATATGGGTTTATTCAGGATTCGGTCCCCTTAAATCCGGGATTATAAGGTTTGAATCCTTAAACTGAATCCTTAAACTTTTATGAAACAAAATTTTCAGCAAATTATAGTTCGATGTTCTTACAAATATGATGTATAATGAATCATTTGTCACGACAATATGACATGAACAGCTGCTGATCTTACTAAAATGTAAAACTATTGAGAAAGTCAAGGAAGGCTATTTCCCTAGATACTCATCTATTTCTGATTTTGATAACCTTTTTCTTGAGCATATTACAAGATTGGCAAGTGAATGCTTATGATCCAAAATTTGACGATTCTGCTGCAGGGAAATCGATGAAGCATTAAGGCCTGGTGTCTATGCTCTTATAGATGCTTGTTCAGCAGAGGATCTTCAATATCTTCACACTGTATTTGGCGGTAAGTATCGTGGTTTTTCTATAGGACGATTCAAAAAGTTCACATTACTCATTTTGGCGTTGTTTCTGCAGAAGGTCCGTGTAGAAACACTCTGGCAACCTTGCAGCAGGATTACAAACAATTTTTCCAGTATGAAGGAAAAGTCTGATTATGATGAGATTGAACTCTTTTACTTTCTGATATCATATCTAGCAAGAAAAAAGTTCGAAGGGGGGGCTGTTTGATTGGAGAACATTGCCTACCACACAGTTCTCCGGTAAAGTAGATGCCTTAACCATCTGTGATTTTTTGTGTAAATAAATTAAAATGATCGCCCTATCTTTTTTATTAACTGTATTTTATTTCAATCTCTATTTTTTTCTCCATTTTTTTTAACCAGATGACAGTTATTTCAATCTCTATTTGTGTGTCATAGCTCTTATATTAGATCAGGCAGATTCCCATTTTATTAATGATAGAAGTTTTCGAGGGTCAAACTCGCAATTTATTTTATTATGTAATCTATGAAAAATCATAAGTTGTTTAATTGTTTTCAATTCAGAAAATTCGCGAGTTTATGAACAATAATTTTAATTTATACTACCAAAGTCCAAACCATCAATGTTGTGTCTGTATATCATTAAGTTTCTGGGGTTTTTTTTTCTTCTAAGTATCAACTTCAAGGATGTATAAAACTAGTCCAAATTGATAGTCCATATCAAAATTGGCCAAACCATTGGTTTTCAAAATTTTAAAATGGGGATTTTTTTTTTCTTCTTTTTTTGAGGTTCTAACCCGACCTAAATAGATTCACTAAAAAAAAGTAGAAATACTAAAAAAAATTTATTGTTGAAGTCAACTTTTAATAAATAATCTTCTTCAATGTACGCGTTGGAACTTGGAAGTATGCCCCAATCCCCTTTTTAGTTTCACTTCAATGAGGGGTTTTTTTGGTCATGTAATTCTTATTTGTTTTTCTCATCATTAGTAAATAACTAAATAAATAATCTTCTTAAAGAGCTTATAGAGTTTTTTAATTGTTTATTTACATTGAKTCATTCATAATTAGATTATGTAAAACAAAAAACAAAAAACAATAGAAAACAGAAACAGTATTTTGTTATTTTATGTAGTCAAATTTACTATTGTTATTATTTTTTGTTTTGTTAATTGCTGGCATCATCGATTGTTTTTTAACCATAATTTGATTGTTATACTTTTAAATTATATAAAATATATACCTCCACTATTTTTTAAATTTTTTTTATATAAACTGACTTAAAATTTCAATAATATGTGATAAATTGAAAAAATTGAAAATAAACAAAGAGAAATTCCAAGAAAGAGAAAAGTAAACACAGAAACACCATTCATGGAAACTTCATAATTGATCAACCCCTCCCCTCCGACGTCCCAATTCTCATTGTTTTTTGTTTTGGCAAAGGACACGTGTCCTGATTTTTTTTCCTTCCATAGGCCATGTGATAGTGAACATTGTCTCTTGTCATGACAAATCAAAACCCATGACAATAATAATATTTCAACACTATTTTCGTGTCAATACTTTTGGTTGTTATTATAATTTCAAGATATCTATTTTGGTCTCGATAATTTTTAGTTTTCGTCTATTTTAGTACTTGTACTTTTTTTATATCCGTATGTTCAGATTAGATGCGCGGACCTYGACTAATCATGGACCAATTATCTAACCCTACTACATTTGGTTGACAAGAAAATTCATAAGATATTAAATTTTAGGTAGGTGAACAGTTTGAACACAACTCTTTACTATTCACATAAACCCTTATTGGCCACTAGAACATTCCATGATAGTTTTTAGTACTTAAAAGGGTATGTTGTAGTTCCTATACTTTTAAACAATTTTATTTTTTTATATCATTTTCCACCACAATTTTAACATAATACTMTATTCAATAAATCTCATGAAACATAAAAATATAAATATAAAAATTAAAATCAACTAGAATTAAAATACATCAACTAAAATAAACATAATTTAGACCTAATAATAATAATCAAATAAATTGTTAAAGGGAGCGTCCACTAGTTAAGATATTATCTCTAACTCCGACCATAGTGAACTTAAATATTTATTCAATGTGCTTGTACTAAAAAAACGAAACAAATACGTAAATGAAGAGAAAAAAAAAAGTAGCAAACAAATTAGGAAATGGGAAAATGGAAATAGCCGACGCAACTTCATTTGATAGGGGCTACTGCTAACGCGTTCCACCACGGCATCATCAGAGTCTTCCCCTTCCGCTATAAATTCCACTCCCTCTCTCTCTTCTCTTCCATTTTCCTGTTAATCAATCGCCATTGTTGACGACGAGAGAGATCGCAGAAGCTCCTCCAATGACTTATTGCTATGGATGTACTCCCCGCCCTTCCGCTCCTCTGCCGTATCCTATCCTCGTTCTTCTCGCCGTAGTCTCCATCTTGATCGGATTGTCCTCCCTTTTCCCCTCCGAGGGCATCGACTTCTCCGAATTCCAAATCAATTGGCCTCTTCTCGCCGTGCCGGTAACTATTCTTGTTCTCGTTCGCTGCTTGTCGTCCATGGATTCTTCCTCTTCCAGGTACTATGGCTGCGCTTGTAATCGGGGGGGCTGGAAGACGACGCACTGTCGGTGCGGCCATGGCTCCTGGTAGCTAGCTTTAATTTAATTGATATGATTGTCGTGTAAATTGTAGTTCGGTGTTTAATTTATATGTGATGCCTGTTTTGGTTGTGGAAGAAGAAGAGATTACGCTGATGATCGTGATAAAGGATCGGATATATGATCGAGTATTGCTGAAATAATGGTAAGGATTGAAGATGTATGATGATCCGAGTTTATTCTTCGTTGAAATGTGAAGCAGAGATAGTTTAATCGAGTTATTTTCGATCAGTTTTCATCTTGGTTTGTGTGGTTTAGAGATGAAATTCATCAACTCTTGACCTTGAACTTTCTGGATTTTAATCCGGTTCTGAAAAATGATAGTAAATGAAGGATCTTAGTTATAATTATAAATTGAAGTCCGGTGTTTTGAGAATTTTAATTAGGTATTTTGATTATTTGTGTCAAATCACTTGAATTTGGTTAACAATACTGTCACATCAAATCAATTCAACTAAAATTTCTTAACTTTTAAAGATTAGATTGACATGATGTTAACAATAAGCTAATTATATTAATAATTTAATTTAAGAAGGAAAACAGAAGGCAATAAATTTACTTTAGTCAATACCAATCGCATAAGTTTTTAATGGCAAACTAAAGAATTGAATATGAGAGCTGAATTGATAAAATAACATTGTTGTAGCTTTCTACGGGAAATAAAACTATTAAAAGATTTGTATTATTAGAATCTTAATGAAATCCTCCTTTGATATTTTACTTCATACAATTCTCTTTTGAAAAGAGGATTATGTTCATGACCCAAGAATCCAAATGACTTTTTAAAATATGATATCTCTATTGAAGAAAAATCCAGCCTGCATAAAAGTATAATTATGACTTAAAGAAACAAGGGCTAAACTAAACTTGAAAATGAAGCCAATTGGTAATGAGTNAGTTGGTATGAGAAAAAAGAAAAATAAAAAAAGGTGGGTGGTGGATGGAATCAATTGACATTAAAATAATGGATATGTTGGTAACGTTTGAGTGGCTCATAGAAAGTTTTCTTCCATATTGGAAACGCAAATATCAGACGAATTGATAATAATAATCTTCATCTTCGAGGTTGAATTGAAAAAGACTTTGGTTCATATAAATGTTTCATCTAAAACTATAGTATCGACGATCTTGATAAAAACAAATACATACAGCAAGATGTAAAGTGATGTAGATAAATACATAGTTGAGTAAGCCTTTATATCAAATTATAGGTTGAAACCTTCGTCTCTTTATTTGCAAGCTAATGTTAAGAAAGTTAACTTTTTACATTTTAAGATTTAAGATATTATTTTAGTTGATAATGATAAATAGGAAAAGATGGGGATAATTCTGTTAAATTTTTATGGATCTATGTGAAGTTTAATCACAAATAATTTCACGCGTTAAATTAGAGGAACTAACAAATGTTATTTGACCTTTCAAAGGTGTTATTTTTCAAGTAAAACTCCACGTTTGCTTTTTTAAGGAAAAAAAATGGAAACGAATGTTATAAAAACTAACCAAACTTTATAAGAAATTTCCTGGATGTACTCCTGTTTGAAGGCTGCAATTAAATGTCACAAGATTTGTAGGATTCACCAGAATTCCTGAGAGATTATTCAAACAACCTTCAACCGAACGAGGGTAGGAAATAAAGCAAAACCAGAACGAGAGGGACCAAAATAGCGATGGTCCATGGCGAGGCACCCCGATTAGTCGACTCGGTTGCGAGTCGCCGGAATCGGAAGTTGATCAGTCCACCAGTGGAATATAAAGACATGAAGAAAATCACCAAGATTGGCAGCAAGAAGAGAAGCAGCTGGAAATTGGCAGCTGAGCGATACATTTGAGTTTCAGCACCTGTGAACTGAGAGAAGCAAAGCAAGACAATAACAATGCCAAAGATTGTGAGCAATTGAGGTGATGGAGAAGAAACAGAGCCTAGGGTTTGGCCTGCCCATCCCTGCTTCCACTCTGGACCCCTCCTCTTTGGATACAACCAATCCATCTCTCTCTCTCTCTCTCTCTCTCTCTCTCTCTCTCTCTCCCACGCCTCTTCCTTTCTCTCACTTCAAAATTCTACACTGCCATGAAATACAGAGGAAAGCGGGTTGGTTTTGGGATATATTCTTTGAGTGTTGCCTCAGCAAAGGTAACCATGGTCATGGACATGCCCCATTGGACACTCAAGTTCTTGATGCCAAATTTACATTCTAATTAAGTAACAAGGAACCTTTCTTCGAGGCGAGTTTCTAAAGAAGTTTAGAGTAAAAGAAAATAGATTTAAGAAACAGCAGCATCTCTCAAATGAACTGTGTTTCATTCTCATTGCCAAACTTCCTTTTAACTATCTCCCAGGTTTCCCACATATCAAAAAACTATTGACCGACTGTATAAATCTAAAATGTGAATGAAAAACAAAAAATAGGAACGTCACCAAACAAGATATCAGTTTGCAGCTTCTATCCCTAAATCTTGCCTTTGCTCTCCTCTCCCAGAGCTCGGGTCCAAGCTAACACATCTTGCTCTTGCTCTCTAGTCTCTTCTAATTTGTTCCCCGAGCAAAGAATCGTTACCTAGACGTATGTGATTGACTAGTCATTCTATCTATCCAAACCACCACTTAGGCTCTACACTGTTATGGAAGTCTAAAAGCCAAAACGAACATAGTTCAGTAGTAATTAACATATACCTCCAAGAGATTGCGAGTTCGATTCCCACCCCATATGTTGTACTCCAAAAAAAATTTTATGGAAGTCTAAAAATTGAGAAAGACGGGTAGAACTCTTATTAGTAAAAATTGAGAAATATGGGTAGAACTCTTATTAGGTGGACATATTCCGATCCAACAATTTCTGTACTCTAGTGTTGTATAGCAAAGTAGCCTCAGAAATACAACATAAGGATATAATTTTCTTCCTTTTTAATTGAACAAAGAACCTGAAACACGCTGAAAACTTGATTAGCATGAAAAAGAGCCAAAGGATATTGTAAACACAAAACATTGCCACCCTCTCCTCTTGCGCTTTGACATCAGAAACTCCTAAAATTTTCAAGCAACAACTTTCTTGGCGGCTACAGAATTAACAATCGTTCCAAATTCAGGACCCTGCGATTTCAACATGGAAAAAAGGTTGAGATGCTGAACTTAGTGTTTGATTCACTAAATTTTCTTCTACAAAACATTAGAAATGCGAAAGGGATAAGGACTAAGGAGAAATGCACCTTCAACGAAGCACCTCCAACTAGAAATCCATCTATATCCTCTTTTTTTGCAAGCTCAGCACAATTACTTCCATTCACAGATCCTAACAATAACATCATTTCTTAGACATGTGAGGCGCTCCAGATTGTTACTCATAAATCACAATGGCAATGTTAAGAAACATGGACTTCACAATAACTTGTTAACACAAGTAAATTTATTTCTACAATGGCCATAAGTTGACTAGTAAATTACAGAATACAAATGAAAGTTGCAGTTACCTCCATAAATAATTCGTGTTTTAGATGCAACTTCTGGTGAGATATTCTTCTTAAGCCAATCACGAACTGCTGCATGCACTTCCTGTGCTTGCTCGGGTGTAGCCACTTTGCCAGTCCCAATTGCCCATACAGGCTCATATGCAATAACAACACCATCCCAACTTGGAATAGCATCTGCAGTCAACAGGAACAACTGAAGTTACAGAAAACTCTATCACTTTTCTGATCTCGGATCAGTGACTTCATAACCATCATGAAAGTGAAATAAGGAATGAGCCAGCAATTTGCCTGCAAAAGCTTTCAATTGTTGAAAGCACACATCAAAAGTTTTCCCAGCTTCCCTTTCCTCTAGTAATTCCCCAATGCAGGCTATTACTCCAAGACCCTCACTCAAGGCGTAGGCAGCCTTCTTTCCTATAAACTATAGTTGCCAGAGCATCAGTCAGCATTGGAGAGAATCAGCTTGAACATCGATTGGAAACCACTTAAAGCTCAATTTCAAAACATTCACCTGGTCATCTTCACCAATGATATGTCTCCGCTCAGAGTGCCCAAGGATAACCCACTTGCAGCCTATATCTTTCAATTGTTCAACGCTGCAGTGCACACAATATTTTTTTAACAATGCTAAGATCTGACATATAATTGTATGCGGAAAAACACAAAACACACATTTATACGAAAAACCCCAAGTATGAGTTCCAAAGAAAAAGACAAACACAAGCTTAGTGGGCGTCAGATGAAAACAACAATTAGATCAATCATAACCTTACTTCCCAAAAAACTTCCCTGGAAGAGGCGAAACCCTCAAAAAAGTAATCATTAACTATTGAAATTAAATAAAATTATAAGTTTAAGCTATCTAATTTATAAACATCTAAATCTCTTAGGGAGTCGTGTATTTCTAAAACTCCTCAATTTTGAAAACGAAAATTTATAAACTCTACAACTAAAAGCAGTTCAAGATTTTAAGTATCATCAAATCAAACACTAGTATTCTAGTGTTCAATATTGTCATAATCTCATTTGCAGATCACGAAGCAAGCACACTTAAGTTGTTATCATCGTCAAATGCAGTACAATCAAGAGTTTACATGCACTGAACATAATTTTTCAGAAAACTTTATGTTAGAAAAATAATCAACAGCAATAGAAGTTGAATTAAGATAGCAAATTTTTAACGGTCCTCGAGAATTAAAATGTGCTCATTGAGAGGAACCCAAATAACCTGATTTCTCCTGTAAAAGCGCCACCCTTGCTCACCCATGAGTTTTGGGCAGAAATCTCAATCCTAGATGCCAAAGAGCTCTTCACCTGATCAATGTAGACAAATGGAGGTGCTACAACAACATCTGCATTTTCCCACACATATCCGAAGTTATTTATTTTTTTCAAAATAATCTACATAAAAGAGTAGAAAAATGAATATGAAGAGATATTTTTTTATCGAAAACCCAGCTTTCAATATGAAGAGAAAGATGATCAGAATTTAAAACAAAAATGTCATTCATCCTCATCATCAACTCAGATGTAGTAATAATTTAATGTTACCACTTACCAACCTACTAGAACATTTATAAAGGTCTTAGAATAAGTATTATTAAAAAAGGAGGAAGAGGAAACCAATTCAAGTATTAAAGTCAGAAACAAGCTTAAGTTTTCATTCTAATTGAATGAGCTGGTATCAAATGCAACCTTTGTTTTTTAGTAAGCAATAAGCATAGTATACATTACAGGAGGGGGAAGATACGCACCCTAAAACTTGACCTTTGTTTTTTAACTTAAGAACACATACATTGAGTACCAAACAAAATAAGAAGTTTATGACAGGCGTCCTCCAATAACAAACGTAACTTACCAACGTCATCCTCCAACTTTGCATTGTTCAAGTCTGAGACAAGCTTGGCTATAGATTCCTTTGTACCATTCTGAATATTAAAACAAATGGGGAAAGAATCAATACATGTCAATATCAACTTACAAATATATATATACAGCATGGGGAGGGGGGGACATATTAGTAGTTCAATAATCTTGGATCATGGTCAAGCCACAGTGACAGGTAGACATAGATGTCTTTATTTGGGTATTGTAATGGATCCAGTGTACTTTAGACACTTAATAATGCTGAACAAAAAAGGGTTCCTACTGACTAAGTATTTGAAAATAGGAAAGTTGCTTGAATCAAAATAATTCAAAAGTTGTATCTCGTATAGAACTGGGCCAACTGGCAGGAGGGATAGCTTGAACCTAACCAGTTACCAGTTTCAAACTAAAAACCTCATCCCATGAAAATGAAGATAGAGAGACAAAGAAGAACATGATCTATTTTTCTAAGGCTTCTTCTAATTCAAATATTGTACATACGTCCATTTAGTAGTTAACAAGATTTCGTACAAGTTCAAATAAATCAGTTAATACAGGACAGTAGTAAGTGAATATGATATTAGAAAAATGAATGAAAAGATGAAAATTAAAAGTCAACTACGTCCTCATCTATGTTCGACACAAGTTTTCACAGAAAAGCAAACTTCTAGAAATATGGTGATAAGACTTGCGTTCCATGCTAGTGAGATTTTGGCCAGAACAGAAGCGTGGAATGATCTGAAGAGAAATCATAGCACGCATTTACACCGTCCATACACACTTTTTTTGCTTGGCATATAAAATCATCCATCACAAAACTTTAGGTATATGATTATTGATAATGAATATACTTACACATTTCCAGTTTCCACCAACGAAGAACTGCGAATACAGCAAAAGATGAGAATAATTAGAAGTTAGAAAAAAAAAATGCAAATTAGATAGTACAGAATACCGTAAAAACTATGGCCTTATAAATTTAAGTATTAGAGAAAATAAAAAAAATGGAAAAAAAAACATTAAAGATGTGCCAATCAGTATATTCCATGGTTATTCAAAAACGCTAGACGGTTCGAGAGATATGAAACCAAAAAGTTAACAGTAATAATTAAATCTTAAACGTGCCCTAATCACAAGTACGATCAATACATAAACTCGTCAAAGTAATATGTATAGCTTCAATAGATTAGTACTCAAAATTATCGCCTCTTTCGGATTGTCCGCCGCCTACAATTAAATTAAAAAATAAGCAACGATTCCTAATTGCCTCTCCCACTCGTTCTAAGAGATAATAACGAAGTCCAGAATGACGATCGACAGACTAATCTATAGTTCTTGAGGTCGCCGAAACGGCTCGAGCGCAGATCAATAACATATTAATGAGAAAGGTTAAATACCTTGCCGGAGCCAGCCATGGTGAAAACGCCACGGGAACCTTTCCGAGAGGAGGCAAGGCGGATTTGTGAGTGAACGTTCTGAAACAGAGTCTGAGAAATGTCGGACTTGGAGCTGGACAATCGGACTGCTGATAGTTGAGATGCAAGAGAAGTGGACACCACCGCCATGACCGAGCTTAGCTATGGATTATCCTTGAGCCTCCGCTTGCTTCGGCTCTTCTCCGCCGCTATGAGTGACTGAAATGTCTTCTTTTCTTTTCCCTCTGTGGTGTCAGTTGTGGTTCACGATCAGATTAGGTGAGCGTGAGTCAATAAAGTGGACGTCGAAAGCGCGTGTTGTCACTCTCCAGGTACCACCAAACAAACTTTGGTAAGTTAATAATTTCTTTTTATTTAAATCATTTTAAATAGTTTATTTTAAGTTAAATTACAAATTTGGTTTCATAGATTAAGCTTAATTTCAATGGGATTCCTTGAGGTATGATGCACCTAACTTAATTTGGTAAGATATTAACCTTGATGCTTTTTTTTTTTGAACTACGTTGATTGATATTTTAAAAAAATTATAAAAATAAATATTTCATTATTTTTAAATAAATTATAAATTATTAATATTAGTATTATATTCATATTAGTTATATTTCTCTAAATTTTGTCAAACTTATATTTAATACTATTGAAATATCGATTTACCATTTATATCGATTTTAAATGGAAGTCTTCTCTTTCTAATATAATAACATGTGGCAGTGGAATTCGAACTCAACTTTTATCGAGAATAGAGTCTTATCCAATTAAGCTGAATTCAGATGCTTAAAATTTTTAATACGGTAATTTTTTTTTTTACAATAAATTAGGGGTATGGCTATAAAAGTTGGAACCTCCAACCTCTAATACGTATAAAATGGAAAATTTTTTACTCCTTAAAATTAAGGAAAAAACCATTAAATATTCGACAACTTTATTTTTATTTCATTTATCAGCTCGTATCAATTATCAGTAAACCATGTTTATATTTAATTAATGCATGACAGGACATGCCGCTGACAATTAAATGAACACTCGGTAAAAGAGGATGGGGGAGCCAACACAATCACGCGCTCAGCGAGTGATGGAACAATGGCCATTAAAATCATCGTTTTACCATTTGCTGTCCTTCCACGGCAAGAGACTTTGAATAGTGTGCATGTATTGTAACAAATTTATCTATTTATTTATTTTTGGGAAGCTACATTGAGTTTGTTTTTATGCAGAAGTGGGTTGAGTGTCGCTCCAAATTTTTGAAAAAATCGAAAGAATATATTTGACCAGAATTTCAGTGCCCATTTAGACAAGAACCACCTCTCATACATTTTCATTTCATCCAAACGTTGTTCAACATAGCCCAAAACTATGTATATCAAAATTTCATTGATTTAACCTTCACAAAACTATCAAATGTACCAATGGAAACTTATGACATCAAAGATAGGCAAATATCAGTAAAACTCAACGCCCTCCAAAGTTCAAACCTTTAAAACAAAATGCTGCTAGATTATGACCAAGAAGATTTCAAGTCACAAACTAGGGAGCTCCCACTCTGTTGTTTGTACTCTTCTATTTCACCAATGTCCTGTGAACCAGTTAAAACATATCTAGATTTTCACATGCAGCAGAGAAAGCAATATCTGCTTTTGGGCACTCTGGATTTGGATGCCCCTCCACCTCTCATTCAAGACCTTCAAATTTCTGGATAACAGCAGCATTAATGGCCTCTTCCCCACTGTCTCTTTCAGCACTAAAGTCATTCGATTCTTTCCTCGGAATCATTTTCATCCTCTTGGTCTAACTGCTAATGCCCGTTGCAATTGCTCCCTCTTGGTCGAGCTTGAGGCCGTCCAGTCTTGTCTCCTTGATTTGACATAATTCGTTGAAATATCATGTATGTATTCTTTGCATCTAGTGCTCTCACAGTCATTCCTACATGATTTATGAAACCAAATATCTCTGTCACATCGTCTGTCAAGGCATGTAGCATAAGGAAACCAGAAGTATTCAAGAGAAACGAATGGACCCACCATCTTTATAACAGTTAAGCGAATGTAGCAGCGTTGGATTTTTGCAAATAAACAAGTAACTATAGAGACATAACCTAATTGCACAACCATGTACAGGTAGTACATAAGGAGATGATCCAATAAGTGGCTGCTGCAACTTTGGAGACTTCACCAACGAGGTAGAGGTAAGTATGTAATACGTCATAATCTCAGATACTACTAACTTAGTAATGGTCCTTTACATTGCATTGAAGATGATCCACCCCAGTTGCAGATAAGCACTAGTAAGTTTGAGTAAGGTAAGGATCACCAAAATGAAATCAAGGGACTAATTTGGGCGAACCTGCCCCTGTTACGTGCTTCCACATTTATCGATAGATTTATTTACCATTAGCCGTGCTACTAGACGAATTGACCTCTAGACTACAAGATGAAGAACATCTACTTGAAAAACTCTCTTCAGATTTATTATTTTCCTTCCTGCGCATTTTCTTACTGTTTGTTTGTTCAAATGATGTATCCTGCAAATGTACAATACTTAATTAAATGATGACATGGATATGAGTATGCTAACAACAGGCCAGCTTCAGGAGGTTATTACTATTGCTTTGCATTAAACTTGACAAACTAACCTGTTCTGTGGAGGATCCAGGAGTCTTCAACTCCAGGTCCGTTGCAACTTCACTAGAATCTACACTTTTCTCAATCTTGCTTTCACTTGAGGATTTACTACCGGAATCTTGCTTGCTCAAGTTACGAGACTGGTTACCTGGATGAACAAAAGGCGGTGTATTTCGGGAGGACTGCTGCTCAATTACAGAGTTAGGAGTTATGTACGGGACAAAGGTGGAACAAGGATTTGCAATTACCCCCGGATTATGATTTCCGATGAATGGATAAGGCTGCAAGGATGGATGCACAGGAAATGGCCCAGGAGGCATTTGCATTGGCACTGGAAATGGAAAGGGGGGAGGGGCTATGACGACCGAGTGATCCATGGCAGGCCAAGGGTATGTAGCCCTGAGTCTCTGCTGATATTGAGCATTAAGATTCTCAATATCAGATTTGAGCGATGCCTTCTCTTCTCTAAGATCATTCTTTTCCTGAGCTAGCTGCAGTTGAATAAGATTGCATGATGAACTAATACTAGCCATTAGGTATAATATAATCCTCAAATCTTTTTATATAATAGCACATAAAAGAAAGAAAAATCACCTCACGTGATTCTTCGGTTAATGTAGCATTCTCAGTTTTCAATTTGTTAACTTCAGATGTCAGATCCTTTAGCAATTGAATTGTATCCACTAAAATGGTTGCTTTGTCATTTTTGGGCCTACCAGGATCTATGGAGTTATAGATAATATCAAAGTAAGTAATCCTGTGTCCCTAATCCAGAGGGAAATGACTGGACCGATAGCAGCACCAAGAATAATGAATAAAAATACAGAAACACTGTTCATATTCTCGCAACACATAACAATGCTCTCAGCGATTTGTGATAGAGCTAATAGTTATGTCAATTGGTATTGCTTTAGAAAGAAAACTACAAGCTGTGAGAAAAATTAGAAAGGTTTTATGCTCTCCCTTATCTACTCAGCTCACTACCTTCCCTTCCCATGCCTCACACTGAGATATTCTAAAGTTAAACTGGTGGTTGAACAAAAGATGACCCAGTCAGTGAACAAAATACTTCCAACTGTCCCTCCTTTACACAGGTTTTCTCTCCATATACGCATGGCCTCCCCACCAATAAGTTAAATTGGTAAAATGCACGTTCCCTCCTAGCAAAGGTAAAATGCATCAGAGTTTGTTATTCCAAAAAATCTCGTTGTCAAGACATCCTAATTCCTAATAAAGAAATCCAAGGTTGAAAATCAGGGAAATGAGAATGAAACGGCAATGAAGAAAGTCTATCTGCATTAATATAGAGAATATAGCTCCATAGTAGTCAGTAAGAATTTCCAGTGAGTTTTCCCAGTAGAATATTACAGAATCTTCGCACTTAATAATATATTATAAGGGAACAAAGCACATTAAGAGTATGCAACATAATACAATAATATCCACTCTGAAAGCTATAGGTCTCCAAATGATATGTCCATGCTAAACTCAAAAAAGAAGAAGAAGAGGGAAAAGGTGGTGTCAACTTCCATGACGAAAATCAAAGCAAAATGCATAATTGTATAAATACTGGAAGTAGAAATAGAGAAACAGCAATGTGTGATCGCATTAAATTCTTTTCATTTCACCTAAAATATTTCCCAGCTCGAAAAACTGTTCATTTAGTCGGTCCCTTCTTAGTTTCTCTCTGTCAGCCTTCTGAACTTTTCTAGCAGCTGCAGAATCCTTGAACTCCCCCCCAGACCTTTGGCAGCAGATAACAAACATTAATATGATACCCAAAGCCAATTTATATACTCAAGACAATGGAAATACAATTTGAAAACTCGGATAATGAAAATGGAATCATGAAAACAGTCATTCTCTCATAGCATATTTCATCTAAACCATTGAAAATCAGTAGCTAAAATAAACGATTTAATGATAAAAAGGGAAATGGGTCTTGTTCAAACATTATTAAAACTTGTTATACAGCACATATTCTGCAGAAACTGACCCTCTTTCCATATCTTCTGATAAATTCCATAGAGCTAATACGTCAGTACAAGGAATTATGGTCAAGAAATGAGAAGAATGATTCAATTCAAGGATGTTTGAGCTTCAGTGGTACCAATTAGTACCAAATTCAGCCAATAGGTTTCAATATTAATGGTAGCAGATTGAGAAAGTTTTCCCCTAAAGTCAAACCCTCAAGAAAAAACTGTCCAGAAAAAAAAAAAGCCAGCGGCCTGCTTTCAAACTAAGAATGAATTCTTTCCTAAACAAATAATCAAAAACCAGAAAATCATGTCTCCTCTTAACTAGCGGCAAATGTACGGGAAAAGGGGGCCAAAGGACTACACAAAATTAGAGACAAAAAATCAAACAGGCACCCAAACTCTTTCGGGACAATGGAAACACCAGGAGAACAAAAACAAGTTGGATTGGAATGGTGGATTCTTGAACAGACCTGGAACTGGGTTGAGAACGATCTGATTCTGGGCGTCCTGAAAGCTCAGTGCGTGGTACAACAATGGAGGATGCGGCTGGATTTTGAATGAAAGCGTCGCATCGTATCAGTTGATCCATTACTGCTGCCGGAGACAGCCAGTGGATTCTCGTAAAAGCGGCAATTCAGCGTCGAGGCTAACGGTTTGACGACGTCTTCGTAGTTCTTTGAGAATTCAGACGCATTTTCGGTGCAGAAATTTGTTGATAAGGTGTTGCGCAGTGGGGTGATATTGACGCTTGTTGAAATTTCAGCTGATCACAGATGTAATGTGTAGTAATTTTATATTTTTATATAAATTGTAGGATGTAGCCTTTTTCCCTTTTAGTTGCAGTTTTTTTTTTTTTTTTTTATGAAATGCATAAATATATTTTCAAACCTATCAACACCTTTGTAGTTTTACAGACATAGCACCCAACTTGAATTTATTACACACTAATAAAGAGTTATAATGTTACTCAAAATATGTACTTTTGAGTACATGTGGGGATGAGAAATTGTGTGCACAAGTCCTAGTTAATCTTGCCACACATCATTGTTGTCTTCATGTGTTATTAATAAGATGAAAAGAAGTAGAATTAATTAGTGGAATTATTGAAAGGAACTCGACTTACGTAAGGTTACAAGACTTAACCCATTGACTAACATATACAACCAATTTGAAACATATAAACTTCCTCGAACGTCCTCCTTCAAACTAATGGGGGTGTCAACATTCGTTTTGGAAGAAATAAATTGGGAACAATCTAGCATCTGTAAGGAGATCATCAATTAAGCAACGTTAGATATGAATTTGAGACAAAGATCATTGCAGACAACTCTCTCCTGTGGAAGTCAATCTCAATGTGATTTTGTCCAAACATGTGAAAAAAAACTAGAAGCAATAATAATAGAGGATTTATTATTTCAATACAAGGTTGGAGCAAAAGATAAAAATATATGTAAATTTTTACAAAGCCGACGAATCCAAACTAACTCAGCAATAGTGGAAGCAAGAGCACGATATTGTCGGTAGAAAATCGAAATGCAATAGGTTTCTTAACATAAATTTGAGACCAATTTTTTCATAAACTATACTACATAAAAAAATACATCAACTACTATTGTTGGAACTAGTCAAAATAAGAGACAAAACTAGACGTACAATATGTTTATTGACAAGCGGACTACAAATGTCTTCATAGTCAATAAACCTAAGAGTTTAAGATGACAAATTAAAATAAGATTACTCGTTTAATATCTAGCACTCTCCATCACGCGTGAGCTTGAAAACTCGCATGGGAGTGAAAATCAATATTAAATGGAGAGGAAATGACAATGCATATGTTCGAACATAATATCTCATACTCTGATACCATTGGCGCATATTTTGATGCTCATAAAAGCTTAATTAATCTACATACACATCACGTGGATCTTGAAGTATTACTTGTTTATATAATAGAAAGTACAACTAATTAAGGTAATTACATAAAATACCGTTAACTTACACACGATCATAAGAAGTAACAAATTAACAAAAAGAAAAAAAAATACAACTAATATGGAATAATAAACTTCCTCGAACAGATTGAACCTATGATCTATGTCCATGTTGGTGCTCAAATATATGTATTATATTTATTGACATAAAATAACAGTCGTGATATTTTTTTGCCTATGATTTATTTAATATGTTAATATATGATATTACAATTTTTATTGAATTATCTCTTTCAATACTTACGCCAATAAGTTGTCAAATGTTGTATACTGTATACGTCAACATAGATAAGTATCTTATGATAGGAAGTAAATATATTCACTTATTGTAAGCATCTAGTCGTGGAAGTTTTTAGTTGAAATACACTTATTTTTCATGTATTGATCATTTATGGGCAATAACATGTCGTGTGAGATTAAATAAATTTAAAGTTTATAATTTTAGAATAACCAAATTTAAAGTTTTAAATAGAATTTCAATGCATTTTTCAAACCTGTCAAGAAGAGGAAAAAAAGTTTAAAAAAAGAAGCACAGCTACTGTCATGCTCGCAAGTCCCGACGTTTTATTTGAGAGTTCTAAACTTTTGCAATTGAACCAACATAAGTATTAACATTGTATATACCTCATTTTATGATTCATAGATATTAATTGTTTTGTTGCCAACATGATATTAATTCATCGATAATTGATCATGTTTTGATTAAGAGATCATGAATTTAAATTTCCCACCCACTTATACTAAAATAAAGTTGTTTTGTTCGAATATAAAATGTTTAAATAAAATATTACAATGGTTAATATTATTTTTTCTTTTTGAGTAAAATATGTGAGAGTGAAGATTGAATGATGTGTTGTACTAAAAGAAATATATATGTGTGAATTACCATTGAACTATGTTCGTTTATTATTTTGGTGTTAACCTTGCTTTTTTATATTATTCAAACGACAAAAGATATTTTGTCAAATTTGTGTTCTCTTAGTCAGATATAGGTGTTTTATATGCTCGATTTGACACTTAATATATATATATATTTATATATAGATATAGATATATTCATTTTTTATTTTTCCTGCAAATTAGCGACGTCATAAATTTATAAACAGGTTCGAAATTCAATAATATTCAGGATTAACACTTGCACCATCTCCGATCCATTCCGAAAGGCGGCAACTAGGGGTTGTGACCAGAGCCCGCTGGCGGCGACCGTGGAAAGAGCGGAGAAGGATGTCGGGCATGGGAGACGGGTACGTGGGCACTGCCCAAGACGCCGTCAGGATTCGAAGACTCGAGAAGCAAAGAGAAGCCGAGCGCCGGAAAATCCAGGAGCTCAAAGCCAAGACTGCCTCCGCTAAAGGCCAGCCCGGTCTCCTTCAATTTGGGTCCAGTACCTCCGAGGTTCTCATTCAATACCCATATCTATGTCTACTTTTGATATTAGGGCTGCTTTCGAAACTTTTCAGATTTTCCATCTCTGTTTATTTAGTCGGTGTGCCTCCAGTTAGGTTTTTTAAAGGGTTTAAGGGCAGAAAATGATGAACCGAAGTAAAATATGTTCTGTCAATTGTATTGTTGTGGTCATTTTTGAATCCAATGTACATCTTGTTCGAATTGCAACATCTCATGTGCAACTGTTTATCTTGAAGGGAATATTGAAAAACGAAAATTTCCACCGATTATTTGAACCTTATATTCAAGTTTTGTATAATTCATGTTATTGGTGCTTCAGATTCTCGAGACAGCGTTCAAGAAGGAAACTGTTGGTTTGGTGACGAGAGAAGAGTATGTTGAGAAGGTAAGGAAGGAAAACACGAAATACAAACTTGTGCTTATAGAAGCTTTTGGGGCTTAATAAAATTATAATCTGTTTGTTATTGTTGATATAACTGTAGAGGGTGAATATTCGTAACAAAATTGAAGAAGAGGAGAAGGAGAAACTTCAAAAGCTACAACAAGAGTGAGCTCTGTCCCATGGTCTTCTTCTACTAGAAAAGGAAAAACTTGTGCCGCCTTCGCTTCAGTATTTTTATTTCCTTGTCTTCAGGGAAGAAGAACTCCAATTGCAAAAACGTAGGAAAAGGAAAATAAGGGGGAATTCACGCCTGTCTTTTTCTGATGATTTTGAGAATGGAAGCGATGAGGATGATGAAAACAGTAAGCATTTTCGTGCTCATCTGATATAGTTTGGCATTACATGCCTTTTATATACATTCAGCTGTGTGATTAATATAGTATAGTTCATTTTTAGTATGATCAGAATTCTGTGGTATAAATCTTATACCATTTTTAGCCTCATATTATTATGTATGTGCTACGATCAAGTTGTACAATTGTTTCCTTGAGTTCTCAAAATAATACTAGCTTGTGCTTATTCTTTGTAGTAAATTTGGAGCCAAGGAAGATTGGGCGTGGTAAACTTGGCAAAGATCCTACAGTGGAGACTAGCTTTTTGCCTGATAGGTGTGACATCTTTCTTTCTTTCGTCCTCCCTACATCTTTTACATCTTTTTGGGACTAACGTTTTAGCTTAGGGGGGTTGAGGATTTTATTACAGTGAGCGGGAAGCAGAGGAGCAAGCTGAACGTGAAAGGCTGAAGAAACAGTGGCTTCGTGAGCAGGAGCAAATTCGAAGTAATTTTATATTTGGCCCTTTATAGATTTCACGGTGGTATTATAGATGACATAGTACTGAAAGAAATGATTAAATATTTACCTTGCAGATGAGGCCCTCGAAATCACTTATAGTTATTGGGATGGAGCAGGCCATAGGCGAGTGATTCAGGTTAGCAATGATAATTTAATTTTGGCTGTTTTCTTCTTGCTTCATGAGCTCTACTTTTCAACCTTTATTTTGTTATTTCTTTAAAATAATTAAACCTTACATCATTTAGGCACGAAAAGGTGATACAATTGGAGAGTTTCTAAGGGCTGTACAGCAGCAACTTGCCCCTGAGTTTCGGGAGATAAGGACTACCTCTGTGGAGAATTTGCTATACGTGAAAGAGGATCTTATAATACCCCATGTAATATAACTCTGAGCTTATTTTTCTATTATATTATTTTGGTTTTTTTTTTTTTAATTTATGGTGAGTGTGCTTAGTTTTTATTGTGCTGTGCAGCAACATAGCTTCTATGAACTTATTGTGAACAAAGCTAGAGGCAAAAGTGGTCCGGTAAGGCTGCTTTATGTAATTTTAGAACTTCTCAGTCTTGTCGACTTGATGCAGTAAGAGTTTACATTTTAGATGTTCAAGTGTCATCAAGATGTAATAATTTTAGAGTTTGTTATTTGCATGTCTTTGATTTTGATTTTGATTTAAAAAAAAAAGAGATTTCAGGTTTATTGATGCAACCTAGTAAAGAGCAGTTTTGTTAAATTTTTATTTAGCTATCACAATTTTGTTTCTATTATCATCATTTTAATGAAGGTCGGAGGACAATTGTGGGTTGTTGATAGTTAGAAGCTTAGAGCTTTTAGTTATGCTTTATCTGATGTCTCCAAAAAACTGACTTCTCACCTTAGAAATGTATGTGACACGAGTAACATTGAATTCTTTTCCTTTTTAAGCCTGTTACATCTTATAAATGCCCTGCACCGTGTAAACTCATATCTTCGTAGTAAATTTGAGGACACTTATTGTAGCATTATGTTTTGATGATGCTCAGCTTTTCCACTTTGACGTGCACGAGGATGTCCGGACAATTGCTGATGCAACAATAGAGAAGGATGAGGTGATTTTCAAGTTTATTTTTGATGCATTCTTATTATGACTTTGATCTAATGAAAAATTGGAAGACCTTGTCGTAATCCAATTGGTTAGGGCTTTTTCCCCTTTTGAAAATTTCATATAGAAATATCCGTTTCTTACCAAAAAAAAATATTATGATTGCTCGACAATGCAAGTTTAGTGAAGTCGGTGGAAGCAGAGAGCATTTCTATATACTTTAAAGATGACTCATGCATGCTTTAGAGGTGACTCTTGTGTACAAATAATTTGCATCTCAGTACTCTTCAAATGTTTTGTTTTTCAACAATATCGAGTCATCTGAGAAAATTACAGTATGATTTAATGAGCTGATCCTTATTTCGATGTGATGAAATATACAAAAAGAAAAAAAAAGGCGGGAACTGTGGGCCTTTGTTCAGTATGATTTAATGAGCTAATTCTTATTTCGATGTTATGAAATATACCCAAAAGAAAAGTTCTATCAGATACATTAGTATTTTGTTTCTTATGGGAGGATTTGATAATAAGCTACTTGCTTCCAGTGTTGCTTTTTATCTTCCTTGTAAGGTTGGATCAAAACTGTTGTTGCAAATTTAAAAGCAAGGTTGCATTTAATAATTCTAATGTAAAAGCATCTGGCAATAAGTGAGAACTTAGCCTTTAAATTTCTGTTAATATGGAACAGAAGCCTCTTTACAAGTCTTGTTCTTGATGATACTATTATTATAATTTTGGGTAACAGTCTCATGCTGGGAAAGTTGTTGAGAGGCACTGGTATGAAAAGAATAAGCATATCTTTCCTGCTTCAAGATGGGAGGTGAGCTATCTTCTTTCTGGCTTGTGAGCGTGGTGGTCCCCTCATTGCCCTTCAAACCTTAATCCCCTGATATACTATTCCCTTTTTCCCTCTTTGTTGCAGATATATGATCCGACAAAGAAATGGGAGCGGTATACCATCCACGGGGATTGATTCAATGACAGAAGCACAACTAGTATGATTTATGGCTTGAATTCTCAGTTTTTATTACCTCTGTTTTCTCATACACGCCGAGTTTGTTTGACATCGAGTTGGACTGAAGGTGGAAACTTTCTGGGAAGCAAAATGATGCATCTTTTACATGAGCATCTGTATTCTTGTGCGGTATGAATGGATGCGTATTGTGTTATTTAAGCATTTAAGCCCCTAGTATTGAGATACGTATTGTCCTGTACTTGGCTTTAGAAACTTGTTTAGATTGCAATAAGCTCGCATTCCCTTTGATATTGAGAGATTCTCGTCTTGTTGAACTTCAACCTATTTGAATTGTTATTTTGGAAGGAAATTAAAAAAGACAAACAATGACAGGAGTAATGTGATTATGTTAATGCATATCCAGATGAAATGTGTTGTGTTCGATGATCATGCTCGAATGTGTATAAATGGTGTTATTGATGTGCCCCGGAAATGGCTGAAAGGTTTCTCTATTTAGATTTGAAGAATTAAAACATCAAAAACAACTTAGATGTAACGTAGGAGCAACCTTGGTGGCTGTAGTTCCGATTCTCTGGTGCCAAAAGATTTTTCTGCAACGTTTAGATGAAGGCTTGTCATCAAAGGAGATCGGAAGTTTAATATTTTTGTGATATTCTAGGTCAAATTCTTTGTGGGAGATTAGTCATAAGGTCATATAAGCAGCTCCAACATAGGAAGCTCTTCTTTGGGAGAATTGTCATGATAAAGCCAGTTGGATACTCTTCATAATGGTGCCCTATGTATAAGAGAAACCTAAAAAGCTTAATATATAAGAGAAGCCTGGAAACTCAACATCATATATTCGTCTCATTCGAGTGTGGTGCAGATTTTGGAATTTTATCTTATCAGAGCTCGGTTGGTGCACCATCCTACCATACCAAATGACTCCATGATCTTCTTCTTGGAAATCACCCTTTTGAAAAGGAAAAAAAAAAAAGGGAAAAAAGCTTCTTTTGATGAATTTTGTAGGAGATTTTTTCTGGGTTTACCAAGAATGAAGTCAAATAATCTTTTGATTGTACATTTGTAGTTTTATTGGTTATCATCTGCTGTAAATGTTCTCATCTCTTCTAGTTCTATCACAGATTTTCTTGATTTTTTGAACATAATGTTCTCATCTCTTCTAGTTCTATCACAGATTTTCTTGATTTTCTTCTCTTATGTTCAATGAGGGGAAATTTATTTTAGCTCTCTTAGATCGAGTTATCTCTGTTAAGGATCTCACATCGAAAAGGAAGACCTTGCATAGGTTTATAATAGACATGGACTACTCTTCTCATAGTCAATTGATTTTGAGATGGAATCCCATAAATATTAATATAGCATCAAAGTTCAACGAGTTTAAACAAGCATCCGGTCTAAAAAATGGGATCTGGTCAAGATCGAGCGGTCCGAGACACAATCTTGAAGTACTCCTCTCATAGTCAATTAGTTTCGAGATGGAACTCTATGAATACTAATAATCTTCTTCCTTTGTAATCCTCCTTTTGTAATTTACAAAGAGTAGTTCTGTCCACCTCAAGATTAGACAAGAAGACTACAAATTTGGGGTTTTTATAATTATTATTATTTTAAGTAGAGCGCGTAGGTCACGCAAATAGTAAGTGGTATTTTTTCTCAAAAATAAAAAATAAAGATTAGTGCAGGGCTTCTTTGTGTCTCCAAGTTCAAATTAGTTTTATTTAATTGATTAAGATTTTATTTTTCTAGAAAAATACTTGCTCTTTAATGATGAAGTTCAAATGTTATTTTCGTCACTATTAAATGTTTGACAACTCTTATTTCTTTTTTAAAAAAATATCTATTTTTGTATTTATTACTTTTAGTTGTCAAACATTTAATGGTAATTAAGATAATATCGTCAAGAAAGTCAATATCTTTTGTAATATAAATGTGTTTTCAGACTTAATCATTGGACACAAAATCAGTTTGTAATCATAATAATGGAGTGGAATTTAATAAATCGTGAAGGTTAAACTACAAATTCAATTATCCACAATTGTCTATTTAATATTGTGCTCTAATAGATTTTTAACTATAATTGTATAATTTAAAGTGTTATTAAGAGGTTTTTTACTTTTTAATTTTGGTTTTAATAGGTCATTTTCTTTTTAACTTCATCAATTCTTTGATTGTTTAATACATTGGCTATATTATTTAAAGATTACAAGATATAATTTCGGGTAGAGTGTAAATGTTGAATTAATATCTTTAGACAATTTATGGACATGCTATAATTTTTTCAACGTATAGAGACTAAATAAATACAAACTTTTAAAAAGTACGTGATGAATATATACAATTCTGATAGTTCATAAACCAACTTTATAATTTAATCAATGACTAACAACTCTATTTTTTAATTATACAAAATAGTTATCGTATGTATGTAACAATTTCTACAATTTTGGAAAATTGTGACCAAACGCTTTATTTTGTATACAACAAATGCATATATGGTGGCTAAACTTCGACCTTAGTAATTATCCAAATGATGTTTATATAAATATCATAAAATAAATATACATTTTCAAATATACTATAAAGTTTAAAAGTTTAGCAAAAATAACACCATTCAAATAAAACTCAATGCAATGTAAAATATAAATAAAACGAGTTCAAATTTCGCTATATTTGTAAGATATGAAACAAAGTTTATTATGGGTTTGGAAATAGCGGGTGGCTGCATTCTCCACCCGAACAATAAATCAAGGTAAGCTTCCCAAGCTCCCTCCAGCCCGCTGACTAGCCACGTTACTGATAACTTCGGAATAGTAGATTTGTGATAATTTTTTTAAATATATTTTAAATTAACGTATGAAGTGAAAGTTTTCATCGAACAATTTATAGAAGTTAATATTGTAGTATATAAGTTACGATAATTCTATGTATATATATATCAAAATATAGCTCATCTCGTCGAGACATATATCTCAATCAAATGATGGGAGGTTGAAATGGCTCCCTATATGTCTTGAACTTATAAAAAAAAATAATTATGTATAATCCTACGTTAAAATTAATTTTAAAAATTTATTTGTATAAAAATAGTCATCATTTTCTAAATCGGCTCACTAAGGGCCCATTACGTGGGATTTGACCCGAGACCCTAAGCTTGGCTCGGTGTGGTGTTGAAATCCAGGCGTTTCTTCACTGATTTTCTTCCTCAAGAAACGTATCAAGCCACGGCAGTCCTTGGAGCTCTCAAACATGGCGTCGAAGGCCTTCAGGATTTTGTTTCTTGCCCTCCTCCTCCTCGCGTCGCCTGTTCTCCAAGGTTTTGCTTCCTCAATTCAGTATCTATATTTCTTTCTGCACCCGCATATGTTTAACTGCTATAGATTCAACCGAAATTCGATCTTGTATGCACGGTTACGGTTTCAATTTTCCATCTTCCATTTCGTTGGGATCCGGTCCAATTTCTGCATTTGTATCTATTTATATCACGTATGGTGCTAGAGCTTAGCCGATTTTCGGTTAGATCTTGTGCGTGTTAGATTTACTATCGTCCAGCTACAATCTTCGCGATGATATATCTTTTCAACATTTTTATGCTGTTTGATTATCTTCCTGTGGCTCCCCGACTCTCTTTATAGTTGATGTCAGTTTGATATTTTTTCCCCATTGGAACGGATAATACATGAAATTGCTTGGGCAGCGTTTGCAGCAATATCCATACTGACTCTGTAAACTAAGCTCGATATTTGGGTTTGTTGAGCTTATCTGAATTTTGATCTGCGTGTTTTTAGCTTTTCCGCCCTCATTAAAAACTGGTTTTAGGTTCTAAAATCGAAGTTGTAACCTATCTTCCACGATGGATGAACTTATATATATATATGCATGTTTGTATATGTGTGTGTGTGTGTGTGTGTGTGTGAATGTATATATTTCTTTGTTTGTTTGTTTGTTTGTTTTTTTTTTAAATTTTAAATTCTGCATTGTTCTTCCTTCTTGAAGTTGTTAGATGTCAATCGGATGCGGATGTGGAATATGAAGATGCCGTGGAAGATGTAACTGACTTAGGGATTGTTGGAGAGGATGAGCAAGATTACGGTGATGGGAGCTTCAGCCCTGCTCAAGGGGTTGATACCGTGTGTGTTTTCCCCAAAAATAGTGCACGTAGTGAGTATTCCATTTATGGTTGAACAGAAATATATTCCTTTGGATATTATGTAAAATAGTCTAATCAATTCATAATTTATCCTAATGCAGTAGTGGTGGCCGGAGAAGAGACTGAACTATTAGCAGGAATGAAAAATGATGGTAATTGATCCTTAACTGTCCGCTACTAGTGCTGTATTGTTTATATCTGTGTTTATAATCAGCAATAGGTGGTAGTTTTTTAATTCATTTGGTGCCTTAAGTGGCTTTCATGATAGTCAATAAATTCTGTCTTGTCTCCTCAAGACCAAAGAATGATTTCCAATTTGTGCTTCTTCCCCCTTTCCAATTTGTGCATTGTGTAACTGAATTCTGTTTCATATATGTGCTGCTACTGTTTCGTTATTCCTTTTTATTTGAAATTTCGAGGGCTTGGGTGCACACAAAAATTGTCCTTATTGATACCTCAAACTGTGATTTGAAAATGCATAAACTTTCTCTTGAAAGGATTATTTAAAGTTTCCCTTTCTCATACTCTCAATGATGGATTTCCCTGCTATTGTCACATGTTTTTCTTCAATTGCTGCTATTTTTCTGCTGTGTTTCTTACTTTGTTTCTTTTGGCGAAAAAACAGGGGATTCTAGCTTGAATGTCATTGCAATTAAGGCCAGTGTTCATTATACTTTCGATCATCGAGTAGTGATTCAAAATCTTTCTGCACAGGTAATGTGACAGCATGGTCAGTGTATATGTTGTTTTTTCAACAACTCTTTGCATAGCTATGTCTGGTCTACCACATGCAAACTTAATTTTGTGCCAATAAATTTTCAGAACTTTTACTCACTGGGTTCAAGTATTCATGATGTAGCAATCATTTCACCTATTTGTATATTAGGGGATAAATTCTTGATTGAGTTAAAGCTGTGAGATAAGAGCTAAGTTTCTGAAAGCAGGCCCTTCTTTGCTCTTGGAGGTTGGTGCCTGCTTTAACATGCCTAGGAGGTGACTAGTATTGACTGCCTGACCTATTAACATAAGTGAAGCTAAGAAGCACAGCTAGTCTGCTTTAACATGCCTAGGAGGAGGCTAGTATTGACTGCCTGACCTATTAACATAAGTGAAGCTAAGAAGCACAACTATGGATACGAGATGCGGATACAACACAAACGCGGTGACATATCACTTTCTAAAACTTTAGAACACAAACACGACAAGGACACGTTTATTAAAATATATATTTTTCTAAATACATATAGTTTTTATACAACAATGAATTCAACGTCAATAAGCTTATACATTTTTATGCTTAGAAAGGTGAGTTTGATGGATTTTTCTCAAAAATTTATTATTTTATCCTATACTACTATTTATGTCTATTTATTATGTTTGACAAGTGTTTGATACGTGTCTAAGAAGTGTTTGATCCATATTCATAAGTGCATGACACACATCTATAGAGCTAACAAGTGTCAAATATGTGTCCAATCAGTGTCGGAGTGTCCGTGTCAGACACGTTATCCAAACTGAAGTGTTTGTGCTTCCAGGACGACTCTCCTGTGTCCCGTGCAACAGCTGCTACATTTACTCAATAAGTTACAGACAAATGTACAGTCTAAGGCCAAGGGAAGCTGAAACTGAGCCACCAAAAGACCATAATCAAAGTTGATCAAGAACTACTATAATTACAAAAATCGTGTATAGCAAGATGTACATTTCTTTTATCAATGAATATGTCTCTTTTTGGAAAAATATTCACTGCTTTGAAAATACCAAATACAGGTTGAAGTAATTCAACCGGATTTTTTCATCTTGAATAGAATGTGAGAATGGACAATGAACAAAAAAGTGATGAAGGTCCTTCTTTGCATTCTCACAGTAAGCACCTCTAATAGTTTAGGTAGGAACTTGGAAGCTTTTTCTGCAACAAATTGTTGAAAACTAATCTTTTCAGGAGCTACAAATTATATGAGATTCGGAACTTTTGGGTAAACTTTGCATCATAGATCAAATCAATGGCTGAGGCGAGGCCACTTTGGTAACCTAACCTGAAAATATTTACATCAGAAAGACCCCAGCTCTCAAGAGGCCAAGGTCTCTGGACGTAGAGATGTTCTAGAGACCACCTCAACCTTATTTAAGAGGCTGGATCAGGAGGGCAAACCTGAGACACCATATCATTTAGGTTACTGCAATAAACTTCCAGGACGACTGTCTAGTGTCCAGCACAATGCATACTTCTTGTAATTTGTGAGATCATACTCGATGATGTTTAAGGAATTGTTTTCTATTTGCCTTTTTGATTTCTATTAATAGCTTATTTTGTGATTATGAACTCTTCATGATTTGTGCTAATTGAAGAAGTTTTCCTTTGGTTTTATTTAATGAAGTTAATTTATTAAAATGATTATCTTTTCGTTTTCAGTATTTAGTTGTTATCCTCTGTATAGATCTTTTTGTAAACAGTTCTCTTTTGTTATTTGTAAAAGTTGGAGAACCTTTGTGTTATCCCTATCCCTATTGGTTGCTGGAGACGCCTGGTCTCTTCTTGTTGTTTTTTAAAATAGTGAAAGGTTTCTTATAAGAAAGATGCTGTGTTGATTTATCACTTCCATATGTACTATTAATATTTTATGTTCTAGTTCATGAAATTCTGTTGTAGATTTTTGTTGCTCTCCTTGTAGTTTGATAATCATTCAAAAAGTGATATTTTATCACACACACTATGTTTTTTATTTTTCTAGAAGTCCTTTTTCTGACATAACTTAAGTTCTTTATGTTAAGAAGAGTAAAAAAGTAATGTTATTTTTTCTCTTTTTCCAAGCATCTCTTATGTGCTTGTTTGTACAGATTATTTGCTACAGCATTTTGCTAGGTGACTCCCTTCTGCTATTTTCTTACATTTATGTTTATGTTTTGATTCCAGGGTTTTAACAATGCATCGGTACCAGCATCCTCACAAGCAACCTTCCCGTACTTTTTTGGTGTCAGCAGATTTCTTCAGGTCTTTGTTGCTGTGATAGTCTTCTACATTGAAATTAAATTTATTGTCTTACTAGATTAACCTCTATTTGGTTTGTGCTTTTGAACTTCAAGTATACGTACAATGGACTAGTGATAAGAATATATAAATGGCTAAAAAGATATTACTTCTCTTTGTGCAGTCTGGAAATTTTGATCTTGTTGGAACCATTATTTATGAGATAGATCAGCATCCATATCAAAGTACCTTCTTCAATGGTACCATTGAAGTTGTTGAAGCTGGGGGTTTTCTCAGCATTGAATCTGTATTTCTAGTTACCCTTGGAATTGCACTAATCGTGCTGCTTGGCTTATGGATTCATGGTCAAATACAGAATCTTTCCAAGGTACATCCCTGCTAAAATTGAATTTTTGGATGATCTTTTTCTAGTTTCAAGTGGCAAATTCTGAATATCGTTGATTTGAAAATTGATATGCATGTCTGTGGGATGGATTATGTTTAACCATAA